TAAAAACAATCCGGCACAACTTCGTCATTTCCGGCGCTTCGAGCAGTTTGCTTGTTTTTAACTTTGAGTTCTCATTGGCCGATGATAATGTAAACCTTTGTTCTGTTTGGTCGCTAGGACTAATTTGGTTTTAGTCTTTGAACACTCGACTTAAAATTGCTCTCTTGCGTTAAAGTACAACGCAATACCTTGAATTAATTTGACAACACACGGAATATTTAAATGGGAGTCAAAACCAGATTAATATCCTTTAATCCTACCAACTTTTACTGATTATCTTTTATAAATAGAAAGTAAATTTATGATCGTTAAAATAATAACGAGATGATGAGGAATTTGAATCAACATAGTGGGCAGACGAATGTACAATTAGGAAGGATCTCATGAATGATCTATGTTACCAAAAGGCCTTGGTTAGATCAGTGCAAGTAAACTTGACTTAATGCACTCTATCTTAACCAAACCATCACGTTGAAGCTAACTCCAATCTACTGTCAATTTTTTAAGTTGCAAAAAAGACATAAACTATTGTGACAAGTGCTTGAAGGAGCTCCGTCAGGACCTGTGTATTTTGAAAAACTTGGTCTCTAAATTTCAATTTCTTCATTCGCAATTTGGGTTAATCACTTCCATCTAAAACTATACTCATAATTCTTTAGTTTTGTTTTGCCTCTGCCGTCTTATCCTACTCTAACAAAGTACTATTTCATAGTTTCCTGGCCATTCAACGTGACTTTTTAGAATTTTGAAAGAGCTCCATTAACAGATCCTATGAAAGAGAGATTGTTACGATGGAAGTGTACTTTATCATACCACTATCCAGAAGACGCTGTTTAGTTATGCTAGTCATTTCTCTATCCACCTCAAACACTCCGGACCCAGGTGCTACAATGATAACCGTCTGACCAGTACGACCAAAGTTGCGATCGATATGATGCCTCTCAAAAGCTGAAACGAAAAATAGTGAAAATAAAATGAGAAATTACCAGCCAGGTATTGAAACAGAAAGGAATCAAGGCTTGCATTGAGTTCACTCTACTTTTCTCTGTGATTGATCTAATGATCTAAAAAACTTGCACCGGTCTCTCGACCAATAAGATGGAAAACGGACACCAGTCACTGCTTGTCATTCACATTTTCCCGCGCTTCAGAAAGTTTTCTTGCTCTTACTTTGAGTTCTCTTCGGTTCCTGATCATTATTATTTTCCTTCAGCTGTTCTGATTCGCAGTTTTCATTACTTTGGTTTTGTATGCGAGACACTCGATCGAAATGCGTCTTGCGGCTGTCGTTAACTCCAACCTAAACCTCGATCTCTAAATTTTTTTTCCCATCACGTCATTACCTTCACAATTTACTCACACAACTCTAACGGCTCAAGAACGAATGAATAGAGGGAATAAGCTTAAAAAGAAACTGTAGTGCTGTGTCGATGACGGGTATAACAAGATAATTTGGTTTAATCAACTGAGCCGATAGTGTACATTGGCCACCGTAAAGAGTTTCTAAAGCTCACTATCCGAGCGTCAGCCCTTCGTCAGAGCCCTGAGAACGAATCTTCATTCAACGGACACTGCTATCAAGCGGACGCAGACACAGAAATTGAGCCCTTTTGCCACCCAGACCGTGTTGTAAGGGGAACTTTCATAAAGTACTGATATATATATCTTTTATGTTTTAGGAAATTTAAGATATCAAGTGGCAAAACAGAGTCATCAAGCCAGATGGGAAACGCATGTGAAAGCACAAAGTATAGCTCAAGAGAAATGTAACAGGTACCCTCGGACCTCTCTCTAGCCACACCCCTGCTCAAAGACTAAGATATGCCGTTTCCATTATCACTTACCATTCATCGCCAAGTTGATAGCTTCTAGAAAGTTTCCCTCGTAGGAGCTGGAATTTTGCCCCTTGATTTTGGTGCCTTTAAGCTTATCACAACAGTTTGAGAATTTTGGATATTGGTTAAAGCAGTGCTTCAGAGTGACCAGCATAGGGATCCAATCATCACAGCTGTCTGATAAGGCAACAACTTGGTAGAAATCTTCATAAAACCGTCCGTAAGGATCCTTTCGAATACATCCTTGAGCTTCTAAGGGAAATTCCTCTGCAATTGTAAATCAAAAGAATATTTGTCTGTTAATCTAGACATTGATATTTTTGAAGAGGTATTTTTGTCTCCTGGGGAAGGGGGGGGGGGTGGGTAGTGGAGGGAACTCTCCATCTCTTTGCTCTTGCCCGACTTTTTGAGTGGCCAGAATGCAAAAAAGGTTATTTGTTTTTAAGGGGATGTTTGCATGTCAGCTGGGTAGTGTTGGTGCACGGGTAACTGCAGAATACCCAGCCACTCATTTACATGTCATTGAATAAGAATAGCGTCTATTGTGTTATGCCTCGATCTTCAAAGCCTCCCAACACGTGTAAGTGAGGCGGACCAAAGTGGCCGGGTATTCTGCAGTTTAGCCGGTGCATATACTGACTGTTATTATGCAACTTTCATTTTTTTTATAAACTGTATCATTCAGGTCAGAAACATTGTGGTTCCTCTAACTAAAAAATGAAAGCTAAGTACCCTGGTCATTTAGTCACCCACTCATTTTCTAAGTCCTTCCTAAGTGAGTTATTGGAACTGTTCATTTATGGCATATTGACTCAAGGATTACTGTATGACTACTGTCCTATGGAAGGTTTCCTTCCCAATCTCTCTTTATTTTTAAGACCTTCCTTCCTACATAGTAGGAATCAAATATCCTAAGAAGCAATGGCAATGTCCTCTGTATAGGAAGGTAACAAATACTAACTTAGTCAAAAAGCATCAGGATCCCAAGTTATTCCCTACTTAAGCTAAAGGATCTGATAATATTAATTCAATGATCAAATCTTTTTCTGTTTACTAGACTGAGCCACCTCTAAAATGAATTTTCCTTAATGAAAAGAGATACAGTGCAATAGAAACATCACCTACCAAGAGATTGCGCATTGTAAAATGTTCTTGAAAACAGAATAATGCTGACATCATGGTGGGCTTTCAGCTCCTTCCATTTGGTAAACAATTCATAAAAAAATCCATTGATAGCCTTTTCAATATAAAGGTCTCCATTGAAGTCAAAGTCCCACATTTCTTTACTCATTTGAATGAATAAATACATCTTTGTGCTACTTGATCTAAAAATCACCTGAAATAGGAAAGACAAATAATGACTGTTGTCCAGTAGGGATGATCAGTGTTTAAAGTAAACAGGGAAGAGTTGAATAGCAATGCACAAAAACAAACACAAAAAATTTTAAAAAACCCTTAAAGAGGACTGCCATTCTTACTGTTACCCTTAAACCAGACTGCTGTGCAGGAGGGCAAAGGTTCAAGCCCCAGACCAGACCGACACTCTGAGTTTAATAATAACTAAAGAGAATGTGCTGCCTTTACAATGACATCCACAAATGGTTTAAGACATTCTAGTCTTCTCCAATAAGGATGATAAAGCGTAGGCACTCTCTCCTGTATCTTCTCTGAACTGGTTTGCATGGGGGCATAGGAGAATCCACGCACTTCTCTGAAAGAGTGGGGAACATAGCTCTCTGTGTTTTGTCCTAGCCTTGCTATCGTTTATACAGGCCCCCATTTAATCCAGCTTTAGAGTAAATTTCTCTCATGTTTCCACCCCAACTAAGATCGATAACCAGCCAAATTTGGAGCAAGTGGGCCAGTGTTCCTCCCTAAGAAAACTTCCCTTCTCAAATTAGGGCATGGGGATGGCCTCATGCCTTCTTTAATCCTCTCCAGCCTTTTTCTGCTCCTACACCCACCCAGCCCCATCTCCTCCTACCCTTCTGCTTGGTATCTGGTGATTTCGCCAACGAGTGATTTTGCCAACGTCACTTTCGCCAACGTCTTAGGTCGCTTCGCCAAAGCAAAAAGTCACTTCGCCAACATCCTACTGGTCACTTTGCCCATGTATTAGTTTACTCTAAATAAAAATTTACTATTACTTCTTCTTGCTTCTGTGTGTTATTTACTTGACTGAGCTGACTTGATTTCCCCGTTTGAACTTAGTTTCCTTCTGTTATTTTGTTCAGACTTAGTTTCCTTCTCTTGTGCGTGCAACTTTTCTGGATCTGTCAAAAATATGCAAATTGTTTGGAAGTCAGCCAAGTGAAACTAGCATTAACTTAAAAATGTTCTGACCCAAGTATCAGCATTACATCCGAAGCATCAGTAAGCACCCTTTTTACTAAGTTATTACTAAGTTATTACTAGATATTTGGCGTTGGCGAAGTGACCAGTAGGACATTGGCGAAGCGACTCATTGCGTTGGCGAAGCGACCAAAGACGTTGGCGAACGTGACGTTGGCGAAATCACCGCAATTCTTCTGCTTACCCTGGTATCATCAGATATCACTCCACAAGACACCTTCTCTCCCTTGGTCCAGATCTCCATAACCTGAGCTCGCACCCCAAAGTGTGACAACTTCTTGGTGATATATACACACGAGCCAACAAGCTGTTTGGAAAATCTCCACATTTCGCTCCTCGTGACGAACTGGTCTTTAAACAAGAGTTCCACCATATCCACAAACACATCTTTTGGTTCGACTTTGGTGACCTCCACATCCCAGTAAGTTCGCAACTGGAAGAAATTAGCCACAGACTGTTCGATGCTGATTGTATCTTTCTGTTGGAATTCGGGGTTAATCGATTTAATCTGCAGCAAAAGACGAGTGTTATCTTCATCTGGATGATAGATCTCCAAGATGTCTCCTTCTTTTTCATTTGGAAATTCCTTTGGATTTAGTATGAGATCATCCTCACTGAAGTTTTGCTGATGGACCCATAACTTAAAAAGCTTCATCCTTAAGCAATTGTCACTTCGATTACAAGGTACAAACCATCATGTTCCGCGTTCGCAAATTTTAGCTCGCTTCTTCCGCCATATTGTTTTTATGATAGATACCGCTGACTTGCTTCCTGCTATTGGGGCATTTTAACTAGTTCCCAGTGTACCCAAAGTAACGAGGAAGGAACGCCTGACGAGGTTTTGCTTCTGTTCGATCAATGTTTATTTGTAAGAGTGTTTCAAGCTTTTCTTACGATGCACCTGCTTTTTCAAAGGCCTAGTGTAGTAAAACAAACTAGAATTGCAGCTAAATTTCTCCCCGCAGTAACTCAGACCGCTCCGTCGATAATTCGAGGAAAACATACCATCAAAGCTCTTGAAAGTGGCACGCCGCGACTCAGGTGAGCTGTGGGTACAGTTTCCCTCAATATGTTAATTGATTTTATTGAATTTTATTCCGTTCAATTGAAAAACCATTTCGTAAAATTTGTAGAATGGCAGCATCTCTTAACAAAAGGAAACACAGGGAGAAACATAACCGTATCGTGGTAGAGGGATGGAGACTCGTACGAGAAGCTTTGCTGGCCAAAGCTAAGGTGTTGAATATATTTTACACCGATCCAGCACTGCTTGATCACATCGACACTTCGAGTCTACCATCAAACTGTCTTGCTCAAATAAGCGAAGAAACAATGGAGAGTTTATCAAATGCTGTCACACCGCCTGGTATAGTAGGAATGTTCAAGCGTCCAAGGCAGGGTGAAGGGGGGGAACTGAAGAACGGAAACACTGTGCAAAATCCATTGACAGTGTTATGTGATGGACTGAAAGACCCAACAAACTTAGGTATGGTATATAGTTATTTTACGGCAAAGAAATGGCTTTTGAGTGGGAAGAAATGTTGATTTGAAATCAAGTGTAAGATGTCAACTGAAAATGGGACATGTGCATGACAGATTGGAAATGTCATACTCAAGAAAGCAGGGGTCTTTGTAATTAAGAAACAGAAAATAGCAGCAGGTAACTGCAGAGGAAAGTAATCAAAAGAACAAAATTAGAAGACCTTCCTTTCACCCACTATTCATGTTACAGTAACTACCAAAATAGTATTAATGCAACATAACATATTGTGATTGTGTAGGTACATTGGTGCGGACATCAGCAGCAGCAGGTTGCCAGTCCTTCATTACTTCAACTTGTTGTGTTGATGTGTGGGACCCAAAGGTGTTGCGATGTGCTGCTGGAGGTCATTTTTATCTTCCCATTCATTACAATGTGGATTGGGAAGAGATTGAGACATTCATTGCAGATAAAAGGATTTTTCTTGCAGACAATAATATTTCTGGTAGGGAAATTTAATTCAGTTAATTTTTATCAAATGTTGAGTTTTGTTGCTTTTATCCTGTGTCTCATCTGACACAAAATTTATCTTCAGAAACATACTTAAGAATCTACTTAATAAATAACTTCTGTTCCAGTTAGGAATTCTGGCTGGTAGGATGTATTTTCTCTGGTCTTTGATTTGAGAAGTGTTTGTCAATCTCTTAAACTATAATTTAGAAATAATTAAGTTTGTGTCCACAAAAATATATTGAACCAGTAAGTCTTTTCTAACAATATCCACATCATTTCCACACTGTAACCAATGCACCAGCAACAAATTTAGGACAAGTTCAATTCTTAATGACTAGATCGAACTCTTCAACTTATGCATCATTGCCAGTGGTCTCTTATTGAAGTGTGACAAACATATTATACATTAAGAATGGATCTACTAATTACAAGGTTGGAAACGACTGAGGAAATACAAATAGCTTAGGAAATAAGAGACACTCCATGAAAGGGCCATTTACCTGATGATTTGACATTCAGAACATGCCTGTGATGACTTGTCAACTTGAGCTAACACCTTTTTATTTGCATGATCTGCCCAAAGGTCAAACTCATAGAGATAACTGGGTGGACTGCAGCTAGGTAGAGGATTGCTTTCTGCACATGCAAAATGTCAAACCTCAGTCTATCTTATATTTTGGGTTTAAATGTTGATCAGGAATGTTAGATGACTTTAAGTAGGCCTGTTCAAGCTGAATCATTTCCCAATGTTCCATTTATTTTCACTTCCTTTAGATGACCTAAGCATTCCAGCATCAGAACATTTCCAAGTGGACTGGACTCTAGGACCCAGTGTTCTGGTTATTGGTGGTGAGACTACAGGTCTGGGGGAAATTATCAAAGACTTAGCTTGTCAATATCATGGACAACTTGTTCGTGTTCCCATGGCAAACACAATTGACTGTTTAAGTGCAGCAATGGCTGGCACAGTTATTATTTATGAGGCTTACAGACAATTACTTATCGCTGAACAAGATAGATAACACTTGTAAGAAGTGTGAAGAAGTTTAATTTTTTGATTTCTTAATTAATATTTTGATACAATTCAGACTTGTAAAGTCACATTCAATTTCTCTCCAAGAGAGTGGCTATTGCTGCACCTACTGATGCATCTGCATTTTCATTCAAAACCAGTGGCAATTCAAAAACCTGTTCAACTTGTTTCTGTAACACTCTATTTCTCTTCAAAGCGCTTCCAGCACCAACTATTTGTCGCACATCATGCAAATGGAGGAAATCTTGTGTCATCATTTCTTTTATGTTTTCAATAACTCCTTTAAAAAGAGCCAAACCAACATCACCAAGTGAGATATTTCCTGATGTTAGGTTGTTCACTTGTCCTCTTTGATCAGAAGTGTGCCTTTCACCCCATAAAGTGGGAACTACTTGAAGTGATGTTGAAGCTCTCTCATCAGCACAGGCCAGTATTCTAGAATAAATATCATCTTTAGAAGGGAGACTCTCTTCCAGTCCAAGATCTTTCATCCATGATGTCAACATCTTCACAAAGGTGGCCAAAACGTTACCTCCTGTAACGACAAAGGAAACAAAAGCTGACAGTTAGACCTCCTAGATTTCTTGGTTTGATAACATAACAGTATGTGACCTTAAGAATTTTCCAAGAACCCCAATTGGATGTAATTTTTGATAACATCATTGCGACCCAAAGAAATATATTTGGAGATAGATAGAAGTAAACAGTGGTGGATTAAAGATTTAATGTTAGCACCAATACACATATGGTACAAGAGGCTGTCCATGAGTGAAAAGAAAGGTTTTATACACTCTTTGAACAACAGTACAAACATAAATCAAGAAAATCTGACCATACCTGAAAGTGATGCAGCCGTCATAACTTTTTGTCCTTGAAAGAATGGAAGAATTGTAATTGCTTTACTAGGCATCTCTGAACTTTGATATGAAGATTTCCCTGCAGCCACAGTGCTGGTATTAGCAGGAACAACCACAGCCAGTTGGCAGGATGTTCCAATGTTAAGAACTGAAAATTAAAAAATATTTGACAACTGAAATTTGAGTACTAGTTAAGTTATATTGTGTTTGAACTGTGAAAGTTTTGAACAATAAGGGGTAACAATTTTCAATTTTTTATACAGTCATCTTCCTTCACACTTCTCAGGGAATGGCCCTTCATCCTTCTTGTCCCATAAGTCCTATATTTTGACCATTAATGACCTTGATTTGAGCCTTTATCTCAGTTATCACTTAATTTCCTGAGGTGTTCTTGGGACTAACCCCTGTCCTCATACCTTGGTGCTAAAGAGATCATGGTTTTGACACAAAAACTGTTCACTCTTAACCCTTCAGATCTGATTGTTAATTCTCCCCTCTAGCTTCTGTGCATTTTCTTCTAAATTAGTTTCAAGAATTTTGCATTTGATAAAGATTACAGCTTCAACCAAATAAGTTTCAGTATTCTCATTAATAGTTTGCAGGATATTGTATAGATATTGTAGGGAGAAATTACATGTCAATCACTTCTGGGAGTAAAATGCTTAAGTGATGCAACATGCATGAAAAGAACTTCTAAGTGTTACCTGCATCACTTTCCTGAGATCTGCTTGCAAGTACTGAGCACTGGAAGTCACCCAGACCCACCCCCACAGGTGTACCAACTGGGATTCCATACAAAGATCTTTGCAGCTTACCAACCATTGTACCTGGTTCTACCACCACTGGCAGGAGTTGAGTGGGGAAGTTTGCCTCTTTCAGACTGCATAAAGAGTAAAAATAATAATTTAATTGTAGTCTACCCCTACAATAAGAATCATAAAGAGTCCAATTTCCCATTTTGAACATTAATCTTGAATGTGGGAACTCTGACACCATTGTTCCCACTATCTGGACAACAGTGTTGACTTCTTGTGCAAAATCAGATACGCAATGGCTAAATTCCTGGTGGCCAGGTACGTTCTAAATGCCGGCAGTCTGAAATTTTCAAAGAAAATTCACTGAAAGGTTGTTTCCAACTTATTTTAGAGTATCAAAAATGTCACGCCATTCTAAAAAACTATTTTTGTGCATTTAGTTGGCAAATTTTCTGAATTTGTGCCATTGCTCAGTTGTCAACATTAAGAAATTCCACCCTTCTGATCAGGCTATCAAGCAACGCTCTAAAATGAAAAAATATCCAGTAGTCAGAAATTTTCACGGAACTACCACTGACACGTTCTTCCAAATTTCTCAAGAGCATTAGATGTTTGTTTGGAAATGCAGAAACGTCACGCGATTCCAAAAAATATATTTCTGGCAGTCGTGATTTTTCGATATTAGAATACCTTGACTGAATTTTTGAAAAGTATGTTACGACATACTAAAAGAAAAAACATCTGATGCCTTTTAGTGGAAATTCTGTGAAAATTTCCGAGTGCTGGTCTATTTAATTTGGGACTGAACGATTTTGCAGCGTTCACGGGCTTGTCCACCAAATAAACCCAAAATAGAATTCAGTTGAAATTCTGAAAAAAAAAACATATATACTCAACAGTTTTATATGGAGTTTCGTTCGGAACTTTAATAAAAATTTCTGTCTGCCAGGCATAATAAGTCCATTTGAGACCGTGTCCGGCGGTCTGTTGACAAGTGTAGAATTTCTTTTAGTGTCGACAACCGAGCGATTCTACTATTTTAAAGCATAAGGTTGGGAAGAAAAACATAAAATACACACACGCACACAAAACACAAATTATTTCTGGAATTTCTTGACATTTCTTGTCAGAGATCTGGTACTCTTAAGAAGTTTGAAATAAATTTTCAGTGGAAATTATGTGAACATTCCAGACTGCAGGTTCGTGCCCGGCTACCGGACATTTAGCCATTGGCAATCGGATAAGCTAAACATTTCTCGCAGTCACTTGCATTAGAAAGAGGTGTTTTAAACCTGACTTAATGATATAATATCAAGAAAAAACTTGATAAGCATGTGGAATTAACTAACTTACATGTCTAACTCCCACGCCATATTACTCACATCAAAATATCCCCAACTGACAGCATTATGTGAAGACATGCAAGGCTTTCTCATTTCACAAAAAACACAAACAAAGTAATCCATGATGGTTCCAGCGCAATCGAAACGTTCCAAGAAGCTAGGATCATTTCTCTGAAGCCAAAAAATGCTTGCACATCCAAAACCAGTAGAAATAGGAATATGTGAACGTGTAGGCGGAAGGGTGCTTAAAAAGTCATTGTTACATCTTCCGTCCTCCCAAGTAATAAGATGGGAGACATCATCGCTCCGTATAAAATGGTGACCTTCACTTGATACACTGCATGATTCACCGTTCCACATCACACATCCATGCATCTGTCCACAAATTCCAATACGAGCCACTTTGGCCAGGAAATGTGGAGAGAATTGGGAAAGTACATGCTGTAAACAAGCAAATATTTTCGCAACATCCTGCTCTGCAAAGTTAGATTCCTTATCGTGATTATTCGCCTCTGTATCAAGTCTAAAACTTTCAATGACATCTTTAGTACCATTTCGCACTAACGACACTTTTATCGAGGTTGTTCCAGTGTCTATTCCGAGAATGAAAGATCCTGTGTCACAATCCGCCATCTTGTCACGCAACAAAGGAAAAAGTTGAGTGAGGGTGAATCACCTGACTTTAGTTGCATAATCATCGGCTGCAGATATTTGGTAAGAGTAAATGATGAACTTTTCTCGTGATCGTTAAACCCTATTTATTTCATTTGTTTTTTTAAAAAATGAGGGTTGCAATAATAGGGGCTGGAGCTAGTGGTCTTACCAGCATAAAATGCTGCAAAGACGAGGGTTTAGAGCCGGTTTGTTTCGAGCAGGAGGACTCCATTGGAGGACTTTGGTATTTTACCGAAGAGGAGAGACATAGTTCCGTGTACAGGTCGACTGTAATCAACACCAGCAAAGAAATGATGTGCTTTTCGGATTTCCCGATCCCTAAAGAATATCCTCCGTACATGCACCACCAATTGATCATGAAATACCTCCATCTGTACGCGAAAGAATTCGATTTGTACAAATGCATTCGGTTCCGCACCAAGGTGGTTGACCTTAAGAAAGCACCAGATTTCGAAGAGAGCGGGAAATGGGAAATCCTATTTCAAGAACTTGACGGCAAGAATCCCGACGCGGTGAATAAAGAAGTATACGATGCTGTGATGCTTTGTGTAGGTCATCACTCAGAGCCCTCGTGGCCTTCCTTTCCCGGTATGGACGAATTTTCAGGGCTCAAGATCCACAGCCATTCATACAAGGACTTTAAACCATTTGAAAACAAGAAAGTCCTAGTGGTTGGTAGGTATTTTGCTCTTGATATTTTCTTTCCTTTAATCCAAAGCTAAATTCTTCAAGAAATATATTTTTGCCATCCACCTTTCCCCTTTCCCCTTTCCCCTTTCCCCTTTCCCCTTTCCCCTTTCCCCTTTCCCCTTTCCCCTTTCCCCTTTCCCCTTTCCCCTTCCCCCTTTCCCCTTTCCCCTTCCCCTTTCCCCTTTCCCCTTTCCCCCACTTCCCCTTCCCCCCACTTCTCCTTCCCCCACTTCTCCTTCCCCCCACTACCCCTTTCCCTTTCCCTTCCCCTCCCCCCCACTTCCCCTTCCCCTTCCCCCTCCCCCCACTTCCAACCTTAAAAGCATTATTCACTACTCACCCCCTCAATAAAAAAACAAACAAACAAACAAACAGACAAAACAAAAAGCAGGAAACAAAAAGCAAAAAAACAAAACAAAACCAAATCCAAAATGACTAGAATAAATTAAAAATGAAAATTGAATCCTTGAATTATTTGTCAAAGATATTTAATTGTTATGGAGCCAATTGCTTATAAAAGGTGTTTTAAATGATCTTGAAACTAGTAAAAATCAGAAGGGAAATTGGGTACATTGCTTAAACCCTCACAATTCCTCTACCTTTTCCTTTTGCATACTCTTTGTCTGGCAGATGATAAACAGATAAGAAAGGCAATGATCCCCATCAGTCTTAACTTATTATTGCATAAAATGGATAGCCAATAACCCCTGCAAAGTGATCTGCATCTCTACCACTGTTTTAAGTTCACTTGCTCCAGGATGGCTTCCATCCCCCCTTTAACAACCTCTGTGGTTAGATGGGCTGTGATCAGGTCTGTGTCATGCTTAAAACTCAGTTTGCTTGTTGGTGGTCTTTCAAGGGTTTTCATGGTTACCAGTACCTTGTGCATACACTTAAGCTTCCCTCAGACTTTTCAGGCATCTTTATCCACACATACTTAATATTGCTAATGAGATTAAAGCAGCATTTTGTTTTGCAATGACCTATGTATTTTTAGGTATAGGGAACTCTGGTGGTGATATTGCTGTGGAACTCAGTCGTCACACTCCACAAGTCTTTCTCAGTACTCGCAGAGGGGCTTGGGTCCTGTCCCGCATGGGAAAGGGAGGTGAGCCTATGGACCAGCAGTTCATCAGGCGTGTCGGGTCTCTTGTACCCATCTCACTTCGAAGAAGTCTTTTTAAAAAAATAGTGAATGAGAGATTTGATCACAAAGTATTTGCACTGCAGCCTCAACATCCAATCACTGGTCAACACCCAATGGTCAATGATGCTCTGCCACACCGCATAATAGTTGGAAGTGTTGTCATCAAACCTAATGTCAGGAGTTTTACCAAATCTGGAGTTATCTTTGATGATGATACTCAAGTAAATGACTTAGATGCTGTGATCTTCTGCACTGGGTACAAGATAGGATTCAGGTTCATAGATCAATCAATTCTTCCTGTGAATGACAACAAAGTTGAGCTATACAAATATGTGTTCCCCCCAAACCTTGCCAAACCAACACTTGCTGTTATTGGCTGTGTACAGCCTCTTGGTGCCATTTTTCCTCTGTCAGAGCTTCAGGGACGGTGGGTAACCCGAGTGTTTAATGGGAAAACACCCCTTCCTCCTAAGGATTTCATGATGAAAGATGTTGAAATGAAAAGAGAGGCCATGCAAAGAAGATATTACGCTTCTAAACGCCACACAATTCAGGTAAAATAACCAAGTTCCAATACATTATGGCATATCAGTGAAGTATAATTTTTCATGTGATTACAGAGAATTGCACACTCTGTTTGGTAGATGATCATTCCCTAACAAAATTTTTGAATGAGGGCTCTAGGTTGTGTTTGTACTGCAGCCTTTTTTTTTAGGTTTTCCAGTGGAAATGCTGGATCTATTGCCAACTAATGTTTGAGTTTCAGAATATGGGGTAATTCTGGTTGCCCACACTGATTGTAGCTGTAAAATGATAACACCAAGCACTCAAAATGTACAGGAAATTTAGAAATCCTAATGGTACATTAGATAGGAAACCAAACCTTGTGAAGGGGGCAGTCTTTCCGATCAAAAAGCCAGGTAGGCAGGAGCTGGGCACGGTGTTAACTGGGCTAAATGCCTGACATTCAGAAATTTTTACAGAATTTTGACTGAAAGGTTCTTTCAGACCTCTAAAGCATATCGGATGTTTGTTTCAAAAAATGAAGTAATTAAAAAAAATTATTTTGGATACCAACTCCAAAGTAGTTAACTATGCATGCATCTCACTAAATCATTATTCAAGAATGCATTGTAGCTAGCTTTTAATCTGAAAAACCTTCCTTCACTTTCACAGGTTGATTACATTTCCTATGCAGATGAATTGGCAAATCAGGTTGGTTGCAGACCAAACCTGATAAAGCTCTTTTTCAGCAATCCTACGCTAGCCCTGAGTTGCTTTTTTGGACCCTGTACACCAGTTCAGTATCGTCTAATGGGCCCTGGTGCATGGGAAGGAGCCAAGAAAGCTATTGAAGATGCTCCTGGAAATGTGATTTACGCAACAAAGACACGCATTTTACAAAAGAAGGAGCAGCAGGGAACTAACACGGCTGCTGTGTGTTTGAAGTTGTTAGCTTTGTTTGTTGTGCTCATTTCCATTATCATAAGATTTTCGGCTGAAAACTTGAGTAGTTCAGAGGTGAATTCACCATGAAATTCTGATGAGTTCAGAGAATAATTCATAATCTAAAGAGGTATGTGATGTATACTAACAAAGTAAGAGAGATGGTAAGTTTTTCCAGGTATGTTATGGTTTGTTCATCTACAAATATTTACCTAGTTGGTGGAAGTAGGTAGCAGAAGCAGTCCTGAATCATGCTCTTTTATCTTTGTGAATAGTTTGCTAGATGCAAATCAGCACACCTTGCACGAAGTGACACACACCCAACAGTTACAGGGGCCTATTGATAGTGGGCACTGGAGGGTAGATGATGCACAAAGCCATATTTCAAGTTTGTTAATGGCTGGCCATTTTTAATTTTTCCCAGCCTTAGCTCTCTTTGTTCAACTTTTGTTTATTGTATCCCTTTGCATTTGTCTAGTTGACACTAGCAAACCACTCTTCAAATGCTACCTCATCCCAAACAAAACAATTTAAACTAAACAAACAAGCAAACAAATGACCCCTGTAATATCATGACACAGTTTGGTACTGGTGTATGACATAGATTAGTCTCGCCTTCTTTATTTCTAACCTTTGCAATGTTCAGATAGCCTTGTAGTTAAAACATATGAACCTCCAAATGCCATTAAAGGTTACCAACAGGTATTGTAATGTAGCTTTAGGTGTGTTGTTTGATCAGTGCATTGGTCTTAGTTTTTTTCTTCATGTAGGGTATACTAGAGTAACAGTGGCAGTTTGTGCATACTTTTGGTGTAGTGGAATTTCTAAGCATGGTAACATACTTTCCATTAATACACATCTCAGATAGTGCATGTATTTTGCTATGATTGGTCAATTAAGTGTAGTGTATTTTGCTGTGTGACTGCTAAATTTAAAAGTTTGTTTGAATTGGAATCCTTTTCTTTTATTTGAACCCAGAGATATAATAATTATCTTACTAACTGAGTTCAAGGTCTGTGCTGTAAGTTAATATGGACCAAGTTTCTTTCACTACGATTTATGGCCTAAGTGAAAAAAAATTTGGTCTATAACATAAGTATGGACCTCAAACTCGTTTAGTGCAAGGTTGGTATAAACCAAAACTTATATTGTTTTTATTGGTTTTCTTCAGCTTGGTAACTGATACACTGGATCAGGTATCAGTCCAATATAACCATATAACACTTGACTGATTCAGTTTATTATATCAATAAAATTAATTTTATTTCAAGAGTTGAGGTCGATACATAGTAGACAAAAAAACACTGATTGAAATATTTTGATTTAAACAAATATATATTAGATAAATAAATACTCAGATAAATTGATTCATGAACAAATACAGTGTACAAATGTGTCTCTTTAACTGGGTACAAGGGAACTTCTGTTGGGCTTTCAGCCAATACATTATCAATATTGTAACAGCTAGCGAACTAGTTTGATTATTCCATGCCGGAATACTTCTGTTAGATTCTTCGCATCTACTCTAGCGGTTGCGAAATAATAATCAAACATGTGATAAAGTCAGTTTTGAGCAGAGTAACGCTTCACGAAAGTGGGAAATTATTTCCGACAAAATGCCGAAGCAGAAGTTCGGACACGGGCAGTGGAGGATTGACTCACTGTAAAACGCGGTTTGTTTACTTAAAAAGTCACGTGAGACTACACGTGAACTCTTACGCCAAAAAGGTGACCTAATTCAGGGCTATAAAAGTGATACAATTTGTGTGAGCCACAAACGATTCATTTTCGAAATTTCATAGGTGTGAACTACACTTTTTAATACTCGCTTCTAAATGAAACAAAAGTAAGAGAGAACACCAGAGTCTTCCCTTAAAGCATCCTGGAAATTCACCCTTGAATGCTAAGTAAACAGAGTGCATACGAACTGCCTGTATTGTTCTGAACTGTTCCTAATTTCAACTGCGAAACGCTCAGCGTTGCTCAAATAGAGGTCTGTTTTGCTCAAGATATTCTCAGGTTTCCTCAATGCAAGGTCTACTCTTAAGGGTTGCTCCATGGTTCCCTAGGAGACCCCGCTCTCGTGTGGTGTATGTTTGTGTAAGACAACAGGAAAATGATCTAATTATGTTTTTAAAGGACAGGTACAAACCCCTCACTCAGGACTGTACCTCAAAAGCTAACGCCACGAAAACGAACTGCTAAGGAGCTAATTGTTTGGGGGGCAACCAAACTAATTATCAGGGTTTTCAAACATGAGACGGGTGGGTAATTTCTGTAAAAGTAGTACTATTTTTCCCCATTCACAAATTAGCCTTTCATGGCTGCATACATTCTCTATTTAATTCTTCTCATGATACCGTGTAAAGCTTGTATCTCGCAAAGCTGTTTCCTACAGATATTAATTGTTTAATATTTGCCCTACTCCACCCCTGCCAAACAGCAATTTTTTCACGATTCGACGTTCACCCTTAACCTAAACACCGTCCCTCGTCTTCGCCTACAAAGTGATGACAGTGAGGACATCAGCATGTCCTCCCAAAAATTCGGCCACTTTGGAAATTTCCCAGTTTTTTTAGGGTAAATGGTTGTTGCTATGGTTATGAAATAAATTGTGTGGTTGGTGCACTTTGCTGACTGGACTCAGTATGATTGGTTGTTTAAACTGTCCGATTACAGGTGTCCGCTGAGCCAACCATCTGATTACGTTGTTTAATCAGAACTCTAAAGAAAAATTAGTGAAAAAAATAAAGCAGTGAATGCATCAATCACATATGAGAGAATTGTAATGGTTGTGATTAATTTAATGATGATGAAAGGACTGAGGGGAGTCCAGTTCGGTCTGTAATCATACGAGGGATTGATTAACAAATAAGGAAGCCTTGACTGTACTCTATTCTGTTGTGAAGCACGTAAGAAGCGGCTAGAGCACAAAACAAGGGTAGGGAGAAACACAAGACGTAGTCGAGTGTTTCTCCACTTCTTAAACTGAGCACAGTCAAGGGTGTTCTATTTGTTTATAATAAAGAATCCGTTGAATTCCCCAACGCATTACTTTCAGTTTTCGAAACAAATCTTTTTTCGGTGACTTGTAATCGCATTTTTCATTCGTTTTTATCCGTTACCATGGATTTTACTAAATCTGCTAGTTTCCACAAAAACAACCGCTGATAAAACATGGCAGCGCATTAGCTGGAAAGCCTGGAAAGGATTACAGTGAGTATTAGTCAAGCTACTCACTTTTAACATAGGTTGTTGACCTTAAATAAAAAAACCGTTCAAGAAAAAACATTTCCGACTTAGAGTATGCAATCATAGGCCCACAAGTCTAAACTTTCCATAATTTCCGACTTATTGTCATCACTGGCGCACAATCGTTCGAACGCGCGCTTAAGAAAAAAATCTGATTATGACGTTTATTCAGAGGAGATCCATTTTGCCGCAAGGAGAGTAGAACTCAAAATGCCCCTGGTAACATTTTGGCGCACCTTCATAGAAGTTTTACAGGCTTTGGCATTTTTCGGGTTTTGCGATAACGAAGAAAGGTAAGGCTTAAAACTTGTGAAAATTGTTAAGTTGTTACGACAGGAGAAAAGCTTAAAACATCTTTTTCTTGTTGAGCGGGCCGATCACGCGCCGAAAAGTATCTCGAAAAGTTAACTTGAAATTCCACATCTTTTACAATGGTTAACGTTTTGCAAGCAAAAAGATACATGAAACAGAATCCGACTTGACACAAATTTAGTTCTCTATCAAAAGACACAAGTGGGAAAAGTGCAATTTTTCTCACAAGATATTCCTTTCTTCTTTATTTCCGCTCACTGTGGCAGAAAGGAAGATTTCCTCGCAGTTCGTTTACTTATGAATCTTTGAAAAAAAGAAATGCATTTACTTTTTGCGTCACTTGAAGAAAGATTGAAACGAAATGTGAAACTTCACTCAGTAATAATATTCATGTGGGTCTCGAAGATTTATTTGAGGGGCGAAGACGAAGGCCAAGAGTGGAGGAGAAGGGAGGGGAGGGGAGGGGAGGGGAGGGGAGGGGAAGGAAGGAGATGGAAGGAAAAGGATAAGGGGATAAAGGAAATGGGGAGGAGAGGGATGGGGAGCAAACTGAGAGGAGGGAGTGTGAACAAACTGAGGCGAACGGAAAACAATTGACTTCTTTCCCATGTAGAGGTAAAAATATAAACACTGGAACAACTATTAGATTTTCCAGTGTTTATATTTTTACTTCTGCAAGAAGGTGGGGAGGAAACGGAAGGATGAAATGGGAGGGGAAGGACGGGAATATGTGAGGGGAGAGGGGAATGTAAAGGAGCTGAAGTGAATTAATGAAAAAAAATCAATTTTTTCCCTTGCAGTGGAGAAACAGAAGAAATCAAGAAAACGAGAAGTTTCAAAGGTACGAAAACATCGTTTCTGTTCGAAAGGAAAATATACTTAGAGGACGGGTCATCAAAGTAACAATGACTCAGGCTCCGTGAGATCACTGTGACAGCCAACCATAGATACATCTAGGGTAAAATTTGGCTTTGTATCATCTCGCAGACGAAACTAAGAACAGCAAGTTGGAGGAGGAGAGCAATGATGTGCAAGAGGTTAAAGCCGAGCTTAACGAGGATGTTAAATGGCTTATGGTTACTGATGAAGATGAGAATGTAAAGGAAGACATTTGTGAAGACATCACCTCCCCTGATATTCATGCAAAGGTAACAGCCATTCAAGAAGCGAACATCACAAGAATTGAAACTGAGGAAGTAGAAGGGGAAGCCTTTGAACATGACCAGTGGCTGGACATCACGGAAGGAGAATCTTGGGCTGATATTGTCTCAAGGGAGATTCCTCTAGAGGATATCACTGTGTTTGAGGTGGCGAGAAATCTCCAGTGGTCAGATCAGGTCGCTGCAGAATATGAAACAGAGATTCAACCCACTACCGAACAAGTACACTCTTTTGAGAACCATGTCGAGAACGTTTCTCAAGATACTGAAATGAAAGAAACTGCAGAAGTCCAAGAGAGCTGTGGGGAAAACAAAGTGGTTGATAAGGAGATAAAGGTGCTCCGCCTTACTTGGGAAGAGCTTCTCTTAGCAGAGAGACACATGGCATCGGTTTACGTGGAAGAGTTGAGTTCAGATCAGATCAAATCAACAAGACTTAGTTTGGCACAAGAAGATCCTGCAATCCAGGCCTCTAGGGCCACATCCAGTGATAAGTAAGTGCGATTCAACCAGGGGGAAGGGAAACTTCTACATTCTACATTAATTAATTTGGTTAGTATACAGCATACAAAACATGTACAATCATTCCATACAGAAGGATGTTCATTTACTTCATAGCAATTACAACAATGACTGACGGTGGCAGAAAACGAAAAAATGTATGTATGTAACTAAACCTTAGAGTTCGTATGCTTTTTCAAGCTGTAGTTAATTAGAGATCACAGACAGATTCTCGAACAAAAATAAGGCTCAGAAGAATATGAAAATTATTGTCCACAGGGAGAGGTCCAAAGGAAAGAAGACACGAAGAAAGGAAAAAAGGAAACAGACGTTAAAAAGTGTGGCTGAAGAAGACCCTGCTATTCTGGATTACAGGGAAATACCCAGCCATGGGTGTGTGATTAACCATAACTATATGATTAACCATTAAAAAAGGAAAATTAAGAATCTAAATGTAGAAGGAATAGAATTGGGCGAAACTTTTGGTGCCAAAACTTTCTGCACAAGCCTATATAAAAAAGCTTTGAGGGACGATTACCAGTAGATTCAAGAACAGGACAGGCAGCTTTTAGACAAAATAAAATGTACGGCACATCACAATCAGGTGATGCTTTCCCTCCAGAGAGAGATTCAGCGTTACCTAATTATAACCTGACACATTTTAGCACTCTAAGCGAAATAAGAAAAAAAACGAAAAAAAAAAAAAAAATATGGAAAAATACTGGCTGAAAAAGATCCAGGCATTTTAGACTTCAAGGCACTTTGCACAATCCTAACCAGAGAATCACAAACTATTGCAAGATGAAGTAAATTGCAAATCGCAGCAGACAGCTTTAAGATCCAAATATATATATCATAACTATCTGGCGCTTTTTTTCTCACAGGGAAAGGTCTAAGGTCAAAAAGAGAAGAAGGAAACCAAGAAAGGAAAGAGAAGAAGCAAAACAAACATCCCCAAGCATGGCTGAGGAAGACCCTGCTATCGTGAATTAAAAATCCATCAAATATTCCCTAGCTAAAACTGCGATAAACGATGATATTAACTTTATAGACAACTTTTTGTTTGCATACTTTTGCTTGCCAGCACCATTTTTCTGTGAAACATTACCACTATAATTTGGAAAGGATCAGAGACTTTTACTGACTTTTTCAAAGGATCAGAGATTTTTTTCAAAGTTTTTTTCGGAGATATGCACAAAAAGAAAAGTGTATGAAGAATAACCTACTGCTGTAATTTTTTCATAAATAAACAAAAAATACGTTCTAAATACGGGCGTATTCTTGAAGATTTAATGTTTTGAATAAAATTGAAATCTTACAACATCTGTTCTAGACAATCTAGAAGTACGCGTCTCAGCTCAAACACCAGTTCATTCTGTTTCTCTCTTGCATTCATGTAGGCAAGAAATGTTGATCTAACTACTATGAGCGCAGAGTGCAACACCTGAAGGAGTGTTTCCCGTCAGAGTGGTGGAAGGAAACAAAGCGAGTTAGTGGTGTCACTGCTCTCATAATCGCCCACGACTCGGCCACCCGCGTTTTCCCGCGCTTCACTCAAACAGTTTTTTTTCACTTTGAGTTCTTATTGGCGCCTTTCGATACCCCCTTTCATCTAATTGGCTGTTGTGATTACTTTAAAATTGCTTTCTTGGCACTCAATCGAAACTGTATTAAGGGCAAGCACCGTTAGCTTTAACTCTTCATCTCTGCAGACCCGAGGCAGTAAGATAACTCCTACCCTGATGTTGTTAAATTTAGAGAAAATGGGTGGCAATTAACTTCACATAGAAAGCGAATTTCACTGGTTGCCGACTCGTATTGAAAACCCTGTTTACCATAACTTTGACTAATCCTAATAGTGGTGCTTTTTACAATAGATTTTCCCTATAAGATTCGATACATTTCCTTTCTGTTTGCGTTTGCGTTAACTTTGCATTTGCATGTGAACCAGACATTACTATGCTGCTTTGGTCGCAAAGAAACCTTTCTCACAGTTTAACTATGAGGAGTGTTGTTAACAAAAACGCGTCCGAAATAATTACGCAGATATTGCGGTTACTGTTAAGTACAACAGGAAAACCAAATATTGCATCAGCCAAGAAAAGAATCGTCAAGGCCAGTGGTCAATATACTGGGAAAACCCGCAAACCATACTTACTGATTTATAAAGAGATTAAAACAAATGCATTAGCTTCTTCGTTGAAGTAATGCCGGAAAAACATGGCACTTTGACAATATGCTTAGGCCGCGTCGTAAGGCGCGAAAGCAGCCAGTTATATTTATAGAAACGTGTTCGTGGCTTAAGCCTGCGTTTATAATATTCGTATTCATTTTTTACAAATTCTGATGGCAGTCGCTTTTGCCGTTTTACACTGTTTCAAGCAAAAGCGGTTATTGCAAAAAAGGTTGTAATTGTGAAAGATTCATTACTACGAATGACGGTTTTATAATTATGTCCGCTAATAAAAGAGGTTTGAATGCGGGTTCGGGTTTTGAAGGTTGACATTTGCATATTGTTTACTGGTAGCTACATTGCTAGCTTAAGAATGACAATTTCGTCCGCTCGAAAATGAGGTCAGCCTGTTACCATTGATGATTACCACGTCATCATAGCTATGAACTTCACACCGACATTCAAATCCAGCCATTGTGTGGAATGTTCATCATATGAACCTTTTTCAAAAGCCTGGCTAACACGTCCCTCTCGGAGTATTTATGCTTCAGTGAGTTAGCACCCGCGCTCCTGAGAAATCTTTAGGTGATAGGCTAAACTCCGTTTAGATCTAAGCACTCCTAATAAGAGTATGTGTCACTGATGAAAAATTCTCCATCACAGAGGGAAAATTGTTCAAAGTTAAATAATCCTGACTTTAAAGTTGATATGTGGTAATCAATGTCTAGTCTTTCTTGTCTCAGGCGCAGTGAGTTCAGAGGTGTAGCGTAAAGCAGGTGTGGCGTTAGCAATATTTTAACCAGCCTCTCTCCGCCGTTTTCAATCATTGATTATTGGAAATCTGTGAGATGTTCTTCTTCTGACTACTAAAAATGGCGTTTTCAAACGTGAAAAGTCATGTATTTTTATTTATCTTCCATGATCAATCAATTTTTTCAGGTTACCAATATCAACTTATGAGATTCCTACAATAAATTAAACATGACTACGATAAATCTTTACCTTGTTCGCTCTTTTTCACAGACCTATCGACATATCAGTGCTCACCACAGGGGTACTACTTTTTTAACTACCCACAACTTAACAAAAGAGACAAATAAATCTTTCAATCATCACAGTCAGCTTTCTTGATAGATATTAGACTACTAACTTGATGTTGTTTTTCTGAAATTATCACTTGCTATAATCTTTCGCGATTAAAATCATCTCTTGTTGTTTGTCTTTCGAAACACCTGACCACTCCAAAACTCTGGAACTTTCTAGGATGATCTTTACGTGATATCCGTATTCACTTGCCTCCAGATTTCACCAGGAAAAAAATCGAGAATTTTCTCTAAGTCATGACTACCGCTCGCCCAAATATAACAGCACGTCCAACTGAGCTTCATCTCATTCTTGTAAAACTGTCCCTCAACCAAAACGGATCGAAATCTTTAAAGTGGCCGGGTGTAAAAGTGACTAAAAAACGGCCTACATTGTCAATTCAGATGTGAAACCTTTTCAAAAGGGAGAGGAAAAGCTTGATGTTAGAAACCTCTGTTCAGCCATTCCCAATTTTGAGGTCAGTTGTTCTATTAAATGAACCACAAAGTACGTGCTCTTGGCCAAATACTAAGCTCATATGTATGTATCTTAATTTAAACTGTGGAGCGATTTATTATTAGAATCGGTTAATGTTGATCTACTTCCGATAAGTTTGCAGGCTTACACTTTACGCACTTAGACACTTTAGCTTGAAATATATAAAAAATGAAGTATTTAGGCATCAAACAAATTCCCAACAATATAATTTTAAAAAAAATGACTAAAGGGGCCAAGGAGCAGCGTCAGTGTTATAATTTGGTTTTATCAACTGAGTTGATAATGTAAAATTGGCCTCCGTAAAGAATTTCTCACGCTGACTTTTTGAGCTTCAGCCCTCTTCAGAGCAAATTCACATTATCAAAATCATTTTATAAAACAAGATTATCTCGGAAAACAATATCATCTTCGATCTTTATGATACTTGTAAAAGTGTCCATTTAAAGTACTAGAAATATATGTTACAGTGTACTACTAATTATGACCCTGGCTAGCTACTGGCCAGACAATCACTACAAGAGTGTGCGGGCTTTTTAAAGTTAACATAACAAAAGGTAAGTTTTGATTGCATAATGATAACATATTCTCTTCTATCAACAGTCGCCTCTCCGAGCTAAAGTAAAAACATCAACAATGGGTTTGGGATTATTTTAGGCCACACCCTTCCGCATAAAATTATTGTAATCTGCATATCGTTCGTACACCAACAGTTTCGTGCAGATTATCACATGCTGATTCGCTATTCATCTCCAGCAGTTTGAAGCTAATTTGTGTAAAGGCATATACATTACAAACCACAACTTTTGTCAAAGAGACAAACGAGATATTGTTGAGCCTTGAGCAGCGGAAAAAGCCTCTCAGGAGAGCGCATTAGAAGACGCCCTAACCGGAAAACAGTTCCAAAAGATTTAGCTCTGGCAAATCTGTTTGCTCTTGTCGAAGCGTAGCGAAAGGAAGTCGTTCCTTGACTTCGTAGGTTCCTTAAATAGAAATATACAATTGGTTAATTAAAAATTTCTAAGCGGTGTAATGATTTTAAATGGCTAATAGTTTGGTACTAAATGAGACTATTGTTCTCGCTCTCTAGGTGTCAAAAAGCCTTCGTTTTTGAAGTAAAATCACGCACAGTTTTCATCTTTCGTTAGTAAGAGTTGCACATTGAACAAGCCGAGAAAACACATTTTCACGAAGGAGTACAACTAGAGATTTTTCTCGAAATTCTGTTTTATTTCAAGCGCTTTAAGCTCTGTTTACGACCATGCGGCTATAATACAGTGAGATTCAATATCTAGAAATATCTCCGGATCCCATCACAAAGATAGCGCACTGCGCAATATCACCAATATCCGGATACAAAAGTTTTCATACGTAAAAGAGTTGTCAATGGTATGAGAGCTGGCGTTAATTATAACTAAACGTATCTCAAGAGCGCTGTTAGTTTGATTTCAACCGAGGAGAGATAAACACTCAAACTGAAAGCTCTCCGCGACTGGCGATCAGACATCCTGAACATCTCTTAGAACTGTGTTGAAGACGACCGACTCGGCGGAACACGTGGACGCTAGCCATGAAAATCGCCATCATTGGAGCAGGAGTGAGCGGTTTGACCTCCATAAAATGCTGTTTGGACGAAGGGCTCGAGCCAGTTTGCTTTGAGAAATGCTCCGACATCGGGGGACTCTGGAAATTTTCCCAACATGTGGACGGTTCGAGCGGTTCGGTTTATGAATCTACAGTCATCAACACTAGCAAAGAAATGACCTGCTTTTCAGATTTTCCAGCACCAAAGCATTTTCCGCCATTTATGCCTCATGGTCATGTGATAGAGTACCTGCATATGTATGCAAAGCATTTTGACCTCCTCAAACACATTCACTTCAATGCTACAGTGCTGGACATCAGCCGAACCTCAGACCACCGGAAAACAGGACACTGGAAAGTGACTTTCGCGAATGGCGAGGGAACTGTTTACGAAACTATTTTCGGCGGCGTAATGATCTGCAATGGTCACCTCTCAAAGCCATTTACCCCAAACTTCAACGGAATTGACAGATTTCAGGGACGCAAACTCCACAGCCACGAGTATAAAAGTTATCGAGGATTTGAAGGCAAAGCGGTCCTTGTCATAGGTAAGTTTGTTTTTATGGAATCCAAAATACTATAAACGCTTGCTATTTGTCGGAAATCCTATTTCAAGAAACCATCCCAGCTCAAAATGCTTCCATAAATAAGCAATTTTTGATTGCCATCCATTTTCTCAGGTTAAGAATTGTGCGGAAACTGCATAGACGGTAAGTTTCTGCAAACAAAATATTTGGCGAAATTCGATTTTTGTGTGTGGGTTTCCCACCTTGTTTAGCTATCAGAGTTTCACCGGTTCGTCTTAATTGTAAGTAAAGTGAACTGAACGGTGAATTCTTCGAAGCGAGTTTCATTGCCTTTGCATAATTATAATTGTCAGAGGTATAGTTTGAGCAACTCAGGAGAGACGCGAAAATTACGTAACTAGAAACTTCACCAGACCGAAGAAGGAACTAGGAAGTGTTTCGAGTTTACATAGATTCCTAAGAAAATCCATCAAATTGAGTCACATTGTGTAAGGAGTACGGAGATTTTTCCGCTTTCTTCTAATACCGTCGCTAACTGAATTTTCATTTCATCATATATGGTTAATTACGTCGATATCAATTGGATTTTGATGGCTTCATTCTCCCAACAGTTAAGCAAAGAATCTTCAATGAAGTTCTCAGCAACACATTAACAAAAACACTGATTGAAAAAGCCACAGAACCAATACAACCACCATAGTGACAAATGCCAATAAAAGAACTAATGCAGTGAAATCTTGACGCAATACCACAAAGTACAAATTCAATACACTTCCAAATTAGCTTTGTCGTTCTTAAACAAAGCAATTTTGATTTTGAGTTAAGGGAAAACCACTTGAATATTTAAGCCAAATTTGCTTATAGATTATCTAGGTTATATAACAGTTAGAGACACTTGTCTTCAAGGGCAGTTTCGTAGTACTATTTTTTTTTCTCACTATGGGGGAGATAGGCATTGTAAAGAAATAACTGTGAGACCGCGACGAAGAATGTAAGTGAAGAACACTTATTTCAAACAGATCACTGACGACACCCACCTGTTCTTATGGTAAACACTTTAGATTAGGATTAAATCATGGCCTACTGGGGATTTAGTAAAAAAAAGAAACTTGAAAACCACTATTATTACACGTATTTAGGGAATGACGGCGCTTAGGAGCGTTTATCAGAAATATTGCTTTCAAAGAGTACAAATTTACCCAGCTACATCCGGCTTGAGGCGACAGGTTATCAATTATCATTCTGCGGACAACAAACTGTATTTAAAACCAAAGATTACTCGCATTTTCCAAATGATCGCGTGGATACTGGCTTTTTGACAATACCGCTGAATTATTTAATTTTTTCTGCTCGATTTAGGAATAGTGCGATAACTATTTTATCAACTCAATGCAGTATTCACCAAAGAATTACCCAAAGAATTCGGCGAAATCTCTAGAAAACAAAGTTTAACTAATTAGTTATCATGCCAGAGAAGATTACGGAAGGGTTAAGTGAAAACGAGTTAGTTTCCAAATAACAAGCAAATATCGATCAATATCAAGACATAAAAACGTGTTCAAAAAAATTTGAATGAATTTCCCAAGCGTCAAATAATCGGACTGATTACTCTTACAGACTGTGCGAAACTTCATCAGCCAACGTGTTTGAAAGAAATTTAGATTTACTTAGACTGTTGAAACTGACCCCAAGGCCCGAGGCTAAATATTTATGGCAATGTATATTTCTCGCATGAATTATATTAACATAACATCATGAGGTTTTTTTGGCAATATACTCACCGTTCTCCTAAATATAGGCCACGGCCCCTTTAATAAACTGAATTCAGGAAAAGTGGGGTAATTTTCCTTGTTCTGTGGTTAAATTGGTAGAAGCTCATTAGCTTTAGCCTCAGTCGACTGATAATAATCTGGTGGCCTATATCACGGCCTATATTACGAGGAAAACGACGCACTTCTCGATCACCTGGGGGGAAAAATTCAGACAAACTCGCAGACTCGAGTGCAATATAGATGAGCAGTTCACCTTGGAAATTTCCTCTAATTATTTAAAGTATGTTTTGTTTTTATAATCGTGCACAAAGCAAATGAGACTTGGAAACCGAGGGACAACTGTTGATATGAATTCGCATTATCTACGAATCGGCTCCAGATTTCTCGTGAAACAAAAAGTTAACAAAAAATCAAGACCGCAGCAACTGAAGTTAAAAAAAAAAAAAAGGAGGGAAACTAGTTAACTATCTGTCTGTTTAAGGCACAGGCGGCGTTCATTATGCGGCCAGACCCAAGCCCTCCTCGTTTTCAAACACCTCGGCTACTATCGCTATTAACTCCGCTATTGGTCTTGTACCCAGAGCTTTCACGGCCAAGCGGCTGTAAGTCCCACATATTCAGTTACAATAACACGGTAGGATCTCGGTACGAGATTACTCCGCTTCTGGAATAAAAGAAGAACTGAAAACATCACTTTATAACAATGAGAAAAATCACAGGAAGTCAAGGAAATAATTGCATTTTGGGAATACTTCCAAAAACAAGTCCAGGAGAAATTGTCATTAAAAGTCACAATATCTATTCGTCCATTCGTCGCTTAGAAGTAGGTTTTCTCAAGAATTATAGCATAGCAGATAACCAATAGAATGCTACATCTGTGATTCCTCGAATGAATGAAGTCCTTAATGTTCCGAACTTATCTTAAATTACACATCTCCTCGTCACAGTATTGATAGGGGATTTTTTTTCGCAGGTCTTGGAAACTCTGCCGCTGACATTGCAGTTGAACTGAGCCGCCACGCCTCACAAGTTTATCTGAGTACTCACCGAGGAGCCTGGGTAATTTCACGCTTGGAGAAGCATGGACTGCCCTGGGACCAGCACGTAGAAACGAGGTTCTTTCAAAGCTTTCCGACAAAGATCAAGGAATGGTTGGCTATTCGTACCGCTCAAAAAAGGTTTGACCACGAGACGTACGGGCTCCGTCCCCAACACGGCATTTTAAATGCCCCCACGGTGATTAGTGATGACCTCCCTCTCCGTATCGCCACCGGAACTATCCAATTGCAGCCTAAACTATCTCATTTTACGCAGAGTGGCGTCGTTTTCTCCGACGGTACTAGAGTCGATAACCTGGAAGTTGTGATAATGTGCACTGGTTATGACATCGGGTTTGAGTTTCTAAAGGACAAGTATATCCTCCCAGTCGACGACAACCAGGTATCCCTGTACAAACAAGTGTTCCCACCCCACCACCCAAAGTCAACCATGGCTTTCATGGGTCTGATCCAGTCCTCTGGTGCGTTCTTCCCCGCGGCTGAGTTGCAAGCACGCTGGGTGACCCGCGTGTTTAATGGGAAGGCTAGGCTACCTAGCAGAGAGCTCATGTTGTACAACATAGGACTTGAGAAAAGGATGATCAGGAAAACCTTCTATGCCTCAAGGAGGCTCACAATCCAGGTATGAAAAGTCGTAGTACTGTATTTCAGCGACAGCTACTCTCTTCCTAAATTTTATTACCAAGAGGAACCATCTCTTTTCCTCCTGTCCCTTCAACTTCCAAAATCTGTTCAGTAGTTCTTCCTGTCACAATTTTTTTGGATAATAAATTGAAAGAACTTGAGAGTTACATGGAGATAAAATCCTACACCTGAATGGGTAATGAATGGCATGATAAAGCACGTTGTGAAAATGTGGCTCGAATTCGAAAAAGTGTTTCAAGACCACAACCCTTTCTTAGGAATTCTTCTAGAGACGAGAGTCAGATCACTAAAAGCTGAGTCCGTTCCCTTTTTAAATAACCCTTAAACTTACGGTGAAGAGTATTGTTTCATTTATTTTAGACTATTTTATGTTCTAAATGTTCACAAAATGTGTTCAGTACTTTTCATCAAAGATAAATACAATTCTCGCTCATCTTTATCTCCTTTTTTTTTAAGGTATCCAGTATTCCGTACAAGGACCAACTAGCGGAAATTATTGGCTGTAAACCAGACTTCAGACGACTCTTTTTCAGAGACCCTCTACTGGCCTTCAAGTGCTATTTCGGGCCTTGCTGTGCGGCTCAATACCGCCTTATGGGGCCTGGTGCCTGGTCTGGAGCCAAAAAGACCATCGAAGACACGTACAGCAACGAGATGTTCCCACACGTGGGAAGAAGAAATAAAACACCCACCAGTATATCACAAAGCGTGGTCAAATTCCTCAAGTTGGTCTTCATGTTTGTAACCGTTGCAACAATTAATGAATTGTCCCAAGATCTAAGAGGGGAATGGGACGCAGTGGTTGGCTGGCTGAGGGCTGCACGATAAGCTGTGGTACCCGGATGTGACTACTCCTGCATAAAGCCTCTGACCTGGGTAAAATTGCCGAGGACACGCCTGAGTTCGGGCCAGAACTTCCGATCGACTGAGACAACATCTTGATTCTGACAATGTAAATGACCGCAAGTTGAAGAGAGGTTCCAGGTCGCGATCAAAAACAAAAAACGAAGATAGTTATTTCGAGAGATAGCTTTCACGTTACTTCTTGAAGTTAAGAAAGTTCGAATACTTCTGCCTCTAAGAACTAAACAGATCTACAAACGACAAGGCAGTCTCTTTCAGGAATACCGTAAATATTTTACTTGCGCACATTAAGATGCCATGTAATATAATGATTTAGCGATGACAAAAAATGCAGGCGAGAAAAAACTCATTAATAGTAAGTTGACTGAAATCGCATGAGCAATCGTACATCTATTTATTGAAACCCACAAAAAAGGTCGCTCATTGTACGTATATGATATAAATTAAGCGTAGGAACTTAGGCGAAGAAAATAATCAAATCTGCAACGAAATGTAGCATTTGATAACAAAAAAAAATACAGGCTTCCGCTTTTTGAAAGCTGACATTGAGCAATATTTTGGCCGCTAACCTTATGGTTTCCGTGCTAGCTCAAATATATATATATTTCACATTCAGTAACATCATTTACAGAAGAATAAACTTACTTATTTATCAACATCATCATTTTTTATCCTTGTTGACTACAAATCGAGTGGAACTCACCTATTGCGAGGGATGGGTGGGTGGGGTGCGCGACAAGGTAACACCCTGCGCGCCAAGACAAGTATCCCAAACATCAAAACCAATAGTGGTCAGTTCGTGAGTGACTGAAGACACGGACAGTTCTCTGGTACCTGAATAAAAGTGAACCATAAGATATCTTAGAAAAAGTAAACTACAAGCAGTCCCTCATTTCCGTGCGCCTTACTTCCAGAGTTCCACGCGATAAGCTACCATCAATTTTTTCTTTTTTTTAATTTTTTTTATAGCAAATTCTTTTCGACTCGCGCAAAGGACTTTGCCGAAACGGTTCTGATGTATCTGACTAGAAACCTTGCTATTAAATCTGGAGTTCAAATGAACAACACTCTACAACTCCGGCCTGAATATACTTGTCTTCGAAGCCATCGTCCCTTTCCTTGGGTTCTCAACAAATTTGTAAATTAGATCAACAACAGGGAAAATTAAATGTGAATTAACCTCCCCATACAAAGTTAGAAGCCACCTTAACCCTTTCACTCCCAAGATCTCATTAGTACTTCTTGTTACTGGCTGCCATACAATTCTTATAATGTTAGTTCGGAGAATTTATTATTTGATCAACAACTAATTAACCTCCTGACTGATTTTTTCGCTATTATCATCACTTATCTGCCTGATATTGTATTGATATTGTAAGGAGAAATTCCGTCTTGGTCACTCATGGCAGTTAAAGGGTTAAGTTGAAATTTAGTAAGAGTTACGTAAAATTTCTTGACCTACAAAGTAACGTAAATAAAAAGTTCACGTCTCCTGAAGATTATAAACGCTCAACTGTTTGCTATTTTGGGTCGAAATAATCTCTTCGGAAGACGTGACGATTTTACCTACACAAGATCATATGCAAAATATCGAAGATCACCAAGACACAATACGGGCTTGAAAAGGTGTGCATAAGTATTCTTCAGAACATGTTACGAAGGATTACGTATTTTTGTAACATGCAGGAGAACGGCGTAAGCGAACCATTAATAAGAGGTCATTACAAAGAAATAGAAAAACATGCGAAACATTTGCGTGGCGCAATTGCACCTTAAACAAAGCCTGCTTTCTCTGTTCCAACAAACTTAAATTAACGTGACAAAAGTGCATCTAACGTGACAAAGTATACCTGGCGTGACAAGTGTAAAGGTACATCCTCCGCCGCCCGCTCCAGTCAACTTGGAGTGCAAACCGTGTTTAGCGGTCACGTGACACACCTGGTCCAATGAACTGTGGCTAACTCCTAATGTCACAAGCAACTGTTGGTTCAAGTCAATAAGTTTCTGTGTCCAAAATAACAAACATAAACAAAATAAACGGATTGGCAGACAAACAAGGAAATTTCTTTTCCCCCTAGCTTTACTTTCCTTATTCAACAACCTCCGAACTCTTCAAGCGAAGAAATACTCGGGTCCAGGCGTTCAGTAAACGGAGAGCACTATTGGCGCAGAACGAGGAAAGTATGGAGGCTTGACGAACACAGTGGTCCAACGTAGGGTATGCGCAAGGGTTTTTCTTTAAGCCGGCTGCGCGCCAATTTCCCGCGCAAAGTTATAAACGCAAACAAAAGAAACAACCGCTGTCACGCAAAATATACCAGGAAGAAATTGAGACACTCAAACAAATTTGTGTAACGCGTACACAAAGGAGACGAACATTTGATTAAAAGAGTCCTCTTTTCCATCCCACTGTAAAACAAGGAAGGCACACTCATGCAATTAGAAAGCCAGCACAGTGTGATGATACAATGAAGAGGAAAACGTCTACCTTAAACATACAATAGTGCTCTTGAGAGTTTTCTTCTTCCGGTGGTGAAGCTGCTGCAAAAAGAGAAAAGTCTGGTGGTCAGTAGAGGCTAGTCCTGATGTTAACTCGAGAAAATTCCATCCACATCTGAGTGGTGCCACGTCGACTTTTGACACACATTAAAAATATTAAGGAAAAAAAACACTTCTGAGAACACATACCTTGGATTTGATACAGCTTCTCAAGATACACACAGCTCTCTTCTGCGATAGCACCAACAGCATCAAACAAAGGATTGTAAACAGAAGGAAGCTAGAGATTTTTAGAAAAAGAGTGGTTAAAAAGATTATAATGTCAAGACAGCTTTGATTCATTTTTGGAAAATGTACTTAACCCCTTAACTCCTAAAGGTGATTAACATGTATCTTCTCCCAATAGCATCCATACATTGTCTGGCAAACAGGTAATGAGAATACCGAATACAAGCCGAAGTTGTTGCCTTGATCCAACACCAAATTTTTGTAACTAATTAACATGGAAATGTGTCACAGCAAGAAGGGAGAATTAACAATCAGATCTTGGGAGTTAAAGGGTTAAGTAACCGGCCTAACTGGCATTCAAGCCTGAAAACAAAATTGACAAAACAAACAGTTAAAGATTCTGTAGTTCATCATTTCACCTGTTGACATCTGTCCCTTAAGCCTGCCACTAACTTCTTTGTGCTGCGGGGTATCTTTGTGTCTGTTATCAAGACCCTGAGCTGTGGAATTCTGTTATAAAAGACATAAACTCCTGAATCAGAAGAAAATTTTAGTAAAATAAATTAAAACATGTAAGTTATGATAAGCCTAATTAGCAAAGATTACTATTTTGTCAGCCTGCATTGGAGGGCTGGAGACAGGTACAAAGCACGAGGAGTGTTAGCTGGTAGGTTGTAATTTGCAGTTGTTCAAAGGGTGAGGCATTCTTCAGCTAACCTTTTCTTATTTTCGTTTATAAAGACTGTCATATTGTCACCAGATTTTTCTTTTATATATTGTAATATTCTCTTCTCAGAGAAAATTTTATCTAAAATCTCAGGGGTTACACTACTGCCTTTGGTAGGTATATGTTCCCTGTTTTTTTTTTTCAGCAGCTAGTCTTTAAGGGTTTTGGAAAGTGGATTTGGAACATTTATTTTACCTTGATTGTATACACCTGTACATTTGTAGGCACATTGGTGCTACACAAACAGTACCATAGCTTGGCTGCCTGGGTATCATCACCTTGGTACCCAGTCAAGTAGTGGAGGCAAAATTCAAGTGACAGCTGCTATCTTCAATTGCCACAGCTCAATATCAATAAATACACCTCTGATTTGAATTATAATGCTGACAATAATTTGCTTTTCAAATGTTCATTTATTATATAGTACCTTGACAAGTGCTCAATCGTTCCATCTTGGAAAGTAAGAACTGCTCCTAAAAAAGAATGATCAGCTACTAATCAAATGAATTGAGAATACTCCATGAAAGGGTTGTAATGCAGAGTCATTCATTAAAATCATAAGAATAATGAAAATGATTATCAATTTAAGAATCTTTGATTGCTAAGCCAATTCTCCTTGTCAGCACCAAAGGCAATGTATAGAGAAGAGTGGGGAGAATTTTGATACTGGGGTGTAAAGGGTTACCATAATATCAAACTCTAAGCTAGGCCTAAAGGGAGTTGGGTTGTGCACTGTACATTAGTATCCTGGGAACATAGGAACATCCTATTTTGTTTCTACCTACCATATGTACAAACTGAGTTGTCAATTCCAGATGGCTTTCCATGAACAAGCTTTTCTGCCTCTAAACTCCACTTACAAATTAACTCCAGGTCTTTAACAGACAGAGATGCCATTTCATTTTGGCATAGCTCTCTCTCATCACCTAGAATGGATCTCATCATTGAGGGTTGTGAAATCTTTCCTGTTACTGCCAGAAGAGCTGTGGAAAGGCAAACACAGTATGATGCTGATGATCCCAAACCAGCTCCAACTGGTAAAGACGTGTTCACTACCACTGAGAATGAAGGAACCCTAGAAAAAAGGATAATTGTTTAGCACATAATTTTGGACCTCAGCACAAACAATTAACCCACGCCTTTCACATCTTAAATTCTTCACTGCATCCCTGACACATAACTCTATTCCATACACTGAACAGTAATTCCACATGTCCTCTCAGAAATTGTCCTAAAAGAAGTTGAGATGATTTTAGATCCTCCAGTTACATTACAAATCCATGCTGTGCATAATTTAAGGCATGTTGAGTATGCACACACATGCACATACACAAAACAATAACTGAGGCTTCCTCTTAACCTTCAAGGTTTGTCAGAAAGGTTGTTGAGGTTGCTCATATTACAATGAGTTTCTTGCTTTTTCCATGAATGTGCATGAGTGTTATTACCATTACACAGTGAAACCTCAAATAAGTGGACACCCTCAGAACCTTCTGAAGTGTCTGCTTAATAGAGGGTGTCCAATGAATAGAGGTTTGTAAAAATTGCACAATGTTCGTTTATGATTGACATTCAATGTTTACTCTGTACTGCAATAATGTTCCATGTTGTTAACAAAGCTATCCACAGTTCAAGTTCATTACCTTGCATTACCAACTTTAATTTGTTGATAGTAATGCAAAAACATAACAGCAAAATAGCCACAATAATACATGCCATACAATGACTCTTTGATTACATTTGATTGACTGTTTCAAGGATGTAATTCCATACACCACAGTGTCAGTTCAGTACAGTGTCTGCTAAATAGTGGTTTTTAACAATAGAAATTAGCCAAATGCAATTTATTTTAGTGTTCAAGTAAGCTTAATCCTTTAGACCCTAAGAGCGACTAGCAGTTTCATTGTATGAAATGATCATTTGAGCATGACCCTTATCTAAGCCTACCTATCAATTTCTTCAACAATCTGGCCAATGAGGTAAACAAACACACTTATTGCATCGTTAATGACTCTCTCATCCACTTCTTTGACCTCAGAGAGGTCAAAAGACCTTTTGAACAGCTTTCTTCCATCCTGTGGCCAACATGATCCATCTCTACCTGAGAAATAAAAAAAACAAATCAACAACTCTCAAACTCACCAATGTGGTAGAAGAAGAGCTGATCAACTTTTATCATGCAAAGAAGTGCAGAAGGCACTCACTGCATCATTTGCAATTCACCTGGTCCCAGAAAAGTGCAGAGAACTCAAAGGCAAAATGGACAGTAAAAGTAATCCAGCAGTACATATCTGGGTGAGGTAAGTTACTCTCGTATTAAAACAACAGTAGCATTTTGATTACCATGCCTGTGACAGAATTCTAAATGGCTGACATTTCAGAGCACACTCTCAAACGTAATGATAATTTATTGGGTCTGAGAAAAGAGCCTCAACTGATTGACTGGTGATATTTTGATGTCCACGCAATGCAATGTTCAAAATGATTATATCATCAACATGAGACAAGTGGCTCATCCTGTTCAAGCTTTCAAGGTATGAGTCAGATAACACAGCTCCAAGCCTATCTATTCAGTCACTATTTAGCAACCTAAAACCATAATGTAGCCACTAGAACTACAAGTTTAGTTATATGAAAAAAGGAAAAAAAGAAAAAAAAATCTGATGATACTTTTTGGGAAAATTGAGTCATGTCAAAGCTTGACACTCTGAAGAGAGGCATTGTAAGAACAAAGAATCTTGACAGAAAACACCTCATAATGACCCAGCCCATATCATTTGATAAGTATATATCTCAGGTGTGACTAACAACCAATTCTTATTTCAGTCTCAAGATGATTTACCCTTGCAAGATATGATGCACACTGATGTAGTTTTTACCATGGAACCTTGAAAAAGAGTCAAAGTTTGGATTTGCTATGACATAACCTGATCATGGCAGAGTGTTTTGTAACAATATGTCCTTTTTAACTAGTTAACAGTACTGCTTATGTAATCAAGAAATAAAAAGTCCTTTCCCACGTCCAATTCCCCCCCCCCCCTCCACCCACTCACCCACCCCTGTATCATCTACAACAGCCCCACTCCAGTGGTTTCTAGCTGAAAATGGCAAAATTCACTGAGCCCCTGGAAGGGGATAATTTGCAAGTTTGACAAGCATGAACTTAGATTTCCAGACATCCTATAAAAGTATACAGTTCACTCTACACTGAGACCTTACCAAGTTTTTCCACATCTTGTTGTAGCTCCTCTCCTTTCCACCTGCACGTTGTCCCAAAGTTTAGCAATTTCAGCGTAAACTGACCGGCGTTGGTTGCTTCCAATTTGAGTGTTGTCCTCAAATCGATAGCTGCTGCAACGGCTTTCTAAAAAGGTGGAGATAGCAACCATTAATTCCTTCCTATAGAGTATTGTAAACAAACCCATTCAAAACGCGCTTATTCAAAGGCGAAAAGCTAAAAATAACTACCTTTCCATAGACAACTGCATGTTCTCCGTGAAGGATTATCTTTCCTGGGGCAGTGACGGTAAAAGAAGGAGAAATCATTCGCCTCTTCGCCCGACAAGAACGAATAAACACGACAGATTGAGATAGTTCGGTATTACCGCACGGTGGCCGCCATTTTGTTTTACTGCTGACCAATAATACTGAACACATATATTGTCCTCAATCTACCAAGCACCTCTCTAAACTCACTTGAAATTTTTTTAATCTCTGACTTTCGTTATCTAGAAATTGGAATCTAGCAGTTGTATCCAGGACATTGGGTGAGGCAAGAGAGCCTACTCAAGACATTGACCCAGAGAACTGAAATTGATTCAGGACCCTGACAACCTTTCTCCTACGCTTCAAGCGGCTTGCTTCTTTTTTGTTTGAGTTCCTATTGGCTATGTTATGTTTGGTTCTGCTTGGCCACTTAAGTCAGGGGAAGTTGTCTACAAACAAATAGATTCCATGTTGCCGAAGCGCAGCCAAAAGTGTGCCTGTGATCCATCACTGTACAGACCCACGGCAACAAGGAATCTAATTACTTGATGTGATAAAAAAGCAAAGTGTTGGTTATGATGACGTCATCTATACGTCTGTCCTCCAATGAATCATGAGTAAAGAACCAATCAAAACGCGGCTATGACTCTCCCCATCACAAGAAGTCAGTTTGACACCGAATTTTCAAGACCAGCCAAACAAGAAATATTCACTCCTCGCTTAGGAAAATAAAACTGTTGGATTTTGACGCACTAGAAATACGATTTGTCAAAGAAATACAACTGAACAGCAGCAAAAAAAAGTTAAAATACAATTATTTTTTCATTTACTGTCCAAATGGCGACGGAAATAACATGACATTACAAAAATGCTGCAAACTTACGTCATTGCAAAGAGATAGCCTGCATAAACATCTATTTATTATTTATATATACAGTACACTCATCTTTGTTGTAGAGAACTTAAAATATCGACAAATATATCTTAAAATATTATATTAAACTAATTATAACACTCTTTTTGTTCATCTATGAACCAAAATTATCTTAAGTTTGGGAACCAGCTGAAAACGTGGATGAAAATAACTTTAAATGGAATAAGTTGCTGAGTCTCTCGGTCAAGACTTAACACGTCCCTTAACAGGACTTAGGTACTTGTCGTCAAATAGTTTTCTTCTTCTGCGACCAGAAAATCTAAATAGCTTTAAACAAATAATTTCCGTAATTTTACACTATTCCTCAAAGATCTACTTTAACAAGTCTTGGCTTGTTAAGCCTTAAGCTTCGCTTTTTGTTTTTTTATTTGTTCTACTGACACTCTTTTTCCATCACACGGTTCATGAAATATTCATGACGGGTGAAAGTTTCTGAAAAAATTTGTGCGTAAAACGGGATCAGGACCCCCCTTCCACACCACCCCTTTGCTATTCTCTCCGAATGGCTCTCAACGACTTGTCATCGAACGAAGTGATCCATATGAGGTCCGTCGAGATCCAGAAAACCGGAATTTGTCTTCACTTTCCAGCAGTATATTTCTTCGCTGTTCTGAAGCTTCACGGAAGTTTTTTCTGGCCCAGCCATAGACTATACAGTTGAAGAAGCCTTGCATAGGTGCAGTTAAACCCTGTTAATAACAAAACGCAAAAGAAAAGACGTCAATACTACAAGGAATTTTATGTAAGATAGATATATCAAGATTATGATATTTTAAGTTTGTCACGAGCGTCGAGCAAAGAAAATTCTGGCAACCCCTTGAGGAACAGACCCCAGCTTGCTACGATTTTGCGCCGGGAAGCTTCAATTATTGAGCCGTAGAAAACTCTTTAGTAAGCTAGGCCATAAACTAAGTTCATAGGCGACTAGCATCCGGCATAGTTCAAAATTATTCCCCGAAGTGTGTCAATATCCGCCACTTTCACGGTCACGAGGGTTGAGGGTTGATTATTTATACCACACAAGAACCAAACAAATTGTTTATTACTCTCAATTTACAAACAAATGGTCGGAAATTAATCTTTTCGTGCGCGAATTTGTCCCTTTCGCTGCACGAAGGTCTATAGTACTTGCCAATCACTCACTCCCGAACTAGCCAATCAGAGCGCGCAAAAAGCTTTATTCAACTGATTTGACTGTGTGGATATACCATAACTAACATTTGCAATGAACATGGAAAAAAAAAATTCGAGCGTCTTGAAAAGATCCAAACTCAGTCAGTTCCAAGCACGGTTAGAGAGTCTTCGATACACTGTCTTTCTACTCCACCAATAAAATCGAGTCGCCTGCTTTCTTTACTTCAACTTCGTTGACGTAAATTATTCCGTGCTCCTAAAAAACGGTGCTCTCATTTTTATTCCGGCACCGGCTGCGCAGTTAGACAATTCACTGGTACCCATTCCTATTCCTGAGTGGAGAGAGGAAATGCAAAGGTTCCTTACCCAGAATATAAAAGAGAGAGCCTTGTTGGTAAGGACTCGAACACAGACCCTTCCCAATTCAAAATCCGGCGCAATTATAATAAAGCCACAGGGATCAACTAGAGAACGAAGCCCAAAATAGTGTCAACACTTACTTGAAAGAAGAACACGAGGGGCCAATGCTGCAGGTTAGTGATAGTTACTCCGGGTGCGATGTCACAAGCTGCTACCACAAGTGCTGAAAATAATAACAAACAAAATAGGAGATGAAAGTTGACGAATCCAACTTCAAATTAGGGTCGATTATCAGCCGCTGATCGGAAAACGAACCCGCACATCTCCCCCCGACTAAAGGAGGATTGAAGACTGGGTCGAGGAAACGACGGAAATCAAGCCTTGATTCTGAGTCAATCGTGACAAAATGATCAAATACTAAAGTGCTTCACTTGCTCGTCAACAGACCTCATTCATCCAGGTGCTGGCGTACGACTTTTCGCAGTATCTTGTTTGTCAGTAGTTAGCATTTAATGTCAAAATGAATATATGCGTGCATACGCGAGATGATGACTGTCCAAACTAAAACGTTAGAAATATCTTACCCGGGCTCCAGCATACCAAGAACACCAATACGTAAAGAAAGACTTTGTTACGAATAGCATCAATGCTGACCCGCTCTAGGTTTGTCAGTACTCCTGAAAAACAAAACACAAAGTGCGAAGTCGTCAAAGAATATAATACATGCTCGGTTCCATCTACTGACGTTCCCTCCCCCCCTTCTCAAAGGTGATGTATTATCTCTTCAACAACTTCCTAGCGGGTAGCGGGTGGGCATTTCTTTGGACAAGGGTGGCGCTCTTCTTTGTGATACCGGATGGGTCCGTTAAACCAATACGTGACTGTTACACAACGCATCCACAACCTTGCGCACCCATTCCGCTGTACGAAGGCGGTGAAGGCAACGAGGGAAAGTAGCAAAGTCTCCACAAACGAAACTCACAGAAATCGGCGCGCATACTATTTGCCTTGCTTTCCAAACTGGGTGGTAGCATTAGCGATTCATGTTATTTTTAAATCTTCATTCTCATTATTGGAGAAGCCAAGCACTGGGTTTTTGGCAAACGTTAAAAATTGAATCTCTTACCGTGTGCTTTCAATCATTTGTACATTGTACATTCCAGTTAAAATAATTGCATTATCTGTGAGTGAAAAAATTAATGTTTTGCTACTTCTCAGAATAGTTTTGCTTTTCTTTGTTAAACACAAATACTAACCCGAATGTAGGACAGCTTTTCTGTAGGTTCTGACCGTTAAAAAATACACCACCTGTAAAACAAATAGATTAACTTTGAGATGATGAAATGTAGATTTTCCTAAAGAGTATGCGGCAATGTTCATAACAGATAACATGCAGTGTAAAGATGAATCGTGGCAAGAGGTCCGATATAATCGCAATGATAGGTCAGTCACCTTAAACACGCCGTTTAGATAGAGGGGAAAGAGTATGCAGCTCTTTGTGATTCTAAAAATTCGACTGTGGGTTACATGTAGCTTAATTTTCATCCTTTCCTTCGATCTCTAAAGCATTCTCTAAGTTTAAAAAACCTATTCACACCCTTAATAGAACTACTAAAATAGCGATCGACCATCAACGTACAGCAACCAAAACTTCGCGCCTATTCCAGAACTAACATCCAAAATTATCTCATGAAGGAGGCGCGTTGGGCTGATGATTGAGGAGCTCGACTCCGATCCAAGGGTCTCAGTACACTGGCCGGGCTCTCTTTGCTGAGTTCTTGTCAAGTCACTGTACTCTTACGATGTCCCTCCCCACCCCCGAGGAAATCTTAGGCTTGTTTACGAGACATTATTTGGGAGGGGGGCCCCTTTCTTCTTACTAGCTGCCTATTTCCAAGGAAACTTGGATAAGCTACTAAGCTACCACTGTGCCACTAAACTTGTGTGCCAGATATTACTTTGGAGGGGGGGGGGGGGGAATAAGGGACTTGATGTTTTAAGGGGTCTTTTTCTGGATCTCTTAATTTAAAATAATTATTGATGACATATAAGCTGGATACAGTTTCTCCTACCATGAGCGCCACGATGGAGAAAACTAAAGTTGCAACCAGTGCAATAGAACCATAAGCCTCCCAATATCGTGGTTCTCCATCATCCGGAAGAGACTGCGAGGAAAAACGTACGTAAGCCCATCTTGGTTAATTAACAAAAAGGATCTAGGCCGTACTATCTTCAATTTTTTTAATCGCTGGAAATTAACGTTAATTGGAGATAAAGTTTCATTTTTTCGTCAGGACAAACAAGAAAGAAACTCGAATGCATTAGCTGCAAGTGACGCGCCTAAAAAATATAGGATAAAAATTGAAATATGTGCATACTGAGAAGTGGTTCTTTTTAATCCTGGAGAAAAAATCGAAACAAAATACAATAATTATCATGTCATCATCGCACCCATAACAATAAATCTGAGGAACCAGGGATACTGATTTTCCAAAGGAAAGGGATTAATAATAATAATTATAACAATAATAATAATATAATGGAATATGATAATTCCATCATCGTATTCCATAGAGGACGCATAGCCACGGAACCCTTAGAGAATTTAATTACTGGCACACACAGAGTTATTTGATCATAAGTGCTTCATTAATCCTGCTATCCATCCAATTTGCACTCGAGTCGTTGCAGTCAATCCATTTTTCCTGGCGTTGATGTCCACAAGCCAGATTTTACCATTCCACTGTTAATAATGGTTCAGTAGTAATAGTTAAATAGTGCTAATCTCATAACCCAACGGCATGTGAAACCTACCTTTGCCTTCGGTCGATCAAAAAGTAAAAGGCAACTAGAAATAAAAAAAAAATAGCAGGTAGGCTTTAAAATTAAAGTACATGCTGTAGTATAGAAATAACCGACATCTGACGATTGCATCATAAATCGCCATTTTTCTCTCCGTATCACCCCGAGGAAATATTTATTTCCACACTTAGATAGCCTGTAAACGATTATTTCAGGCTGGTTTAATCAAAACAGTTTTCATTTATCCTTTAAAGAGTAAAAAGTTATACCCAGTTGTGGCAGAAGTAAAAAAGATCAAGAGAGGACTTCGTGTCGGTATTACATCAAATGGCTACCAGGTGATGGCAATGGCCAACTCTTGCAAGGCCTATAATGCAGGTCTTATCCAAGAAACTATATGCAATTATTATTATTAAATTAATTAGTAGCTGTCCCCATATATGTTCTCAGTACTTACTGAGTGCAGTTGTCATGTGGGGTTCTTTTTTTATCATCCTCAGCCAACAGCAAAGGCAACATAATTGCAAAAGGCACTAACCTATAAGAAAACAAGCAGCCTTAATAATGCCACTGGCCGGATATATTTTGAACTTCAAAACAAATAGACATGTGCTGTTGCTTAATAGACTTTAGAGATTTCCTGTTTAAAATATTGCCTATTGTCTTTTAATACTTTATCTTAACAAAGTAAATTATCGAGTTTGAATACTTAAATCTCAAGATATCAACAGCCTTGAAACACTCTGTTGATGGCATTGGAGGGTGGGGGCTGTAAAGGAAGCCACTGAGAAGGAAAGTGAACAGCAAGCTTCTCAGCCACAAGGAGCACACCATGGCAACAAGACCACAGCCCACTTAAGGTCATAACCTGGCAACACATTACCCACAAACCTGAAGTGGACTGAGAGGGAGAGGGTGAAAAAAACAAAACAAAACAAAACAAACAAAGCTGCTAGGTAAATTAGGAAAAAATAGGCAGTCTGAGATGATTGATTGAGGGAGAAGATTTCATTTAAAAAAAATTTTTTAATTTAGCAAGTGGTACAGCAAAATACACCAAAATAAACTTATTTCAATTCACAATGACATGATGTAAGGCACTCACCAACATAATGCATATAATATCCTAGTGGGCCATAGGTGAGATGTTGTTGAAGAAACCTTGTCAGTAAAATACAACATAATTAGAGCGCACACACTATAATGAGTAAAGATATTATCTATTAGCCAGTACATTTTCCTTTTCCTTTCCTTTCTTTGTGTTATCTTGCCAACCTGTCATTTATTTTCATTTAATGCTGATGCCATCTGGCTGCCTGGCTCCACTAGCCCCTATGGTCATTCCAGGTACTCTAATTTTATTTCCATTTTTTTTTGTTTTGCAATAGCTCACAAGGTAGGAGAGAGTACAAATAAAGATTGCTTTGTTGTTGTGCCATATACAAGGTTTGTACTGTCTGAAATCATAAAATTTGAAGACCTTTTCTTACATGTAGGAATTATAAGCAAGTTAAAACCAATGTTGTTCTACAACAATCATGCAATGAGCCAAGGCACTTTCTCTTAGTTCAAACTTTAATTTTTTTGTCAGTCACAAGTGATAGTTGAAACTACCATCAACTCTCATGACTGTTTGAACAGGGCTTTTAAGTAAGAATGTAAAAACCACCCATAGGGGTTTCAATCACTTTTTCCACATGCATCTGCAAAAATATTTGCAATGTTTATAGTTTTTTTGAGGTTCACAGTACTTACTGACAGTAACTGAAAAGTGGTGATATTTTTAGCCTTTTCTCTGAGTCTGATGTATGCATTCAAACCATAGTTGACAGTCAAAAAGAATGATGCCAGATGCGCCATCTAGGGAAGAAAAAATGGTGTTCATAATAAGAAGTTTCTTACTAATAAACCTTTATTTCACAGTCAAAACCAAAACTTGGAATTGATTTTGCATATCCCTGTGTTTGCAAACAATTTGGGCTAACCCAGGATTACAAGCCTAGATTGAAAAATCTTCATTGGGAAACTTAAAACAACTTTAAGTGTTTCTTCAGTCATAACAATGCTGAATTCAGACATAATTTGTTCACCACATGATTTGCTCATAAGAAAATCCAAAGTTGATGACACCATTGGAATCCTGCAATTTGCCTTTGCTGAAGCTTTAGACGCTGATTAACCTTTGGACCCCTAAGAGTGACTAACAACTAATTTCTCCTCACAATACCACCCCTGAGTCACACAGTCACATAAGGCTAAGGTCATGAGAATAAAGGAAATGATCACCAACTAAAGAAGCTCTACTTGATTGTTTTAAACAAATTCTCCTTGTCAGCACCTCAGGAAAGGTATCAAGAAAAGTATGGAGATTATGCATACTGATGCAGTGATTTCAAAACAAGACGGTGACTGCCAGAGTTCTGCCGGCAACTTGATACCATGTCGCCTGCAGTTACTCTGGTCAAAATAATAACCTTTTTATTGGCCTTTGCCCTTCCACTCCCAAGATCTCATTGGTAATAAATTCTCTGAACTGTCTGCTTTACCATTCTCATGAAAGATGTTAATATGGAGAATTTGGTGTTGGATCGACTACTAAATTGATATTTAATTATTCTTTATTCTCATCACTTGTCTGCTATGTTAGGATTCAGAGGGTCAGATCACGCTATTTGCAAAAATTATACAACTTACCTCTCCTATTACATCTAATAAAAAACATGCAGAAGTTTCATGGTGAAACCAACGACAAGCCCCAGCAAACCACAGAGAAGCTAAAATCAGATCTGCCAAGGCTAAGTGAAACAAAGGGTGCACCTAGAAAATGAAAAAAAAATCAACTTTTGAAGAAACAAACATTGAATATCATAATTTTACCAATTAGCTGGATTATTGGCTTGAGATTTTGATAACAGGATAGATAGTGTGGGAAAACCCCAAATCAATTATAATGGAGAGAAATTGAGAGCAACCAATCTCACTGTTTTATAGTATAAAACCACAAGTTGTTCTAAACTTAGAAATAAGACAGGCTTGTTTCTATCTCATTTTGTTAACAATTGCACACTGTTAGGTTACCACCTTTTCTCATTATCTACCGCACAATAAATAGCAATCAGCACAGCCAATTAGATAAAAACCGGAGATTTTTCCTTTGCATAATTTTGAAAAAAATTCTGTTTATACTACAGGAGCTTCATTCTGAGCAAAGGTATCAATGATGTGTTCTAAAATGCTCTCACTCCCAGTTGTCAAAAATGATGTCAACAGCTTGTTGAGTGTATGAGCACTAAGTGACAAAAACAAAACAGAAATTGGTTTATTTTGTTGAGCATTTACCTTCAGTTCTGTTCATTTGACCTAGGAGGCTGACAGAGGTAACAAACATTACCTTTGCAATGAAAGCCAAGCAATTGAGGCTTTTTTCCTTTTCCCCATAATTAAATTTAATTCATTGCTGGATATGGACATGTCCAAATCAGTTCAAAGTCCTGATAGTCTTTTGACCAACTCAGTGATAAAAGACTTTCACATACCTCTGGACTTCTTACAATCCTTTTCCAGACTGAAAAAATGATCACTGAGCTAGCTCCAAGGATGCTTAAAATGCAAAGTTACAAGAAAAAATGTCAGAGCCACAGGAAATGAGTTTTAATTAAATCTGCTTGAATAAAAATATTTGAATTCTTTCTAAGGCAGATCATTGAAGCAATCAATAATGACAACATTGCCCTAGACAAATTCAGATATCTCTACTGCACATCTACAAGTACGATCATTTTAAGTCCACTGTCTTTCTATTTTTAAGCATAACATGTAAAAGGAATTTCAAAGTGGTACAGCAATCCATTTTACCAGTTGAAGTTTCAGGAATTCCAAGTAATTTATGGGGGTAATATTAGTGGTATTAGTATATATACTAATACAGTGGATAGCATTGAAGGTGCACTCTGATTGGCTAATGAAACTCAGAATATCCTTTGCTATTACAACTCTTGCAGGATTTATGCTCAAAAATATTGTAATCATTGCAGGAATGAATGAGTTCAAATCATTCTTCTTGTGCTACATTATCTCACTGTTTTAGTATAAAAAATTATACTACAACAACCATGCACCTCAGTGTTGGTGACTGGTGGTGGATATATACTTTGCCGCTTTACACCACAGTACACATCTACCACTAGTAACCTCCACTTGGGTGAACAGTTGTCAACTACAGACAGTAAATTTTACCATTTACTGCCTGAAAGGGATAACACTGTAAGTCACACCAAATAAAAAGTAGTTACAAACCTTAGCCCTGAGGTCACAATGTAAGTAATAGCAATTTCCTTTTTCTATAAAATAAAAAAATAGGTCTATCAAAATACATCACATCACTCAAAATGATTGTTTGAGCAATTATTAGACTAAAGAGGTTCACTGTTTTACCAATTTTCTCCACATTTCTTCTACTTTCTGTTCAACACTAAAGAAAGTTTAGTGATCCTTCACATAATACTACTTAAAACCATCTATAACTTTCAGAACCCAGGTTTGAATAATCATGTGTAGATTTAAGACATCAATTCAGGAGACAGGTGCGGAAAATAAAATATTTTGGATTGATGCAAGAATCAGGAAGCATGTCCTTAACAAGAGTTCCTGAAGTTACCCCCTCTCCCCTTCTACCCATAGCAAGGTATCAGTGATACACATGGACAGTTAACTCTAATTAACAGGGTAATTTAGTATTATCAACTGGGTTGATAATGTAGATTGGCCACCATAAAGGGTTTCAAAGCTGTTGTTTTGAGCATAAGCCCTTCACCATTTGCTCTGATGATGGGCTAACGCTTGAAATGTCAGCTTTGAAACTCTCAACAGTGGCCAACCAATATTATTCACACAGTTGATGATACTGTTATGCTCTTCCACTGACATAGCACCACAAATTTTTTGGAAACTTAACCCCTTAACTCTAATTAAACTGCTTTCAATGTAGTACATGGTAAGATTTCCACAAAGCCCCTTGTTTCACCATGTGTGGAGCTCTTGGATAAAGAAAACAATGGCTAAAAAGCATTGATTGCCTTTAGGACTACAGCTTTGATTTACAATAGTATGGGGCTATGCATAAATCAGAAACCCCTGTAGAAAAATTTTAATTCAACCCTAGGCTCTAACTGTTAGTATAGGTGATAAGATGATTTTAAGTGCAATTTAGTGTAAATGAGCACCAATGAATTTGCCAAAGACAGCAAAATTGCACTAGTGATAATTGTACGATAGGGCAAGTACAAATGTAGTCTTTGAAAAATTTACAAGTGCTTATTACACCAAACATTGCAAGAGAAATCATGTTATTACTTGTTAATGATGTACATGAAAAAACATTGCAGAAAAGCAAGACAGACAAAATTTTGAAAGCATGCACGTGCTATTTGTAATTTGCACTCGTGTTACACCTTTGCACTCGTGTTACACTCGTTTTCAGCCAATCAGAAGCGCGTAATTGTTTCTTGAACATCATTTCTATGGGAACATATATTAAATAGCTCTTCCTAAGTGAACAAACAAACCTATGAAACTAAAACATGATGAAAAATGAAAAATAAATAGCGAGGCATAAGAGAAAATTACGATACGTAGGCGCGAAAAAACTCATGCTGAGTTAATAGTCCTAAATGACAAAGAATTATTGTTTTACGCAGATAAAATTTTCGACAAGTATCATACCACTTTAGGGCTTTGGATAGGACAAATGAGAACCATAGCGTTTTTTGTAGACGTATTGTTCGCAATCGAGCTTCCCATGGAGTTCGACATGGTAGCGACGGCGATGTACGAAGTCACCAGTCAGTCACAGTAGTTATCGATGTCTAACTTGGGTAGACGCCAATAATCCTTCGCAGGCGACTTGTTCCCTATGTGAATCTTTCACTGTAAACCCGTAAAACGACGAAACTCTATAAAGTGGTGAATCATTCAGTATAAATATTACACACTGCTGGTGCAATCGCAATAGTTGTCAACTTGGCAAAGTCGCCATTTATCGAGTCACTAGTTACCAGGCACTCCCGGTAAAATTCACTCTAAAACAACAATAGGTTACGTGATTGATGACTCGAACATGCACGCTTCCAAAATATTTTGTAGATTTTTCTTTAATCTAAAGCCGTTTCGATCGTGTCGAAGGTCAGTTCATAGACTTTATGTACCCAAATGTGAAAGGACTGACCAAGAACTTGAAGAAGTTGTAAGGAAAATCGACCATCATATTGAAAGCAGTCGACGCCTTTTCGTAATAACCGGAGCGGGTATTTCTACGGAATCTGGGATCAGGGATTATCGTTCCGAAGATGTTGGTTTGTATGCAATCAGCGAAAGCCGACCCATTCAGTATGCCGACTTTCTAAACAGCGCTGCAAATAGAAAGAGGTACTGGGCAAGGAACTATGTTGGCTGGGATGAGTTTTCAACAAGAGAGCCGAATACAGGCCATTTTGCCCTGGCAGAGCTAGAGAAAATAGGCAAAATACATTGGCTGGTGACGCAAAATGTCGACGCTCTGCACACCAAAGCTGGTTCTCAAAGAATCTCAGAGCTTCATGGTTGTGCACACAGGTAGTGTATGGCTGTTTAGCAGTCTGATTCACTTAGGCAATCAACCAGTCAGTCAGTCAGTCAGCACATCAATCAACCAACAGATCAATTTATCCGTTGGTCAATAATTGCAGTTAGTCAATCAGTCAGTCAGTCAAAGAGGCAGTCGGTCAGTCAGTTAAAGAGTCCATGATTCCCTTTGTTGGTTGGTAACTTTGTCAGCCAGTTGGATCTAAACAACTAGTTGGTCAGTCAAACAGGTGCTTGAATCAAGCAATCAGTCGGACAATCGGTCAGTCAGCCAGTCAAAACAGGCAGTCAGTCAATATCTAGTCAGTTATTAATAAATTCACTGAATAATTAACTTAATCATAAAAATTACAATTTCCTCAATTGTGATTAGTTTCAAAAACTCCTAATTTCCACCAAATTTACTTGCCAAGTTGTTATCAGTTTGTTTATCAGACAGTTAAATAAGCGAATCACATTCAAATTTGTGGTTTAAATCAATCGATTACATTCAAAGTTGTAGTTTAATAAACAAATCACAACCATTAAGCAATTTACACCTCCTTTGTCAGTATTTTAATGCAAATTTTCTCCTTCTTTCATAACTTGGCTATTTGTCTTTTCCTGGAAATTGTTTCTCCAGATAAACAAGTCACACTCCTGATGCATGGTTGTCCAATTTTTTAATCACTCGTATGATTACAAACCAAATTGGACTCCATTCAGTCCTATTACCATGACTAAGTTCATCATTAAGTCAGTTATAGGAAGTCAGGGTTGCTTTCCTAAATATGTGTCCTTGGTACTTCAGATTGAAGTGAGTGAAATGCCTGGAAGTGACTTTAAGTACCTTCCACTCAACTCAGTTGCAGTCAACAACGTTTATAAGCTTGTCATACCTTGTCACTAGGAGTAAATCTCTAACCTTTCAGGGTTGTTTGCCTTGGGTGTAAAGAGCTGACTTTGAGGGACGATCTCCAACAAAGAATGAAAGAACTTAATCCCTTTTGGGAGGCTACTGCAAGTGGGCATGCACCTGATGGAGACACCTTTCTCTCAGATGATGAAGTCAAGGATTTTGCTGTTCCCACTTGTGTTAACTGTGGTGGCATACTAAAGCCTCATGTTGTATTTTTTGGTGACTCAGTACCTAAACCAATGGTGTCATTTATTCAAGAACGATTACAGGAATCTGATTCAGTTTTAATCATAGGATCTTCAGTTGAAGTGTATTCATCATATCGCTTTGCTGATGCTGCCTGGCGGCAAAGTAAGCCTATAGCGATTTTGAATATTGGTGCAACAAGGGCTGATAAGATAGCCTCGGTCAAATTGTCAGCCATTGCTGGAGATGTTTTACCAAGACTTAAAATACTGTCCCATGTTTTTACTCTCAACTGTACCTGAGAATTCATAGACCTGATAATATTTTCTCTCTAAAATGTAGCCTGCGTTGTAGATGTTTGGAATGATCGTGAGCAAGATCCATGTGCACACTGATCCTACTCATTTGCTGGGTTAACCCTTAAGCTCCCAGAAGTGATTGACACATAACTTCTCCCTATAATATCCAGCCATTATCCAGCAAAGGAACTGAGAATATTCAACTAATCAGGTAGAAGTTATCTTGATCCAACACCAAATTCTTGTAACTCATTTAAAAGGAAACATGTAGCATCAAGGGGGAGAGAATTAACAATCACATCTTGAGAGTTGAGGGGTGAATGGAACACCTGCTCTGCTTGCCATATGAAATACCAATCACTTCAAATTCAAACTACTTGATTCTATAAATATTTACTATCCCATTAAGTCTGAACTTACAAGATAATGTATATTAATCCTGTTAAATATATTTTAAATAAGTGCTCATTGTGGGTTTATGTAAAGACAAATTTATAATTTCTAATACAGCTGTAGGTGGATTCCACCAACAAGTTTACGCTCCTGGTCTCCTGATTCTGATTACACTAAGATGATTCCTTGGGAAGATTGTAATGGTGCAGTTTGTCACATGCAGTTTTAACTGAACTTAGGAGTGCTTGTACGAACAAGAAAATAGTTATGATAACCTTACGAATGAATCATCAATTGATATGAATTGGGAGCCATCAAGGATGTGAACACCTTTACATCTATCAAAAATCCATTTCGGCTGGCCTCATGTGCCACTGTTTTTTGTTCTTACCACATTTTGACGTCATTTGTGATCTATTACTGAACAGATGCACGGCAACTTGGAATCTATTTGTTAAATAGATAAGTTGACTTTGTTAGCAAATGGCTCAGAGGAAAAGGTCTACAAGGGCTAGGTTTTTCTGCTTAGTTATAACATAGAAACTAATGGTCACTGATTTTACCTTTTACAAAAATTAACCGTCAAATCTGGTACTTCAAAGCAATTTTTGCCTAGCGGGTGGGCATATGAGCAAAACAATCTTCAAAAGTTCAAATGCCAGGAGGGAAGGATGTTGAAGCGCTGCATTGATAAACACACAAGTTTGATTGAGATACCACTTTTATTAAGTGAGGTTCTTGTGCATAAATTATCTAAGGTAAATTGCCTGGTACCAGTACTGGCTGTACGTTAACATTTTAAATGAGAATGGAGTATTTCATACAATTGTTCTGCAAGATGTCCTCGTTCGTTACTAATGAACAGTTCTTTGAACAAATACAGATGGTTTGGCAAATTTGAGAGGTTAATGGTTAGAAGGTATGTGAGACAAAGCCAACACAACTTTGGAGAATTAATTCGATAACCATAATTGTAAATTTGCAGCGCTGTGGAAGCATCAATAAGATTTACAAGAAATTTTTCACAAAGAGTTCTCAGTCTGTCCAACAAAAACCTGTCAGCAAGTGTTAACAGATCCAAATAGAACTGTAATTCATTGTCATTCACTTGAATTTCTATGACTTTTTTTCTTAACACCTCACAACATGATTGAGAAGAAATCATTTCACTAGAGATCTCTTCATTTGGAGTGATCTTGCATCCATACATGTGATGTAATGCAAATTCAAAGACATCCTCAGAAATGTCTTGAAGAGAGATTTCAGACTGTGTTGATTCTAAGAAATGTTCTGACAACATGGCAGTGAAAACATCAGAGGCTGATTTGATAAGTAGCTTGTGTGCTACAACTTTATCCCCCTTTTCCATCACAAATATAATATCAGGAGGACCAAAGGAATTTGCGTAGTACAGGCACGAGGAACAATCTTGCTCATCACTTGAGGAAAGAGCCTGGATGTTGCTGAGCTCCTTTTTCAGCTTTTTCATTTGGTGCAGATCATCAGATGCATCTGGGTTTGACTCTCCAATGGTTGATGAAGTGAGATCTTTAGAAATACCTTCACTTTTCTTCCTTGTAACATTACCAGGGAATATTACTTGTAACTCATTTGCCAAAACTATCACAGATTCCACTGCAATTGGAAAGGTCTCACCAGTTGGAGAGAGTGATTTGAAAAGATCACACAGCATTTTTAAGCCTTTCCTTTCCACAAACATTTGCTGTCTCAGTTTAGTGGTCCTAGAAAAATGACAACATAGCTTTTAAATGTTGTTGTTGTTTTTTTTGTTCCCTAAAATATCCTGTGGTGGTATTTGAGTTCATGCCATTTAACAATAGCAGTAAGTTTTCCTTCAGGTGGGCAAGTGCTTCAAACAATATATTTGAGAACTAAACATGGTGGACACAATTTGCTGGGTTATGTGGTACAATAGGCCATGCTGAGGAGGAGGGAGGGGGGGGCAAAAGAGCAAAACACCCAATGGGACATATTTTATTTATGTATATAGGTATGTGTCATCAGGGCCTAATTGATTAAAGTGGCCTCCCTGAGGATGTCAGTGATATGGAAAATAATTTGTAATCTGGTATGGAAAAAGGCATACCATGTAATAACAAAATGCAAAGGACCCTTAGATTACATTTAGCTGAACACCCATACGTTTACTTTCACAGGATTCTCTAAGAAGGCCATTCCTAGGCACAGCTTTATGTCACTAGCCCCTGTGTACAGGAAAGTGTTTCTAAAAATGTCTCAACAAAAGGTGAACATACATTTAGTTCATGAACACAAACATAATCCAAAATTAAATCTCTTTGATGAGCAAGGGTGTTGTTTAACATAAACAAAATGTGGAACTAAATACCTGCACAGGAGTGGCAGAGCAAGCACACATTCTTTATGCTCTTCCTTTGATCCTGTCAGAAGTAAGTTTTCAATCTCACCCTTTCCACAGAGGGTTTGTGCTTGGTTTGAAAGGATCTTTAATAAATGTTTTCCTATTTCCTGACAATGGCTTTGGGTTGCTGAGGACATGGACTGGTACAATGCATTAGGGTTGATCTTATCCTTTGGTCTAAATACATTGTCTTCAGAATTTTGACTGCCAAATCTTTTTCTGAAGGGTGTTGGCAATCTCTGTTCCTCAGATGAATGGGCATTTAATTCAGGATCATGGAGCTTCTGTGGATATGCATTTTCTTGATATTCACAATTCATGAAGCATAACTGGTGATGAATGGCAACCACAGCTCCATGCACTATTAAATCTCTGAAACAAAGTGCATTTTCTGCCAGAAGATTTAGGATACGTGCACACTTGGGGTTAGGATTGTTCACCAACCGCAGATAATCCAGCAAAGCTTGAATGCAAGGCTTGTTAACAAGATGAGTGCTTGGATTGGTCATGTGTGCAATACGCAATAGTAAGGTAAGAGCACTCTGGCCAAAACTGCGATGATGTAGACCTGACTGAACCTTTGGCGACAGAGGAGAGACTAACACAGGTTCATCTTGAACATTACTATTACTAAGAGGTAGGGTCAACAAATTTCTTTGGCCAACTGGGGAACCTGGCATTACCTGGGTTTGATTTTCAGTGCACATTGAATTAGGATCATCACAAGTCAGACCTAGGGTTGGTTCACATAAATCACATTCTCTCTGTGTTTTTGAAAAATCTTGATGTGACGACAACACTCTCGGGCAACTTGCTGTTGACAATGTTGCAAGGTCATGCCAGGAGGATGCAAGAGATGAAACACTGCGAGAAAAGGTGCATACTGACACCAATGTTGTTGTATCAGTCTGTCTGGCAGCAAAACTGAACACAGACTGTCCTATGGTACACACACCTGGAGGAGGGGTAGTCGGAATGGGTGATGGCTTTAGTTTGAGTCTCCTTTTGAACTTTGAAAGTCGCCCTGTCACTTTAGTGTCAGTGACCTCCCTTGCTGTTTCTTCCAGCTTCTTGAGGAAAGTTTCATCCTTCAGTGCCTCTGCACTAACATCAGAAAAAGAGCTTCTTACTGTGTTTGTCCTCATTGAGTAATCTGTATAAAAGTCTGCTGTAAATGATTGGTGATCTGTAAAACCATCATCATGATCTTCAAAGTCACTTCTGGATTGAATTTGATGTATAATCCTGTTAAGATGATTAATTAGACCAGGAACTAATTCTCCATTAAGGAGAATTTCCAAGTCTTTTTCGCTGTGACAATACTGTGCAAATGCAAAAACAATCTTTTTCTCAAGAGGCAACCATTTTCCTGACAATAAAATCTTCAATAATAGTTCCAATGCTGAAGAATCACGAACCCTTACACGATTGATGCCTTCTCTGCAACAATAACAGAGTCCTTCAATTGCCTTGACAGTAACATGCCCCAGCTCATCTCTTTTGAGTTGCTTAGTCAAAGCCTCTATCCCACCTTCACTGCCTATACAAACACGCACATGAGCATGATGGGCTAAGTTTGCTAAGGACAGAGTGGCTGAGTTCCTCACTTGTAAAAGTTCACTGTTAGCTAGCTTAACAATGTATTTGACACTACCACAATCTTGAACTTGCTGAGCAAATTCCTTACTACATTCCTTGGTAAGCTCTGCTACAGTTTTTATGCAGCAATTCACAAGTGAAGGCTTCTGGGACTGCAAGATTTCCATGATGGTTTTAACAGCATCTAAATCCACTATGGCCTGTTTTCTAGCTGGATTTGTGCATACCATCCTCAATGCTCTTATGATGGACTGTTGGCAATCACTGTCAGATGTCTTTGTTAAAAGCTTAACAAGTTCATGAATAACTCCAAGCTCCTCCATGACCTGTACACTAAGCTCATCTTCTGCCATGTTGGCTAATGCTCTAGATGTCCTGTTTAAAATGCTGGTTTTCACATTGTTCTTTAGAACTTCAGCTGAGGGAATATAAAAGAAGAAAAAAATATACTTTATCTCTAAATAAGTAACCCCAGCTACCTTGAACTTCATGCTTCTGTAGTAATAAATTAAAGTTTAAAAACCTCCCAATAACTCAAATCACTTTCAATTTCCCATGAAGGTCCAAGTTGCTACAGGAGTGGGAGTCAACTATATATTAAAGTGACAGGCTAACAGGAACCTCCATCATGCATGTTTATTTGCCCTACAATGTTGCCCATTCCTTGAAGCTTGCAGCTTTAGTTCAGCTTCATTCTGGGAAACTGATCACTGAACTTAGAACAGATGAAGTCCACGGGCAAATCTTCTTGCATGCTTTCCCGCCAAAATAAAGGCTAAAGTTAATTTTAGTTATATGTAAATACCACAAGGTCTTTGTAAAAGGGCAATCTCCAGACTGTCTAGCAAGAGGAAAAATATCTTTACGCACACCTCTAAACAATCTGCATGATCTTTGATAATAAAGATTTTGGCAAGATTTCGAATTCTGCACAGCTCCATACTACATTATGCATACCATTACTCCTTTAACTCCCAATATCTGATTGTAAATTCTCCCTTCTAGCTGCTACACATTTCCCTATAACTTAGTTATGAGAATTTGGTGTTAGATCAGGACAAAAACCTGTACCTGATAAGTTTGAGAATTCTCATTATCTCTTTACTAGATAAGGTATGGATATTATAGGGAGAAGTTACATGTTAATCACTCCTGGGAGTTAAAGGGTTTATTCTTTGATAAAGAAAACAATGCCAACACAATAGATTTAGTATGGGACTACGCCTTTGTTTCAGAATATCATGTAGTTACATGGAAATACTTCCGAGATTTGTTTTTCCCAAGCAACTATGTATATGGGGTTTTTTAAGAGAACAGTAGATCACAAAGAGTTGGATTTTGTATGTACTCACCAAGAACTGCTATTCCATCCAGTCTCCTTATCTACAAAACAGACGAGACGCGATAGAATTAGCTATAGAGAACTTTTGTACGCAATTTCGACCCTACGGTAACTTACTTCTCTTCTGCTTAGTTCCTGACGAGCACAATTGGCCAGCACACTTAACGCCATGTCAGCGATTGTTTTATTCGGCAGTTGGATAAGAGCTACCAGTCGTTTCAAACCACCTTTTGCGCAAAAAACATCAACATTATCCTTGTCCTTAGTCATTTTTGTCAGAGCAATTAGAGACTTTTTAGTTTTGGAGTCTGATTTCGGGTTTAATTTTGAGATCAGGTCCTCAATGTATTTAGCACAAGCGGCCGCCATTTTTCCGACGTCGCTCAGAGAAGCTACTGCGCATCTGTAATGCGTTTTGGAGAGTGGGGAGAGAGGGGAGGAGGGTTGTCTCTTACTGTATCGTCACGCTCTAGCAAGACATGTAAGACACTACGCTAATTTGCTAAGAACTTACGTACGGGAAATTTACTAAGGTTAGTGATCGTTTTTTTTTAGGTACATTTTTCTCCAAGAATGGTCATTTGTTGGGGTGCTGAGGCTTCGAAGAGCTAGAACAAGAGATATTTCGAAGCGATGAAGAGAACATCTTAGCAAGTAATGAATTTCAGCGTTTTTGAGTGCGACCCTCACCATCCAGCATGATTCCATTTTGACCCTTATTACCTATCGCTTCATCATTCCGTAAGTTTAAACGAATGAACTTAAGTGCGAACGCTTACCGGAGTGTGGCATACAGGAAGTCCTGATCCCGTTTCATGCACGAATTTGAAAAAAATTCACGCGTCACGAATGCTTTAAACATATCACGCATCAAGATTTGAAAGAGAAAAATTCAAATCTCAGTTCAGTGCAGTGCTAATGGTGCAAGGAATTGTTTATCACAATGCACTCTAAGTTCATTAGACATGGCATGGCCCAGGTTGATCGGCACAAAACACATTTTTCTTTGTCGTATTGAAATGGGTGAGGAAATGAACAGATTTGCCACTTACGCAGCGGGGAAGGGGTCAGGGTTTGAAGCCGTTACGCGTTAGTGGCACAACACCTGCTAAAATCCATTTAACCCTTTCACTCTGAACAAAACTGTAGTAATTTTTGTTACTGTCTGCCATACAATTCTTATGATGTTGGTTTGGAGAATTCTTTATTGGATCAACTACTAATTAATCTCCTAACTGATATTTTCTTTGTTCTCATGACTACTCTGCTTAATATTGTATTGATATATAGGGAGAAATTCTGTCTTGGTGACTCATAGGAGTGATAGGTTTAAGACTAACTCCATGCCTCTTTGCTTGCCCTCCATCAAAGTTGTTCTTCAAGATATACCCACCTTATTAATTTGTGATTTTCTTGCAAGTTAAACGATGGCATCAGGCCAGATCCAAACTGTCCTTGGTCCCATTCCACCCAGTGCCTTGGGCCGCACCCTCACCCATGAACACATCAAGATGGATTACAAATGCTGCCTGAGACCACCCTGGAGGGAGTCTGATGTAGACAAAATGGCAAATTCAGAGTTCACTATGGCCAATCTTGGGTGGATACAGCAGAATCCCTACAGCCATAAACTAAACTTGGCTCTTGGAGATGAGCCCTTTGATGATATTATGGCAGAACTCAACTATTTTAAGCAGGAGGGTGGCCAGAGTATTGTCGAAGTGACTACAGTTGGTATTGTAAGGGATGTGGAATACCTTGCCAAAGCAGCATCGGCAACTGGCCTGAATATTATTGCTGGAACAGGTTACTACTTAGACTCCACTCTTCCAGCAGAAGTAAAGTCTTCATCAGTTGAAGAGCTTTCAAAGGTTAATTCACTTTTTATCAGCTACATGTTCAATTCAGAGAAGTTTTGTCAGATCTTGAGAGAAGTCCTTCACCTTTTTTTCTTACTTAGTACTTGTCATTTCAACAGGTGATATCCAGTTTTTGTACAGTCAATGAATAATTGTTTTTCTCTTTCTTACTAGACCATGGTCAAAGAACTTACTGAAGGTGTTGGTGATACATCAATAAAGTGTGGTGTCATTGGTGAAATCGGCTGCTCTTGGCCATTGGAGCCCACAGAGAAGAGATCTCTCTTAGCAGCTGCCGCAGCACAGACTTCAACTGGTGCTCCTCTGATCATCCACCCTGGACGTAATGAGTCATCACCCATGGAGATTGTCAGAATTCTTCAAGAAGCTGGAGCAGACATCAATAAAACTGTCATGAGTCATCTTGATCGCACTATTTTTGATCGAGAAAAACTCCTGGAGTTGGCAGCTACTGGGATTTATCTGGAGTATGACTTTTTTGGTATTGAACTGTCATACTATCAGCCTAACTATGCTGTGGATGGCATCAGTGATGCACAGAGAATCCAGAATATTAAATTTTTGGCCTCAGAAGGCTATGAAGATAAGATTGTCATTGCACATGATGTACACACTCGCCATCGCCTAGTAAAGTATGGTGGCCATGGGTATGCGCACATACAAAAGAATGCAGTACCAAAAATGCTGATGAGAGGAATTTCTCGGGAGTTAGTTGACAAGATTCAGATCTCAAATCCTAAAACTTGGTTAACCTTCAAGTAAAACAGTTTTATTAGGGTGAACCTTGAATGTTATTAAGAATTAGAATAATTTTTATGTAGGTTTTTGATTCAATGTTTGACTAGATATCACCCATGGCAAAATAGGCATGGAGTTGATGGCTCTACTGGGAGATTTTATAGGTATAATGTATGTTTTAGTTTGATCCAGTCATTTAAAGATTTATTAATTATTTACTGAATACACTCTTCATCTATCAACTGAAATGCATGAATAAATAAAGAAAACTTTTAATTTCATCAATAAAGGGGTAAGTTTCTATAGAAACTGTGGTGCTGCATCAGTGTGAGAGTGTAACAGGGTAATTTAGTATTATCAACTGAATTGATAATGTACATTGGCCACAGTAAAGAGTTAAGAAACTGATGTTTCAAGCTTTAGCCCTCTGGTAGAGCACAGACAAAGGGTTAATGTTCAAAACCTTGGCTTTGTAACTCTTTACAGTGGCCAATTAACATTATCAACATAGTCGATAATATTAAATTACCCTATTGAAATTTCATCATTTGTCTGAAAAATTAATAAAAATGGTCCATTTCATACAAATGATATTTCCATTATAAGTTAAATGGATTTCAGGTTCGAATGATCTCAAACTTGGTATTCTTTGTTCAAGAATTTCTAGTTTTTTATCTATATCAATTAAATGCAAAATGAAAATCATGTTAATTTTTTCATGTGTGTGTTATAATGCTAATGAGCTGCTGACACATTACTCCCCTTTTGCACAACCCTGTCAGGTTGCTGAACTAATGACAAAGTGTCCTTTATTCCCAATCCTAGGTAATTCATCAATGAAGTTAAAGTTATAAGTCAAATAATTTTCCAAGATAAGTAAATTCTAAATATTTCAAGGTGGGTATTTAACATTTGATTCTTTCAGTGAGAGGATTTTAGTAATAAAAATCCGCGTACGTCTGATAGCTAGGAGGTAAGGACCCCCACACTCTCCCCCTGGATTTGCTACTGCTCTTCAGAATGCGGGGTCTGGAGCAAATGCCTTTCAGGTGAGATCCTGGGTACGAGACTACCAGCAAGATAACCATGGCGGACTAAGAGCTCGTCAGAGTTGTCAAACTCACAATTATTTCATTTGAATGGCTTTGTCACTTCGGCATGTTGTAGATCAACTATTTTCCGAAGTTCGCCTAGCAAAAGAGGAGCATGGTCATCGTGAGTGTTTCATTTTTCATCTTTTGTGTGTGTGTGTGTGTGTGTGTGTGTGGAAGTTAAGATGTCATTGAAGAAAGTCCCTGATCATCTTAGCCATGGCTTATCAAATACTAGCGTCTTGCCCTTTTTTAATTGATTTCTAGACACATTCTGTCTACTCATAGTTTTACTGAATAAAGTTTCATTTCTCCTGTTGTTTTGTTTGTCGTTTCAGTGACAGATGAAATACTTTCCGCGTAAGTATCGATTTGCAACGAGTTGATTATATAATAATTAGTTTGTGGTTAGTCTCCTTGTTTTCCCATGATCATAGGATGAGGGTTTCATTAAAGTGAAACTCCCAATGACTCACTGTAAAAGGTGACATCAGCGACTGTCGGAAATTTGAGAGGAACTCGCACAAAGGTGTATGAAATGCGCTGAATGTATGGCATGTGTCTGCGATGCATGAATGTGTAAACGAAAAGCATAACTTTTGAAGGTTTTTTTAAAATTATTAATCTCTGCTAAAAATCATGTGTTTGTGTTTGATAATGAGGTTTCTGAGGTTTGACACTGCATCCGTTTTGTTTTTATCAGGTTACACTTTGTATTCCACCAGCCACTGTTACATGCTTTAGACTTGATAGATAGGAAGAACATTACAAAGTTAACAACTCCTAGTGGAAGGGTTTTATATCAGGTCAGTAAGAGAAGATAAAAGCCTTCAAGACTGCGTGTACCTTAGCAATTTTCAGTTGAGTGTTGAAAATGATTCAAGATTGCTTTAGTTTTGCTTTACTTCACTCTGTGATTGGTCCACAAAATGTGCACCACTCTCTCAACCAATCAAACACAAAACTGAAACCAAGCACAACTTGGTTGCTTGCATTTTGCTGTACTTCAATCAGTTTGGTTTGTTTTACTTTGAGTTCTCATTGGCTCTTAAAGGTGTCTTTTCTTCTTCTGAGTGGCCTTTGTAACCACTCTGGTTTTGGATTTACAGCATTCAATCAAAATGCACTCCATTGGAAGCCATGGTTGATGTACTGATCTGTAGTAGATTGAATGATGTCTTTTGTCATAGTTGCTCTGTAGGTAACAAATTATAAACCAACAGTCAATTCTTATAACACTTTTACCTCAAAGAAAGAGTAAGTTGTACTTACAATACCACCTCTGAGTCACACTTCAAGATCAGGAGAATTTATGAACTGATCACCAAATAAAGAAGCTCTTAAATTCTCCTTGTCAGCCGCTTAGGAAATGTATAGAGAACAGCTGGGAGAATATGTGTACTTGTCTAATGTTTAGGTGTAAAGAGTTCACATGAAGTAATGTAAGAGTGTTGCTCTTTTCAGGTTGTGGGTAGTTCTAACACACTCTACACCTGCCTTATATCTGGAGACTATTGTACCTGCCCCTCTTACACTTTCACAGGTTTGACTTGAATTTCAGTTGTAAAGAGTTAATAACACAAAAGTGAATAATTTGTGTCTGTATATGATTCAATTCAAAGGCAGATTTCAAGAATATGAATGTTACTTTGTGACTGACATTATAGGAGGCACTTTGCATCACTTAAATACTAACTGACTAAATACCAGTGACTCTCTTACAAGCCGACCAACTAACTAATGAACTGACTCATTGACTTATTTATTAACAATTTGAAAGATTCATTCAATGAGAGACATATAAACCAACTGATCAACTGACAAACTGATTGATGTGTTAAATATTCAACTGATTACTTGACTTAGTGACAAATTGTCAACAAACTAATAGAACTGGTTGAAACAAAGGCTGATGGTTTCACTCAGAACTAGCTGAAAAAATGACTGCCCACCTGACTTACTTACTTTATATCTGTGGATAAGCTGAATGATTGTTGAACTGACTCACAAAGTGATCTGACTGATCATAGGACTGGATGAGTTACTACATGTAACTAACCCTAACTAACCCACAAACTGTCTAGTGTTCTATGGGAAGATGTACCACCCTGTTAGGTGAAGAAATCAACAAACTATATAGCCTAACCAACTGCATGTTTGCAGACCACTGAATGGCTGTGGTGTTATTGGCAGACTCAGTGACTTACTGGAATTAATCATGAGTTTAAAGAAAGCAATATGTGAGGAAATGGACGATTATTCCTCACAGAGTCATCCAAAACCTTGCAAATGAATACTGGGGATGAATTTTAGGTTCTTAGAGTCCCTCAGCTAACTTGGGATGTTAGCAAATTTATGCACATGTTCTAATAATCTTTTTTTTCTACATGTGCCTCTCTGTCTTGTTAGTGTTAGTCAAGATGGAATCACTTATGGTGAGCAATGACAGATATAGAATGAAGATTATGAAGAATTTTAAGTAATTCGAGACAAGACAGGATTTCATTGATTTTTGGCTCACTATACTCTGTTTGGTCTAAAAATTTGCAGCTTCGTCGTAACCATTATGCCTAAGTCACTCACTATTCCTCGCGCTTTAGGCAGTTTGTTTGTTTTCAGTTTTCAATGGTTTCTTGCCTCAGAGCCCTTTCTTGTAAGTGGCCGTTGTGATCACTGATTTATGACACCCGATTAACGTTACAAGCGGTGTGTTCAGAGTGCAAACGGTGCAAGTAGATCGTTGTACCGTTGTTGTCTTTTTTTTATATCTCAGTGTCTGTATTCATAACGCGAATCTTCAAGGAACCATACATAGTTCATAAACTCGCCCGGACGTCCGTAAGAAACTTACGTTGAATTCAGAATCCAATCTTTTTGTCATCTTACATACACTCTTGCCTCAGTACATGCTTGTGATAAGTTCCAGTTGATTTTCTGCGTGTAATTAACACATTTTTACACACTCGCTTGCGTGCCTTTTTTATCAAACTTATCCGCGTGAAGTTACAAGCATTGTGTCTGCTACGAGAGTAATACGCGTTAACACGCCATGTACACGTTAGCGATACCACACGCTTCATCGTCCTTATATTTCTGTGACTTAAGGAGCCAAAGGTGTCGCCCAATAATGACAGAACAACAGTCTGCTAGTAGTTCCAACATGAAAAATGTAAGCCGCCATTTTTTTTTTAAGATACACAAAGGAAGGGTATAGCCCCCATAAAGTTTTGATGACGTCTGACTTGTCTCTATTTGATAATTCTAACAGTGCAAGCATCTGTTGGCTGTACATCTCGCTGAGGCCTTAGGAGAGTGCAAAAACCAAACCATCACCAATGAGGATTTTGTTGCCCATATGTGTTATGATAGTGTTGTAGATAATAACAAGAACGAGGAACATCTATAGGAAAGAGAAACTGGACACCTGTTCCTCCACCAGTGGTCGGCGTTTTTCGCTTCACAGGATCAATTGCGAACATTGTTGTTGATCATTAAATAAGAGACGGACCTTTTTCCTCCTGCTTCTCAGCCTGGCGTTTGAAAATTTTTAATATTTAAAGTAAAAATTGGTCATGAGAGGATGTTATTTGCTATCCACCTAGTTTCTGGGTCTGTCTCCTTTGAGAAACTTGTCGAGAGGATTTACATCGGTAGAACTTAATAAATAAATCACCTCCAAATAGCAGGTTGTTGCAGTTTTAGTCTTCCACACGGTTATTACGGCATGCTATCAGTTTACCTGCTTTAGAAATGCAATGAAGCGCAAACTGGGAATCTATGGTTTTTATTCTCTGTAGTACCAATTTTGTTAAATACAGGCTTGAAAGGGGGCAACACTGACCAAATCATGCTTTGCGGGAGGTTTTTATCGCTGAGCTCAAGATAAGAGCGCAGTTGATAAAGAAGACGATCCCTTGAAGGTGTGGTTGACGGAAAGAATTCCTCGCCCTTTCACGTTCCCTTACTTAAACGTTACGTCGAAGCACTACTGGAGCCTAACCTCCTTAGCTTAGCCTTAAAACTCGGTTCGACGCATAGTGAGATGATATGATCCACTAAGTTAAATTTCACGTGCACTTCTGTTTAAGACAAGACGAATCACGTTTGTAGTCCTAATACCGTGACTTTGGCTTGAAGAGCTTGGAAATTATCATGAGATCTCAATTGACACGTGTGCTGTCTATGCATATGCTTGCCAAGAAGCGAATTTATAGCACGCACGTACACAGGTAAGGTAGATTCCTTAGGCGATCAGAATAACGACTAACAAAAAAATAGCAACACTGCGTGAGTCAACAAAAGATCAAGGCTTCCGCTTCGCAACAGAACCCATACTCGATGTTGAGGTAACGACGAGGAATGTTCGCAAGTCACGTACTAGTAAGAGTGTCTTTCGAGGTTTTGAGGAGTGTGTTCTCCCAAAATTACGCTGATACACCGATGGAGAGCGCATTCTGTAGCCAAAGCCAAACTTAGAGCCATTTTTACCACCAAGTCAAAAGACAGGAGTTTTGAAAGACAGGAGCGCGCGTAGCAACTAAGTCTTTTTGGAAAAGAGGAATGGCAAGTTTATGGCATCAATATCACAGACTTGGATCACAAAAATGCGTCATTCACATGCATCATTCACAAACCTCGGTTATTAGAGTTCCGATCACGCAAAAAAAGGTAATATGTACGTACTTACTGACTGAGTGGGAGGGCCGAACTGAATTATATTTATCTCGAGGTCATGACGTACGGACCAAGTACGTCATGACCTCGAGATCGACCATCCACTTATTTCTCATTTTTGTTTTATTTTGAGGTCAATCCGCCATTAGAATCCATGCCCTTGGAAATTGTAATAGCTGTTTGAGTGGGGCTCCTGGCGGCTTTTTCAGACTGGCTCACGTCAAACCCGTTCGGTCCCATACACGTCAGTTCTCATAATGGTTATTTCATAAGTTTATGGGAGTGGGGCCAGACAGGTCGTGAGATAAAACAGAGAGAATTTAGTCGTTCTAGGCATTGCTCACAGTCACATCCGTATAGGCGTCGTTAAAGTTAAGATTGTATTGCGAGTGACAAATCCAAAGCAATCCCAACAGCTAATCAGAACCAAAGCAAACATCATGAGAAACCTGAATAAGAATTTAAGTCAAACCATTAAAATTGCCTGCAGCTGAACCTGAAAAAACGTCACTCCGTTTGGTTTTAATCTTGCATCTGATTGGTTTAGAGGGTGAAGTTTTCTGGACCAATCACAAAGCGAGGTAATATAAAAGCGCTATAATCCCGGATCACTTTCAATATTGTGAACTTGCTCTGTTAGAGTCTACACACCACGTCAACACTCATAAATTGGCTGGAATACCGAGACAGATTTTCAATTGTCCAGAGTTTTCGTTAGTGTTGCTTCTTCTTTAGCGCCGTCGCCCCCGGTGAGGAAAAGTCTAGAACTTTCGCCTGTTTCGATTCAAACAGCATTCTTTAAGGTAAGCTTAGTCAATCCTTAACGCTCTCTTTTTTGCATAATGGATTAAATAAAATCTTCACCTTTATTCAAGTGCTTTAGAGATACCTTTTTGAGTGTGGGTTTTTAATGGAAATCTTGACACTGGCGAGGGACCGCAATTACGCAACGAAAAGATTTACTGAAATCTGATTTTTAAAAATTAAAACGAGTAAGAATTTTCTTAACAACAAAACGGCAACATGCAGAGTTTTCGAACAACCCCCTCCCTCAAGACTGGCAATATATTTTGATTTTGTTTAGACATGGTGAGTTTTCTTTCAGTTTCAAACAGAGTTTGAAGAGATTAAAGCTCGATAAAGATAAGGCTGTAGTCGTCATAAGAAATATTTAAAATGATGAATACCAGCTGAATGTTATTCTCGACGGGGAAAGAAAAATGAATTTTCAAGTTGAACCTCATATTTTTAACAACGTGATGTTAGCTGCCAGCTAAAGAGGCGAATTTCCTTTGTTATGTGTTCAACTCAGTGCGATATGTTAAGAGCCTCGAGCTTCGTATATCTTTCATCCAATCAGTTACTCTGCTTTACATGTTCATAAAATATTCATCATTTTAATTGTTAGTTAGCTTACTTGGTTTATTTTCTATCGATTGCATTGTCAACATTCGAGTCAATTCTCCGTGATGAGCAGGTGAATGGCTCGCATTCCTAACTGTTTTAAACCTTGGAGTTTCCTCCCCCTAAAAAAGCTATCACTTTGAAAGGAAACATCCATCACCTTATAGAGTAAATTTGATAGCAAGGAAGCTCAATAAGTCAGAAACCTTGATAATTGAGGATCATTAGGCCTCTTTTTTTCGTTTCGCCTTCTCTGTGGCTACTTATTTGCTGCAAATAATCAATTGCAAGGTAAGGTACAATCTTGTTTAGTTGCACGTTGAGGTTTCCATGTTTATGCGCTTCTGGAGCAACTGTTTAACTTGAGAAATGTTGCAGTAATTTTCTGAAAATTTTCGTGTTGTTTATTCACCATCACACAAACACTTTCAGTTACGTTAAATAGATTTTTACATGCGTTAGGAATGAATCTCAGGAGTACAACTTTCAGCCCTTCATATGTTAAGCGCCATGACTCAATGACTTTTCACGTGATCTGTAGTATTAAAGTCAGTTTTATAACGAAGCCGACAGCCAGAGTCACTCTTAATTTTTTCATATGGTGACATTCGTTGAATTTATCTATAAGCCGTTAAGACGAAATTTAAACGTCTTTAATGCACGCAAGAGAAGACAAGTGCTTTTAAATTGTTTTTGTCGTCACAAAGACTTTCCAATTTACTGAATGTCAGTATGGTTGGGATAACGGTGTAAACATTTTTTTAGCCAAGTTCAGAAGTTAACTTCAAATTGCGCTTTAGTTTTGCCATATATATGTATATATTTTTGAATCATAGATTTTAAAATTTTGCATATTCAATTCCCTAAAGGTGTTATCTTGGAACTGGTTTACATTGCCTTGGGAAATATTTAGCATGACAATAGAACTGGCGTCTCTACAAAATTTATTTTATAACCCAAATACTTTTAAGTTATTTGTATTTACAAATACATTTTTCAAAACATAGGTTCCACCCGTCTAAAAAACCGCAATTGGCAATATATAAGTGTGAACGACACATAAACAACGATTCTTTATTACAAAGAAATGATATGAACTTATCGCAAAAAAAAAAAAATCTGCCTAATTTATAGTGTTGTTAAGGCTATGTTTACATCTACATTACAATGTTGAAGGCAAAAGGTTTTTAAGAAATCCTCTTCACGTACCGCTTAAGTTGTGGTTTGTTCTTATTCCAAAATATGGTATGTTAATTTGGAAAAAAAAATTAACTTTACCTTTGCATCGCATACCTCTTGCGAAATTGCTTTGAAATATCTAGCAGTTACGACTACAAGTATTAAATATCAAAGTACCTAGTAACTTCTTTACACAAAATGTACTTTTTTTTTTGTTATTTAGAAACGTTGTGATAAAGACTCAGTCAGAGGAGAAGTGTTATCTTTTAATTGTTTTCTCACAATAGGAAAAATTTATGTAAGGCCAGTTCTTGATGAGTAGATTGTCACAAAACCCACAGCTGAAAAGTAACAGACACGGAATGGAAGACATTATCGCTGGTTTTCAATCACCCTCCAGGGTACCAACCGCGGAAAGATAACTATAGATATAATTCAAACGATCTTTTAAAAATTAAAATCACCTTAAAAAATCAGGGAGACCCCCTATTCAAAAGTTTTGCCAAGTAAGAATAACTTTGAAGGAAGTCGAATAGTCGCTGAAATATTAATGAAAGTTTAAACAATTTTCTGGAGAGAAACATTGCACAAAGACAATTAAGATCTTTAGCGTGCTACAGTTTTCATTGCAACACCTGCAGGCACGACCAAGAACCATCAGAAACGATGATTTTTAATTAAAAAACTCCGATACTAACATTTTACCAATTGTCCTCGCTTGAAAACACGTACCACTCTCCGCAAGATGGTCTGGACGAATTGCCATGGTTTGTTCAAAAAGTAGCTCTTTCAACCAACCTTGAATTTTCGACGTTGAAAGAGCTTTGCAAAAAGAAAGCTATCTACGGTGTGTTGCTTTGAAAGAAAAATGAGGACCTTCGTCGCCAAGTGAGTCAGGGGGTAGTTTAGTCTACCCGTGTTTTATTTATATTCGTTAAGTTGAAATTTATGAGATAGATTTCGTTTGAATGAAGTGAATAGCGGTGCTGAACAGTAACCGAGATCTATTAAAGCGATCACCTCTGTTTTCAACACCTCGCATATGCAGAAGGACAGGAAAGCATCCAGGGTAGATCCATCACGTACTTCTTTTGATGCTCAGCACTCTCTTATCTGGCCGCGGTGGGTATGTACCACCGGGTATGGATTTCAGAATTTGAATCTAAACAGACAACACAAAAGACCAAAAGGCCAAAATACAAAATGTCTTGCATATGGCGAGACTGTAGTCTATATGCGCTCTACTGACCATCCAAACAAGTCTATGTGAATATTCTCTTTGTGGTCGCCGAACCTATGATAAACCGTGACCCATGACAATTTTTCGTGTAGAACAAAGACGCAAATTGACCAAAAAGACTTTTCATCTAACCTCGCACTAACATCTTCCCGGCTGGGGGCTGCTTAACGGCATGGTACATGGTAAACACAAGTAAACACAAGTGAAAAAAGCTGATTTCGTATAGCTTCAGCTTTTCATACAGAATCAAAGGTCTTTGGAGGCATACTTAACTTTTCGTTTCGCCCAAACGGTAAGAACTTCTGAGAAACATATTACTTACGGAGCGTTTTTAAAATAGCTACTTCATGGTTCGTGTCTGACATCACATGATTAGTTAAGGAATGTTATTTTCCCTATATTGCGAATTCTGAGCTTCAAATAAAGTAAGTTGAAAATAACTCTTAGGAAACATGATGATGTCTACACTACTTAGAAATGCAACAGCTCTAAAAAAAATGGTGTGAAAAATTTCCTTGCAATGAGAGTTATGGAGGGCAGTTATTAAAAAGCCCCTGACTGATAGTCATGGTTTCTATATTGCTTAAAAACTACGAATGTAAACAGAAAAAAAAAAACGAACCTAAGATTAAAACATAATTATTTTCTGAAGTGGAACGCTACAACTGGAGAAAAACAGTTTTTCTCTCAGTCTTCGGAAAAGCTACCTAGTGAGCTTTTTGCATAGAATGAGCAATTCACGTTGACATCTTTATCAACTCTTCAAAACTTTTATTATTGCTCAAGTTTAAACTTTTTTAAGCAAGATGTCGTTATTGCCTCCTGTGTACTCTGAGCCCGATTATAAATTAAACTTCGTTGCCAGCAGTCCTCCTCTCAAATGACACTGTTAATTGTTTTTCTGATTTGCACTACGGTTGATAGAACCCAAACTTACCTTTGTAATTTTCAGAGATATTCAAATTTATCTGAATTGCTCAAGTACAGACACAGCTGTTTTAGAAGTTGAATTTCTCTGTCTGGTCATTTTGAAAGAGGGATATAAACTCTCTCGTTTTTCTTTGCAGTAAACAGACCACCGTCTTGAGGAGAGGAAAAAAGATGAGGTGCAATGATATCGTTCTCTTTATTGTCGTTTTACGCTCCACAGGTAGGAATATTTTGGTATTTCCTAACTTGTGACTTTGTATTCCATGTTAGCCCCTTGTATGGCCTTCACAACTGCGTATCAAAGCTTACTAACCTTCGACACGGAGGGCATCTCTTTATACATATGTATTATACCCCGTTTTCGAAAAGAGAAAGATTTTTCTCTTTTTTCTAATTAGTGTTGTAACTCAATGCCAATAACCGTACTTCGGAGGAGCCATTTTTATCGTTTTTAAAACAAAGCTGCTTTCACACGAAATTGAACTTCATCAGTGCTGCATAATAGATGAACAGCACATTTAGATGCCAGGTTAGATTAAAATGTGAATAACAAAACACGAAGACCAACAATTAAACGTACTATATGAACTGAAGCAAGTTGGCATGATCCTAGCAGTATTTTTGATAACCTGCTCAGTAGGCAAGCTCGTAATTCTTGGCCAAAATGTAATTGGCCAAAACGATTTCCAGCTGCCCTCCAAAAGACATTTTGCTATGCAGTTTATCTAATGTAAAGTACTTAGAAGAGGAATTTGTTGCTTCGACTACTTAAAATCTGCTATCGTAGTGTCATCAATCGATGCTCTTAGTAACTAATTTGATTCATAAGAACAGCATTACGTGCATCCTTTTGAAGAAGTTTCCCAGGCTCTCTCCGAAATCGAGAAGGGCACTCGTTTAAACTATATCTAATTTCAGTTTTCATGGTGAACGGAGCACTGGAAGTGAATGAAACTCGCCTTCACAAGGAGTTATTCAAAGGATATAACAAGCATGCACACCCCAGACTACCAGGGACAGGTCCGGTAGTGGTCACTTTTGATTTTCAACTTATTCGGATCCTTGATGTGGTGAGTGTCTTTTTTTGTTTACATTCCTGTGGTGGCTGCGTCTGACGATAACTTTTCGGAATTTGTACTAGGAGATGACCCCATTCTGATTATCAACAGTAAACAGAAAACATTTATGAAAAACCCTGGGATTTGTCGGGGTGAGGAGTGGGGCCGAGACTTGTGACACAATAGTATCTCAGCCAAGGTGTCAACCATACTCCTGTTCCTTCGCCCAGAGGGCCAAAGAACCATTACGGAGATAGAACCGTGTTTAATTCAATAACACAATTCGATCTAAAATACAAAGAAACTTCGTTGGCCTTACAATTGCTCAAAACAAACCGAAGATTAACAGCAATAACCTGGAAATGAACTGAAAACTTACTTCTTGACTGCCTCCGTATTTGACATACATTGTGGCAAATAACTGGTTAGCAATTACACTAACTGGTTAGCAATTACACTGGTTACACTGGTTACACTGGTTATCTAAGTTGAATCTAACCTGTACAACTGAACAACTAATTTACACGTCTTTCATCAAATGTTTTACGCGGTAAACATTGCGATAATTATTGCAATACATGAATTCAAACGGAGTGCACGCGTACTACATTAAACATAAACAGCGCGCGCGTTATACTTAACAATTAATTATAATATAATGAAGGTTCAGCGAAACACTCTCATACGTCGTTTTATGCCAGGAAATCTAAAGAAACTGCCGCGAATAAGGTAATAATTAAAAAATTTATATTTTACAGAGTGCAAGAAGTCAGTACATCACCACGTATGCATGGGTGAATCAGGTATGGAGAACTATCAACTTTTAGTATACTAGTGGTTCTGAAGGAAAAGTGACATAACTACTGCGTTTTGATTACGCTAAGTTTTTTCCCATTCGTCGTGCTCTTTGCTTTACTTGTTTCACACTTTTGTTACCTTCAAGAGTGTTTAATCGAATTTCCGGTCCTACTTGCAATCAAAAGTATCTCTAACAAAACTTGCGACCCCCAGGCCATATTGTTGTCTGAGAAATATATCTTCATAGGCCATCTTTTCCAATTAATAACGGTGATAGGACCGAGTAGAGTCCAATTCAGTCTGTAATTACGAGTATCATTACAAACAGGATTGGACGACACAAAGTCCTTTTATCAATTAATCATAACTGTTACAATTTCCCAGAAAAAAATGCATTCAGGACAAACATGTGCAGTAGAGACAATTTCTAAGTAAAAAATTCCTTAACTTTGGAAATTCCACAATATTTTTGGGATAGGTGATTGTTGCTAAGGTTATTGTGATCAATTTTGTGATAAGTGGATTTGACTGTGAAAGGATTAAGTATGATTGGCTGCTTCAACTGTCCAACTACAGTTGTCCGATTACAACTCTAACTGCTAATGCATCGATCATATTTAATGAAAATTGCAATGGTTATGATGAAGGAGGGACCGCGCAGAGGGAGGGGCTAGGGGGCTTTCGCTCCTCCACTTTTTTGCAAAAATAAAAATAAATTAAACAAAAAATAATTTAACGAAAATAACGGAGCCGAAAATAGCCTCCCCGCCACTCAAAAACTTGCTGCGCGGTCCCTGTTAAGAGGTAAATCTCGACAAGGGATGATTTCTATCTTTTGTGATTCATCATAAAACCAATACGAATAAAGTTAATTCAAGGAAATTGAAGTTCTTAGGAGGGTTTCCGTCAGAAAAAAAAGGTTTTAAGGAGTCGATCATGATAACTTAATGATAGACACCAAAATTCTTAAATAGACTATGGTGTGAAAAGAAAAGTGATTCTGTCTGAGGTTTCATTTTCCAATGCCACGCACACAATGCTCTCAGCAGTTGACATTCCTTAAAGATCCAACTGATCTAATAGGCAATGGTAAGCTCTGTGAAGCCGTACTTGATGATCCTAAGACCATTATCTATTCTTGAAATTTTTGTAGTATTGGGAGAACCGTTTGCTAAAATGGGATCCAAAAGAATATGGAGGAGTGGAGGAAATTCATGTGTCTCCAAGCGACATCTGGGTGCCTGACACACTATTATACAACAAGTAAGTCATTTTACATAGGCTCGATTTCCAAAGTTTTCACTGATCCGATTTGCGTTCCTTCCGAGAAAGGACAACTCGGGGTCGAACTACTTCTTTCAGTGAAGGTTCGATGCTTCCAATCATTTTCCAGGACGATAGATCACTTTTTCGACATAAACCACCTTTAACTACCGAGAATTTAAGGTTGCTCTGCACCTAGTGAAAGAATATTCTGAACTGATCCACGCAAAGAAACGATGCTATGAATATCCTTACTGCCATTCAATGACAAACGATATTGAGTTTAAGAAACGACGACGGCGACGCCGTGGAAAACGTCGATTAAAAAAATGAACTTATATTTTACCTACGAATCTCGCGATACTCTAGAGTCATTAAGTTGGTTTCTCTTTGTCAAAACTGTCTCGAAACTGAATATGGAACACAGTTTTAAATTAGAAATAGAAATTTGAAAAAATTAGACGTCGCCGTTCACGTTATCCAGACAACGCAAACCTAACATCAGTATGCATATTCTCCATACTGTTCTCTGAGGCCCTTCTCTGCGTATTTCCTAAGGTGCTCACAAGGAGAGTTTGTTTAACAATCAAGAGCTTCTTTAATTTGTGATCATTTGCTTTGTTCTCATGACCTCAATGTTTGATTCCGGGGTGATATTGTAAGGAGAAATAACAATCTTAGTCTCTCTCAAAGCTTAACTGTCCTATTTAGTCTCCATGTTTTTCTTTACTTGCGTTGCAGTATAGACGAAGAGGAGCGAATGGGAGGCGGTAGGACGACTTATACCACTAACGTAGAACTGCGATATGATGGCAAAAACACGTGGCTAAACCCCGCCATGTTTAAAAGCATCTGTAGCGTGGATGTCACAAACTTTCCTTTCGACGATCAAGAATGTCGATTAAAATTCGGTTCTTGGGCCTTCGATAGAGCAAAGATAGATTTGGCCGTAAAAAACGGCAGCACCCTGAACACATACTACATCAAAAATGGTGAATGGAAAATGCTGAACCTGACCGCGAAGAGAAATGCTCTCAAGTATCAATGCTGCCCTCACGAATTTGTGGACATAACAGTGAGTGTGAAAATCCGACGAGAATCATTGGACTACATTCTAAAGTTGATTATTCCATGCTCGCTGATTTCTTCCATGATATTTTTGGGTTTTGTTCTTCCACCTGAGTCAGGCGAACGTATTGGACTGAGTATCACAGTTCTGCTCGCAATGACTGTGTTTCAGCAACTCAGCTCCGAGCTCATGCCTTCGTACGGCTTTCCACTCCTGGGACAGTTCTATTTCGCAATCATGTTGGAAATAGGTCTTTCCTTGGCTGTAACTACGCTTATTTTAAATTTTTACCATCGCAACAGGCGTCGAATGCCTAAGACTATGAGAAAAGTGATTCTTCAATGTCTAGCGCGCGTGCTGTTTCCATGTCAAAAACCAAAGAACTGGAACGAAATCCATCGAAAAAGCGTTCTTCGACGAAGACTTGAAAACAGCAATGCTCTGGATGCTGAGAGGGGGGTATCCTGCAGTGACTCAGAGTTTTGCGAAGAAGATGTATACGAACAAGAAAAGAGCACGAGACGCGATCAGAATTTGACCACGTGGGTCGTGCAAGAGTCTGGCACCATTTGCACGCTTTCTCCGAACGGTACCGCAAACGGGGATCACTCGTTCTTGAATCTCGCAGCGTCGCCACAAAACACTCACACCAAAACTGTCGGGTTCTCAAAGGACTGCTTCAAAAAGCTTAAGAGGAACAACAGTTTTCGTTCTCGGGATACAAATTCCGGCCGGGCGGGAAAGAAGCGGTCTTCATCAGCGACACGTAGCAGGCCGCGACAAGTCGACTCGCAGTTTCTTACAGGCAATGTACTTGACTGGACCGAAGAGAAGATTAAAAACCAAAAGGAATGGATCAAGGCAGCGCGTGTGCTGGACAGGCTGTTTTTGATCATCTCCATCTTCTCCTTTATTGCCACGTTACTGACAATCTTCCTGCGGGCTCCAAGGTTCCGTCTTTCTCAATAAGAAAGCATCAACTCAGCCTTTTGAAAACCGTGACAACGTGTTCGGAAAAAGGAACTTTGTCCCGTGTTGGGCGTGAAGTATTACTTCACCCTGGGTCAACGCGAAGAAAGAGGGAGTTATACTTTTATAAAATGCATGACAGGTAACTGAGCGTAGAGATTGGAGCTGATCTATTTTCACTTGCTTGCTCGTATCATTCCTTGCATTAAATTTTTACCCCTTAGCTACAAATGTACCTTCAAACACTTTTTAAACCCCTTGTAAAATTGATCTGCCCCAAACCACTTGTAAAATAACTGATCTATTTTCACTTGCTTGCTCGTATCATTCCTTGCATTAAATTTTTACCCCTTAGCTACAAATGTACCTTCAAACACTTTTTAAACCACTTGTAAAATAACCAAGGCTGATCTGCCCCAACATTTCCGAACTGTGATTCCTGTCTAACCATTCAGTGGTGTGCCACGTTCGTTACTGGATGACTGTCGTTTGCCATGACTTTTGTCCTGCATGGATCTTTAGAAAAGTTTAAGATCGCTCTTTAATCATTTGGGATAAATAGAATTCGTTTTGATAACATCCGAGTAGTCTTTTTAACTTGTTTTACGAATACATAGAGGAGTTGACACTTTTTGGCATGTTTACCCACGAGGAGTTAGTCGACTTTGTAGCTTGAGCGCTGAAATTGTACAAGGTGCCAATAATCATATTACGTCTGACGAGAAAGGTAGCCATAATAATAGTCCTTACTGAATCAGAAGAAAAGGAAAAGTGAAGGACTACTCAGACTTCATGTTGCCTAGCAACATTTTGAAGCCCAACTTTCATTGACTGCGATTAAAAAATTTATATTTTTAGATATAAAACTAAGCCTCACTAGAGATAACACAAACTTTCGACAAATAAACCTTCAAAACAGTTTTTTTGTGCTTAATCTTCAAGTGTATTCCGTTTGTCTCTTTCGCAGTAGAGGACTGTGCCTAATTCTAATTAACAGCGCTATTCATAATACTAAAACTTAAGTAATCACAACAGCTAACGAGAAGAGAGGAAAATACCTTGAGAGCTAAAACTAAGAACTCTCTAAAGCGCGGGAAAACACAGGCGACCAAGTCGTGATTGGTTCAGAAAGTGGCGCGGTGTGATCAAGTCAAGTTGAGCAGTAACCAGTTTGAAAGAGAGCACTCCCTTCTCTTTGCTAAAGAACATCGATGTAATCCTGAATAACTGACAACTTTAATCCTATCTTAACCAAAGAAGCTTACAAATGAATTTCATTTGCAAAAGTAAACAAACATATTTGAAGAAAGGCACATGACTTAAGTAATATTTTAATTGCTACAGTATACGTGTTCAATAATTTTGCGATACTTTACATTAAGCAAGGCCTTCTCTACAGACTTCATAGTGCTTTATTTTCTGCCCATCAACAGTACTGGACATCATTATTCCATCTTGATAGCCCCACAAGGTATGGAAAGAGTTTTGAATAAAGTGGGGCCCTTACACTTATGTTCTCCTTGTGGGGCATGACATATTGTTTAATAATAATGAAAAAAGGGAGGATCACATGCCCTTAGAACATTTTAGTAGTGCAGTAACTGTTCCATCACACAACCCAACCTCCTAACTGGTAGCATGGACACACTGGTTGAAGGTAACGTTATATATAACTTCAGATTGACAAAAATGGTATAAGGCCACCAAAAAACACTACAATTCGTGTTAAATTAGCTTGTGGAGTTGTTTATTCACCCTCATTTGTCTTGACTGAATAGTGCCCAATGCTTTTTCCATATATTTCTCTCCCCTCACACCTATAAAATTCCACAACAAAGTCTTTGTACAATATTTTCTGTCCATTAAAAGTCTTTTTCATGGCATGAAAGAACCTCAGGCACAAAAAACCCCCTATTTCTATGAGTCAGGTGTAACCATATCCCTAGCTACTTGGAAGGCTGCTATCAGTGAACTAAGCTGAATCTTCTCCGAGGTTCCAGCTGCTAGACGGTACCTGAAAACAATTAGCATATCTCATTAGAAAAAAATGTGACAAGCTATCCATGATTTCTATCTTACTTGTAAATAAGAAAACTTTTTCATATACAAAACCAATCAAAAATGCCAATCAAAACAACATAATGTTTATATCATATAGAGCCAGAGAGAGCTCTCAGCAAACATATTCACTCAGCTTCAAATGAGCAAACATGAATTCCCTGTCAAAATTTTGTACAAGTTTCTGCATAGATATTCTACTTACTCAACATCTGCCATCTTTTCCAACAAGTGAATTCTGATTTTCTGAGGAAAGTTAACTAGAGAGGGAAAAGGTAAAACCTTTAAGTTATGAAAGTCCAATAAAAAGAAGCAAAACAAATAGAATGAGAGTGTGATCTTGGGGAAGATAATGTGACAAAGAAATGAAAATGATAAAAAAAAGAAAAAGGAAAAGCTTAGTGGTGGTGGTAGTTTAGAAAAGATATGAAGATAAGTTTAACCAAGGTTAAGCTACTAACCTCTATGTACATACAGGTGTACTTCTGTGAGAATATCTTGTAGGGCAAGTCCTTTCAAAGTCTTTAGTTTTGTTATATCTGTATAATGGTTATGGATTGTATGAAATGTAGGTTTTCATGCAGCATCACATGAGAAAAATCATACAGTTTCATGTAAAGTATTAAATGGTTATTGAGGCCAGCGGATATGTGATATATTAACTCAGCCTCACTGAAATTATCATAGAAGGAATAATTCTCTTAAGGCAGTACTGTTTGCTCCATAGAACACCCTTTACTGAACACCACACAATGAAATTAGTTCAGTTCAAAAGGATACTACTATAGGCAGTATTGAAGTCTTCATTAAGCATCCACTCTACTATGTTTGCAATGTCTGATCTCAGAGGTTGCCCTGTACAGGTGTATACATTCACCTCATCAACAATGCTAAAAGCCATGGAAGTGCTCTGAAAAGAGACAACTAAAACAGGTTACCACCATTGAACAGTTTTGTTAACTTAAATGAAAAGAGACTGGAGAGACAATTAAGACTTAACAAGAGCTTTGCACTAACCTGAAGAATGTTCAGAGCTTTTCTCATGTCACCATTTGCCAGCCTGACCAAACTTTTCATTCCATCATCAGAAACTTGTACTCTGAAAACAAATCACACACTGAGTATGCATCAAAATACTCAATAAGAGAGTGCATTAACCCTAGTTAAATTAGGCTACAACCCCATTTGCCTTTATATTCATCTGAAAATTAACGTTAATATTTTAAAATTCAACATCAGTAATTTGACATCTAAGTGAGCCTCTGAGAAATCAGCTATGGAGTTGAAAGATAATCTTCCTCAGAATTACAGTGATGTCTTTGTTTCACACTGAATTTTAAAATATCAGAATTAATCCATTGTCAATCAATGCTGTAAGAACCTTACCCTTCAGTTTTGATGACATGTTCCAATCTACTCTTCATCTGTTCATTATCAAGAGGTCCAAATCTAAACCTTGTACAACGAGACTGGAGAGCTGGAATAATCTTTGTCAGATAATTACAGATCAAACAGAATCTGGTGTTCTCTGTAAATTTCTCCATGACTGCAAAGAAAGATGGAAAGAGACCAAACTACAATTTAGCAAGTAACTAACAGTGATTAACCCTTTAATTCCTTAGAGTGACAAGGTTCTAATTTCTCTTTACAATCTATCCCTTGAATCAAATGTTTTAAGTCATGAGAATAGATGTCAGGGTGTAGAGGATTAAAGAGACTGAGAATACAAGTTCTGTTTTTGTATCTAATCAAAGGAAATTTTTCCACAACTTTTAAAAGGTGAGCTTTGACCAGGAAAATTGTAAATTCTTTATGGGGAAAGAAAAATACTGCGGCTTTAAAAGAAAATGAATAAAGTAGAACACAACAAAGTTAGGGAAGAGAATGGCAAAAGGTGCACATTGTGAACTGTAGGGAACAGATGGAATGTACAAGCAATCAGTTCTTCTTCAAACAAACTAAAGAACAAACCACTGACAATGAAACTACAATACAACACAATATAATATTACTGGTGACCACAATGCAATAAACTTAATAAATTAAGGAGGCAACCTTCCTGAGATAAGAAAACAAGGCAACAACTGACCAAACCAATGATTACGTTCAGTAGGTAGTACATGTACCTCTTCGTAGGGCATTCTGTGCATCCTGAGTCATAGCATCTGCTTCATCCAAAATTACAATTTTAAAACCAGATCTGCAGTGTACAAGAAATAGTATTGCTGAAGTATTTAATCATGAGTACTGAACTTCTAATACTATTCATACAACTCATCGGCAGACAGTTGTTGGTAATTTACACTGTATGCTCTAAATATACTTGACTTACTTAAAAATTGTTCTTGTACTTGCAAAGTTTAAAACGGCTCCTCGAACAATACCAATACCTCTATCATCTGAAGCATTCAACTGAAAATAGAACATTATAGATTTCAAGTTGCTGAGATTTAATAACAGAAAGCACTATAAACCCTCCCTGTTTCATTATGATATAAATGTCAATTCACACCTTTTGCCTGAATTAACTTTGAGAGAACATTTTTTATTTGAAGTACTGCATAACAAATCTTAGCTACCCATTATTCAATAATTGACAATTTTACTGTCTTGGAAAAAAATGTTCTCAAAATCAAACCCGAGAATATAAAATAAGAAGAAACAAATGATCTCCTGTAGCCACTACTTGTATACAGCATTTCCCTTTAACACTTTTCTTACCTCAAGAACCATGGAGTTGAATTCTCTTGGAGAGTAGATCTGTTTAGCAACAGCTAATATGGTTGATGTCTTCCCAGTTCCAGGTGGACCATAAAATAACAGATGGGGCAATCGATCTTCCTCGATAAATCTTTTGACTATTGACAGTTATAATAGAATGATTTTATTGACAACACTTGTATCCAAGCATAGACTGAATCATACATCTTACGCCTTAATAATGGTCATAAGATGCATGTTAATTGCACAATAAAGGGGGTAAGTATCTAAAGAAACTGTGGTGCTGCGTTGTTAGGAGAGTATAGCAGGTAATTTAGTATTAACAAGTTACACAATAGTCTTTAAATGAACAGGAAATGGCAAAAGGCTGACATATCTGCTTGCTCAGTCACACTGTTATCTTGCATTTCGCCAAGTTAACTGTTTTTTTGTTGATGAAAACATATAACTGATTGCTAGTTTCTTTCTCAAATTTGTCATAACTGGGTTTAATTGGTAACAGGACTTAACGTCCTCCAATTCTGTTGGTATTCATACTCATGATTAACATATCAAACTCCTACTTTGCAGTTGTCCGATTTTCTTAGTCACTCGTACATGTATGATTACAGACTGAAATGGACTATTCCTATTATGTAATAACTGGAATAACAAATAATTGTAAGAAACAGTCTGAGATAATCGCTATTCACTAAGCTAACACTGCAGTAAAACCTTCCATGTGCTTCTACTGATAACGCAAGGGAGATAAGCTTACTTGTTGTGATGATATCCCTGTGGGAGATTAGATCTTCCAAACTGTTGGGTCTGTACTTCTCAACCCTGTTAGGAAATGTTGTATTGAATACATATATTCAAAGTCTCTTGTTGACTTCATAGACTGTCACAACGTGATGCAGGAGTAATAAACTCCATTCCCCGTTAAATATGACGTCTAAGTTAAAAACAGTGTCCTTGACTCAAACAAAAATATTTCTTTGTGAGTACACAGACTCAAAATGTCCTTTTAGCATGTGTTAGCGTCGCTCATAATTCACGATGTATTATCAGCACTGTCAATCAGGGGGAATGCAAATAAGTGAGACATGCTGGACCTACAGACATACGACGATCTACTTCATATCTCAACTTACCAGGGGAGATTTCGTTTTTGTTCAGGAACGACCATTTTATCCAAATCCAAGTTTTGTGGTTTCTTGTGAGCCTAGTGTGCACGAAATTAAATTCTGGAGGCAAACTGTTTACGATATACGGTTCGTATGATATTTATGTCTTTCACGAAGATGCTGACCACTTGAAGAGAGGTAAATGAAGGCGAGTAGATGATAACCCGTCAGTATAAAGAGTCACACAGTCTGCTCAGTTCGCCATGTTTGATTTCCCGCCGATTTCGCGCCATATAACATACGCGTGCCAAAAAGAATTTAGACCGCTGACATTAAGTTTTGTATTAATCTCGAGCCCAGGGTCATTTTGGCTCCTTGTCAGCGGTATGGTCGCCAAATGAGATAGTAACAAGCATTTTCTTTCCTTTTTTTTTTTTTTTTTTCATGAATCAAACAGAGAAAAGGAAAGGCTTTTAAATTCGAATTAATGAGTCAGATAACTATGAGAGTTGTTCTCTCTGGAAAAGGTGGTTAGATGAGCTCTGAAAAGGCTTATGATTGAGTGTCTTAAATTGACAGAAAACTTTCTCCCAAATTTCTCAGAGGATTTTGGTTGTTACAGTGAAATATCCTCCTCTTAGGCTCTGTGTTATTTTAATGATCCGCCCTCATTGATAATCAATTTTCTGGAGCCTCCTACTTTAGCCTTGATACTCTGTTAGACACTACTGATCCCCATTCCGATCCCCCTGAAAACAGTGTGATCCTCCCAAAATTCTGCAGACACCAGAGTGGTCCCTTAGTTTCACCCTTCTCTACTTCTCTACAGGCGTGTGTCAATTTTAGTCATGCACCATTCGTTATATTAACGTGTGGAAGCAATGCAGGAATGGGAACCATCATTATTACCATGTCAGTGTTAATATTGTAACTGTTTGATGATTGATGATCTCACTATAGAAGCGTATTCACACGTATTGGTTGCCAAGGTCATTTCATTGATCATGAACAAAGTACACTGGGTAGACCCATATTATTTTCATGTGCTTTTTAAACAGCTTCTTTCTAACAATGGGTATAAGAAACTGAAAGTTACCGGTTAGTATTAATAAAAAATGTTAGATTCACATACAGAAAAGCCTTACATCGGTTAAAACATCAGAGCTTTTCCTTCCATTATTAGTAGTTATTGCACATGCATTTGGTCATTATCGCCATCAGGATGAGCTTTCTCGGCTTTCCATGACGCGTTTCTTCAATTTTCATCTGTCATTCAAAATATTTAGGATTTCTTCACTCCTGCTTCATCTATCAATCAGTTGGTCGATATGTGTTCTCTTTGGGCGTCTTCGTGCTTATTTGCCATGGCTTGGTCCCCAGAGTAGTGCATCTACATTTGCTAATGCAAGAAGACTGCGCACTACCTTGAAAGGTGTGTTAAACCCTTGAAAGCAGTCTGAATCTAAGGCTATTTCGACTTGCTTTAATTTCCCCATAATGCTAAACTCATCATAAATATAATACTCCTGGAATTGAATCCCTGCTCCCAAATATAATTGCATTGCTAGGATGATACTACGGTCAGCTTCAAAGGTCTAATTCTGTACCTCTGTTATTGTCCAAATGATAGCCATATTAAATCATGTTCCGCAAGCTTTCTGAATTTTTCTGGTGAAGAAGGACACAAGAACCCTAAAAGGTACCATAAAAATTATTACCATTGAAACAAACTTTTACTTTGGAAAATAATTGTTATTAATTTCTAATTGACATGGATATTACATCACATCACTTACATCTCTCTTACCCTTACTTACTCTCTCACATCTTATTCTTAATTAATCACTTACATCTCTTCTCTTCCATGGTTATAACATGTAGGTTGATGTATCCAGTCCGAAAAAAGAAAAGAAAATTAATGTAGTTGAATTGGTGTGCATAATTATTTAACATGATCATAGTTACTGGTATGTTCCAACTTTTCATAATGGATTAATACGTTAGTTATCTCTATATGCTTTCTCACACTAATTTGCAAAGCTTATGACCTTCCTTGAGGGCTGTTACGCCACAACTCCAAAGGTTGCACAGCATGGTAAATTGTAAAGTGTTTGGTCTTAATTGACTCAGACACGTGTACGGAAATTTCCATGGATCCTTAAGTGAAATGGTTAAATTTAAGATCTTCACTCATAGCTGATCCGTGGCTCAGTTAGAAACATGTATAAATAAAATCTCAAAAGAAAGGAAAAATATAAATTTGACCTCAACGATCGGAACTAGGTATTTCTGGACCAAATGATATAACCATACCGTTAACTGGTCTTGAAACAACTTCAGTCAATATTGTGCAGGGTGACGCGCGGTGTATTAGCTCTGGCGCGTCGCGGTTTGAGGTGACATTGCAACGGGGGACCTGACCTATACTCAAATTGAAGGGAGCTAATAGAGAGTTCACTTCCTTCTTTTAAAAGTATCGGTCACTCGGAAGTCCATACTATTCGTACTATACTGAATCGGCTTCCCTTTCTCGGTCAGAAGACAGCATATTTTGTCTTCGTTTTTTATCGTTTCGTTATAACTAAGACTCTGAATGATTCAAGCTCACTTTCATTTTTCCAGAAGGTTGTAACTCCTTGGCTCATTTACTTTTCCTTTCACATGGTATTTTCCTTCGCTCGCTCGACGGAATCGAAAAGTTAACTTCTTGAAAGACAGGACGCGAACTTGTAGCAGCCTAAAACTGATCCATGACTGAATCGCGAAAGAATTTAATTTCAAATACTTTTCATGAATGATTAAAGGCACTTCAAGGAAGACAACATAACAGATGCCAAAAAAAAAAAGAAAAGAAGAAAGAGGGCTTCCCTTACCCAAATCTCCCTCTTCAAAAAGAATGGATGCCTCTGTTTTGTTTTGTGTAAGTCTGAAATTCAACTTGCATAAAATGTAATTTCAAATGAGTTAATGCCTTTCTCCTTCTTTCAAACTAGTGAAAAGGTATTTTCCTGACGGAGAAAAAAGCTTCGATGAAGTCGTTTTTCTCTTTCTTTGAGTGCAAAGAAAGCATGTTATATTTGCCATTTAAAGCAACTTTTTGGGCGCGCTTTCTGTGAATATTGCACATACACTTAACTTAAAGCCTCTGTTCAAGTTATCTCAACGAAACCTTGGAGCCTTTAGAAACAAGGCAAAGAGAGTAGTTACACCAATCAACACGGAGATAATCAGAAACAGTCTATCCAACACACGTGCCGCCTTAATCCACTCCTTTTGATTCTTTAACATTTGTGGCGAAAGCTCCGAGTCGTTCGTACTCTGAAAAAGGTCCAAAAGAATAGATGTAGCACCAATGGACGAGCCTCTTTTCTCGGGGCTTTGGTGATGAGTGCAACAATGATCCCTTGAGGTCTTTCTCCGGGTGTTATTTTGGTAGTTTGAAAATCTTGTTTTTCTTTGGTTTCCAGTATGCCTGGACCTGTTTCCCGATAGCATGTCGTAAGCTTGGCCATTTGTGTTCTTGTAGTGTGATGTGCCGTTTGCCGAATTGCCAAACTCATTCTTCCTTTCCAATGGGATCCACGGATCGGAATATGTGGGAGAAATCTTTGATTTGTCGTGCTCCAAAAGCGATTGCACAAGGAAAAACGAACCTTTTTCGCTATCAGAGTCGCCCTGTTCTCCATTACCATTCGCAGTTGACTTGCAATTGGGCGCTTCCACATTTGTTGAAATCACTTCCCAGTCTTTGGCGCTACTTTTTGGGAATACCACTCGAGCCAGCCATTTTAATATCACAACCCTCAAAAATTTTGGCATTCGTCGACTGTTACGGTGATAAAAGTTTAGTATGAGAGTAGTGACAACCAGGGAAGCGCCTATCTCGATCATACAGGCGAAGTAGTATTGCCCAAGCAGTGGAAATCCATACGAAGGCATTAGCTCGGAGCTGAGTTGTTGAAACACAGTCATTGCCAACAGAACTGTGATACTCAGCCCTATTCGTTCACCAGATTCAGGCGGAAGAACAAAACCCAAAAATATCATGGAAGAAATCAGCGAGCATGGAATGATTAACTTCAAAATATAGTCCAGCGATTCTCGCTGTAGCTGCATCTGTATCGTAACATCAATGAATTCGTGCGGGCAGCATTGATATTTTTGTTTATTTCTTTGAGATTTCAATAGTGTCAACCTCCATTCTCCGTTCTTGACGTAGTTGTCGTTCATCATACTTCCACCGTGTGCGTGAAGATCTACTTTTGAGCTGTCGAAGGACCATGAACCAAACTTCAGGGAGCAATCCTGCTCATCGAACGGGAAATACGTTACGTCCACTTTACAAATACTTTTGAAAATAGCGGGGTTAAGCCATGTGCTGTTTCCATCGTGTGTCATGGCAACGTTGGTTTTGTAAGTAAACTTTCCACCAGCAAAACGGTCTTCTTCATCAACACTGGTAAGAGGGAAAGGAACGACTCTTTGAAAATGAAGTTTTGTTAATTTTATTATTAAGAAAAATAAATAAAACTGGTTTTCAGACGGTTCTAGTTGGGTCTGTAACCTTGGTTTTCCTGTTAATTTGAAGTAAGGTGCTATACGTTAACGTGGCTCTCAGACGGGTGAAGAGTCTATCCTGGTTGTCCTGTTCCTTGCTTTCAATCACTTGAAAATTGCATCTTGAACAATACTGCTTAAAGTTTTTAAGATCACCGTTTGCAATCTGTGTCACTTCCTTTTGATCCTAAAACGTCTTTCATCGATTCTTTTTTATATCTCTGCAGTCTGATGTTTTGCTGCACTAGTTAGCGACTGACTCAAGTTTCCACAATATTTTAAAGGCAATGGTATCTGACTCAAAAAATGGTGATGAAGCTCTATTAATTTTACCCTCCATCAGATGTTAGGGAATATTCTTCTGTTAACGACGAGATAAATTGCGCACTTTTCAGTTATTTAGACAATTCCACTTACTTGTTGTATAAGAGGATATCAGGGACCCATACATCGGATGGCTGTATATGAATTTCTTTGATTCCATTGTACTTATTGGGATCCCATCTAAGCTGAGGATTATTCCAGTACTGAAAAAAACACGAAGGGGAGATTGAAAACTTCTCGCACACGTTTAGTAGTCAACCTCCTAAATGACTGAAATGTTTTTTTAGCATGCAGGGAGAGAAAGAAATCGGTCGCATGCGAGAGGCCACCATGGTGAAAATATCAACCAAAAAAAATTGAAATTGAAATGCTGGACTGGCGGTACAAAGGAATGTGGACAAACACGAAAGGAAAAAAATGGAAAAGAAAGGTAGGGCAACTTAAGACAAGATTCATAAAAATAATTCGCTTGAGTTGGTCATTAAATCAAAGCTGAATCAATGAAAACTACCAAACGGATGAAAGGAAATATGACAAGGACTTCATGGAAATTCAACACATAATATCAAAATGTTATAGATGCGCAGCAAAAAGTGAGAAGCTAATTCGTGATCAATTTGTTTTTATAATAATGATCCGGTTTTCTGGGAGAATCCCGAATAACTTTTGATATTTAATTTAAGAAAAAAATTGCATTAATCTAAGGGACTAACTTCTCTCACCTGGTTAACCCAGGCATAAGTCTTGATGAACTGGTCCTTGGCACTCTGAAAAAATCATTGATTTAGAGATTTTAATTAATAAAAGTGTACAACCTATTCATTGTTGTATTCGAGTTCATCAACCCATGCCAACAGCCAGTCCTCATTTACCTTAAAAGAAGAGAAAAAATGACCTACCACATCAATTATACGAATGAGTTGGAAATCAAACACGACCTTGACAGCATCAGCCCCTTTGACTGTTGGATGGTTATATTTGTTGTAATTTTTAAATAGGTCTTCGTACAGTTGTGTCTCGTTAGATTTGACGGCGCCCTCTGGAACAAAAACGGAAAACTGATGATGATGATTGGCAGTGGGCACTAATATGATAGATAAAGGTAAAGGTGAACTCTGTACGCAAGCTATGTGGCCCACCCAGTCGAAACTTATCCCAACTTCCTTAGAATGAAGCGACAAGGAGTATCACTATTCCCCCCTCCTGCTAGTCCATCGCAAGATTACCCCCCCAGCATTTTACAAGGCCTCACTGACAATTCGCCGGTACTCATTTATACTCCTGTGCCCAGTTGTATCCAGGATAACGCTATCCAACGGATAAATCACTATCCAGCGGATAAGTGATGGCAATACGTACAGCGTTATCCAATGGATAGAGATTTATCCAGTGGATGGCGTCATCTAACCTTCGAAAAACCAGAGCAGGGTTGGAGAGGGGCACTGTGAGAATAAAGTGTTTTGTCCAAGAACACACTGACTTGGTCAGGTCTCGAATTCGAATCTCTCGACTCGGAGTCCAGCGCACTAACAATGAGGCCACCGCGTCTATGGTGACATACCTGTGACATGAAAGATGAATACCAATAGGGGAACAAATTTACCCATTGAAATCATTGGGTAGCCTGTGAGCATTGCGTAGACTGCCAGTTGAGACTGTAAGCATCTGAAAGTCAATCGTCCCGGGTCAGATCTGTTGGAAAAAAATGCAAAATGTACAATCAATTGGATGGTATCTCTTAGCTACCTCTACTTCCAGATCTTGCACCATAGGCCGAATTCTAACTGGCGATATCTTTTTTTAAAATATATTTTAACGCGACATACAGAGTCTTCCGTGCAGGCCTTTTTCTTGAGTTCAATAAAGTCCACCCCATTAAGTTATTTTAAGATTCCTTTTTTATGATTCCAGGAGAATCTGCATATAACCATTCTGCTCATAGAGTCATCTCAAGCAGTATCTAGTCCTATTCATCATAGACCTCGACCTAGAAGAACCATGATAAAAAAGGCTTAAAATTTAGAGACAAATTTGAAGGATATAGTTTCTTTCTGTAATCTTGTCCTAATGAGAATCTTTATTACGTCTAAGATTGGTACAAGTTTTATTTCAATAAAAACTTTTTTCATACACGTATTAATTCCTGCGGCAACATTATTTACACAGGTTAAGTCAGCAAAAGAGCCTGACGGCCCATCTGGCCTTAGGTTATCCCCATTTTTTAGCTTGAAGGGAACTACTGAGACAAAAAATAAAAATACGTCTGTAGGAAGACCCCCTACGGTTTAGGTTACTTGATGTTCAAGATGAACAACAAACCAAGCATTTGAAAAGAAACGCATGCCAGCAACGTTACAATCATGTCGCTGCTTAAAACAGTTGAATGCTATATGCCTGTTGATATTCGGCCCTCAGTTGTAATACTGGTGCTATTAGAGAGTATTCGGTTCAGCGATGTAATCTGTCCCATGAATAAGTCGGCCGTTATAATGCTAATAAACGTTTTCAAGTATAGTGACACTTTTTGTGACACCACAAATACAACACAAATCAGTATGACCTAGGGCTCATGGAAAACAAACTTAAAGTGTAAGTCACCATGGATAGATGAGCAGAAGGGTGCTATTAAAACTCTATGTTTGATGTCTCGGGATTAGCCCCTCCTATAAAATGAACAACCCGTTTTATCCGCGCCGAAGCCAGCCATATTTCCGGAGAATGAAATTAAAACGAATTCGAACTGCCTGATACCAATAACAGATGACGCCGGTGTATGTATTCTCAGTTGCCTTGCCGAGGGCAAAAATTAGCAAGCCCCCATGTTATCTCCATGATAACGGCTAGAGGAAAAAATTATTATATCGGGCTGAGAAAAAGCCAATGTACCCCATTGGAAAGTTACTTAAATAAATAAGAAAATAGTGAAGTCGTTACCAAAGTGTTTTCAAAGGACTCACTCATTGGCACCTTGAAAAGTCTTTGATTATGCGATCTTCCTTTTTGAACACGTTTTAACACTTCAACATGCCTCTTGCATGAATTGTAATTTTCAAAAATTGGAGAGCGAAGAAAGTCTGCTTTTCAGTATATTTTCTTCATAAATTGTAAATATTTCTCTCAAAATATGGGTTGTAGGACGTGTCACTTGCTTACGAAGGCCTTTTTTTCGAGTTTCGCAAGAACAAATGAAATAGCTGCTGGCGTTTGTTTTGCCTTTTTCACACCTCCTTGGTTCGTGTTATGCCATCAGACTCAATTACATTTGCCCAATGCTACTACTCGAGATAGTCGTAGGAGCCGTGAACAGAGGAGTTGAAGTATTCCAATCCAATCAATTCTGAATTCATGTATTATTATAGAGAACTTTTTAACCTCCTTATGCTAAAATAATACTTGTCTTCTAATGAAAGTATAACTAGCAACCTTAATGGCGCAGCGGTGTAACTTTCACAAACGCCATGACAAACAATCATATTATTTTCATATAATAGCTAAAACGTTGAGCCATGCCAACAAGATTGTTCCTTGAAAAAGTTTCTTTTACTGTGTCAAAAAAAAAATGTTTTAATTTTCATTTAATGTTTGGAGACAAAATGTAAAGCGCACTAAATAATTCCCATAATAGTTTGCGTACCTTTTACTTTTTGTGCTCTGCTCTGGTCCAATATATTTTACCAAGGATCTTGCATCATTAGGTGAATCACGATGTTAAATATCATTTTCATGCAATGATTGTATGCATTATCACTCGCTGTTGGTACTATCTGGCTCCAATGCTAAACAGAATAACATTAATTTCCTATTAAAATGTCATCCATACATAATTACCATGGCCTCCAGCTGCTCTAATGAAGGCACCAGAGTGGGCGACGCTGTATTCATTTTATAGATCGCTAAACTCATTTAAATGTAAATGACACCCATCACTGCAGAAGTGTTGGATACAAAGAAACATATCAAGCAAAAATAAACATCTCAGGGAACAATTTAGTCAATCATGTCCACGTTTTTTGGTGTAGAAACCGTAACTTAGTGCTTACTGACTATGCAAGGAAGAGCAGATGAGCAGTTAGATCACGTATTGTTCAAATTTCAAAGACTTCATTACAATGTTGTTGTATTAAAGATAGCCTTAAAAGGAAGAAGGCATTGTTCTTTGATGTAAGACTAATATCATATTTTGACCGCCGCCAGAGTCTAGTAAATAGCTTTTAAGCCACCTTTTTTAGCGTGATAACTGCTTCAAAATCTCAGTTCTTACAGAGACAATAGGTCATTATGAAGAACATTTTATATCTTTAACTGTCTGCACTCAAAGGTCCACGGAAGCGGGTAGATAAAGAGTAGCAAATGAAACGATTCCACCAGTAATCCTCCACCGATAAAGTACTGTACCGATATATCAAATAAACCTTGAGATAAAGTTTACTTTTGAAGGCAATAATTTCTTTGCGACTTGAGGATCATATGAAATCAGAGATTGACTCGGTCTGAGACTGCAAAAAACCAGAACTTCGAGTAGCCATTAAACTTATTGAAAGGCACTCTCAAAGCTATATGTTTTGTAATCAACAAATTTTGCTCCCCTTCAGTAATCTGAGATGGCTCTAAGCGGGACGGTTTTTCCTTTGGGTTACAAATGAATGATAGCTTCTTGATTCCGTGATTCTGTCATGCAGCTGTAATAGAATACTGCATGAGATATTTGTAGGTGAGATAACAACACATTAAGATACAATTTTCATTAGCACACATTTAAGAACGCAAAAGATGCCACAGTCGGTGAGTGATGTGTAAACCTCACCTGGTGCGTTCTTTTTTGCTTTGAGAGTCGAGATTTTTTGTTGGAAATATACCACATCGCACACTTGTAGTCATTGCGTGCTCCTCTTGTTTGGGAGAACGCACGCCCAAAAGGGAACTAAGCCAAAGGGCAGTAGAATAGTCTGCTGTCTGTTGGTAACCGTCACGTATAGATACTAGCTGAACGGATCACGTTTATGTTAATCGTCAAAACATCCTGAGTTAGGTACAAGGAGAGATTTTACCTTACATCCATAGCTTTGGGTTCAATCCATGGCCAATATGTACAGACTATTATTCCTCCCAAAATATTTTAATCAGCTGCACCTTGTGTTCGTCACTTGTAGTGCATTTTGCGCAAATCAGTATATCTATTCAAACTTTATATGCAAGAGTTTGTTTTAAAATGATGATTAATGGATAAAAGCTGGCGCACTTTCAGGCCATTTTGACTGTGTTGCAAACGTCACTTGAAAACTGACAAATAAATTAAAGGATGAGTTCTCCTTAATTAGTGTAAGCGAAAAAAATAAAAAGACTCTCCAAAAGCTGCATACATAGTTGCATAGTTGCAAAAGACCACGAACCGTTTTCAAATAATAAAAGTGGCCTTACATAGTAACAAGAGATTAGAGATAGCCCACCAACATAAATACCAACTTGTATCTGTACCGTACTTCTTAAAGGTTTTTCATAGATATATTCAGATTAGTGGTGTTTATTCATAACAGATCCGTAGTTTTAACAAAGCCTTTTGTTTGAAAGCATTACCAGATAAGTTATATCAAGAGCCTTTCTCTTCATAAATAAAACAAGTTTTCAGGTTGTCCACGATGTTAAATCGGAAATTTGTAACCAAACTTTGGAAATTTTCGGTTTTCATTGAAAGTGGTGGTATTCGCTGAATATTTCCGACACAATGTTGCTCAATGTGTGGCTGTTAAAAATGAAATGTTATTCATGTTTATTTAAATTCAAATAACACCCAAATGAGTTACTCAAGCCAAGATGGTTATTTATCCATTTTTTAAAAAAGTTTCTTTTTTAATGTCACTATGCAATGGCGATTAGGTGAGAAAATATGCAAATTTTAATTAGATATTTATTAGCATAAACTGTAGAATGTTCTCACATGATGTCTGTTCACTGAATCGAATTCACTTGAATGCTGGAGAGTCGTTGATCCAAAATTTTGCTGATCATTTGGACCGAACGGAAGAACGATTTTTTTGAACTGCACTCAAGTAGAAATATTTGCGTCATCTGCACAGGTTGAAATTCAGCTAGGTTTTAGTATAAGACAAGTTTTATGCTCTGTTTACAACATAGTAAAATCATGCAGACGAATAGAAATTGGCATTTAAATTAAACTTGCCCGTAATCCTAACTATTGAAATTGTGCTCTGATGCTGTTAGATTTTAAGAAATTTAACTACACTCACCATGAAAAATTCTCAATCTGTTTACTTTCCATAGCTTTACAAGAGCGATCGTTGATATGTTTTCTTGTGTGCACATTTTATCCTTATTTAATTTTGCACAGAAGTCTGATGGGAGGCAATCCAAATCTAACGAGAACCTAGATCACGTGTGTAGCCTTGTTGTCTGGGATCGATATGCCCCGCTGAAGCATGCTGTATTCCATTTATGGACTCATAATGCCACAATAATTAGCGGTATTCATATTTTTACCTTAGCTTTAGCAGATATTTTCCAGACTACGAGCAGACCCTGCTTTTCGGCGATGTTCTTCGTACGATTAGTAAGAAAATTACGTAATCTGTGCGACTCTCTCCCAGAGTTTCGAGCACCGCACTAACATCCCTTTTTTACCGACTTTTTTCGGATTCATGCGACGGACTGCGTCAAAAAGGGAGACTGCTCGTGATGTATTATTTTCCCTTGTGTCCACTTGGCTAGATAATCTATTTATTTCTTTCATTTTCTAACGCATAAAAGCGTGAACTAAACCGAGTAGTTTTGGAATTCAAAGCGACGATTAATTTCCAAAAATTAAAGGGCGAGGAAGAGAGCAAGGTAGAAAATTAGAATTTCTATTAGGTTGTAGAAGCTGTCAATTAGTTTTTAATAAACCACTGATCTGGTTTAGATATTGGATTGGTTTGCCTAGCAAGATGTAAAAGATGGAGCAGCTGATTCAAAATACTTTGAGAGGAGAAGTGTTCAAGGAGATGGTTGCTGGGAGGCACCAGGTACCTTCAAGTTAAGGATTAACCTACGATTCAAATTAATTGCACTTGCGCCTTTTATTCACCACATACATCAAGTTATACTTACCGTTTAATTTACCAGTGTCCCGGAAAAAATGCACAATTAGCTTAAAAAAAGGGATTTCATTGGCTGATATAGGCTGAAAAGTTCTCATAACACGCACAACTGAACTATAAACCACTTTCACCCAGCATAGCATGACAATCTTCATCAGATCTATTTATAGTAAAATCAATTATGCAGTTGAAATCTGACTCGATATTGCTCTGTGTCAAGCAGTAATATAGCCGAGCATAAATTTCTTGAGAAATTCAAAGATGTGCCTTGAACTGACAGATATTTGAAAAAGGTGGCCGGCTTTGCGTTGCTTTGACTTCAAACTTTGATCCAAGATACAGGTGTTATACAGTGTATAAAGTATTACATTTTATCTATTTATAGTAAAATCAATTATGCAGTTGAAATCTGACTCGATATTGCTCTGTGTCAAGCAGTAATATAGCCGAGCATAAATTTCTTGAGAAATTCAAAGATGTGCCTTGAACTGACAGATATTTGAAAAAGGTGGCCGGCTTCGCGTTGCTTTGACTTCAAACTTTGATCCAAGATACAGGTGTTATAAACCTTTGACAAAAATGTGACAAATTCCGTCTATCCCTTCACGGGCTTCTGTAACCTTTGCCAAAGGAAGGTAAAGATGTGGGGAGTGGGGGGGGGAGGGGGAATCACTTGGGTCAATTTTTGCTGGATATGTGCCACTGGTCTCTCAGGACGTCCACTCCGTAACACTGTAATCATTGACCAATTATAGACCCCATCTTAGTCTCTTTTGAGCGAATGAAACACATTTTATGACCCCATTTTAGAAGCTGCATAAAAAGTGCAATCCTATTACAGTCAATCCAGAAATGAAAATGCGGCTCCATCCAGCGACGCATCCATATCTTTATCAGTCTTCTTCTAGGTAACCCCCCCCCCCCCCCGCTTTCCCTCCCTGCGGGCATCTCAGACAGTATTTATCTGTATAAGTTCAATTCTATCACCTTGCTTAAAAAGATATGTTACTTTAGCACATTTCCATGATGATGGAAATCGACCACTCACTCTCTTAGGACAGATTGATGAAATGAGGAAACGATTTGCTGAATCCTTGAGCACTGATGTTGTCCAATCCAGTCGCCTTGTTGATCCTCAATTTGCTCAGCTGATTTTAAACGAAGGACGTGTTACAGGCTGAAAGGAAAATTTAGCGCTGCATGCAAGGCTCTGCTATCGGGTGCCACACCACTAAAGAAACAACCGACCGTCATCACGTCTTGCCTCGTACTGATCAAAATTGCAAATTGCTTGATGATACGCCACTCGTAGAGGTAAAAGAGTGAATGGAGGAAGTGGTCATTAGATAAAATATAATTTGTTCTAAATTTTTGCTTCCTTCACTTTGTAAACAATAAGGACCGGTGTCAGTGCATTATAGGGGCTAAATTCTAACCGGGGGAACAGACCACTAACGGCGTTCGCACACATAATTAAACCATAAAAATATTAATTCTTGAACGAAAGCAGCTTGAAAAATTTGTGGTTGAAACGCTGCTGGTATTCAAAATACTTTACCTTTCTCTAGTATAGGGCCTTGTAAATTCATTCTAAGTGCTTTTTTTAGGTGAAAGATAATGATAATAACTAGTTTCACCATTTTCTCTGTTAGACAGTTAATCTTTGTATTACACAATTTGTAGAGTACAGTAGTAACAGTAACAGCATACCACTCCCACTCCCACTACATCATCTGAATAACAAAAAATAATCAGAAAGCAGCAAATTTTAAAAAATTAATTACTATGCATTGGGAAGACATACATATTGAATTTGTCGGAAAACATTCTTTAGCTTGGTTTGAGTTATAATGGTTGCTTGACAGCAAGAGACAGCGCAGCTTGAAACAAAAATGATTAATTCACTCGATTCATAACATTAAAAAACAAGCGGCTTTAAAACGAAATGTTTTTGAAGCCTACGACATGAATTTTACGTTAAATACATTTCGCTTTGTGGTTTCAAAATGACATATTTATCGCATGAATTTTGCAAACCCTAGCGCGCCAATCGAAGTCAGAAAGAGTCACCTTTTTTAATTTCCGTAGGTTAACCCAAATGGACTTCTATTAAGTCAATAATCTTAAGAGTTATTTTAATTAGTCATGGCTGATATTAAAAGTACAAAAAAATAACTCCTAATTTAAGGTTTTGGTAATTAAAAGTCTGTTTTTTTCTAGCCATTCCATTTCTTTTCGTACTTTTAATCGAAAATTGGCAAATGTAGGCACGGTTATCATTCAAAATTTGCAAAGTTAACCGAAGGTGAATGCTGAATACTGAATCTGCTTAGGGATCTGTTGGTTTCTGTCTCGCTAGGATCTTAAAACTTCATTTATAAGGTACGTATTGAATCATTAACTAGAAGAGCTTATTTAAGGGTTGTCGACGGACCTGTACTTTATGCTTATCAAAATAAAAAAAATGATACAACACAACTTACATTCTTTATGTAATATGTTGGTCATACAAGAGGACAAAAAATATATTCATAAAATATACATTTAAATATAGGAATTACATAAAATAGAGAAAGGGTAATATTGAACGAGAGACTCGTTTGTTGTCTGTTTTTGTTTTGTGTCAAGGAAACTTGTGACACAGCGAATGATTCGTGCCTGCGTAAACTACGTGTATCGTGGGTAAATGGATTACATAAAGGGGACTTAGCTTTTCTATTTCTTGCATCGCCAAGCTTACAATTTCAAAGGGTGCAGTATTTAGGCTATCTAGAAAAGAGAAAAAATGTTTTCATTTTTTTTTTTGATCATCAATTTCAAGTGTGACGAATAAAATGAATGTCCTGTTGGATCCCGAATTCCTCCTGAGTTAACTTTTACAATCTAGCGGAGAATCTCTATTTCCCTGTGAAGATAATTTCAAGCGAGAAGCTTTGATGGACGAAAAAATTTACAACGAAGCACAAACGTATATTCAAGCATTTATGTTTATATTAGTGCCTTTGCTGCAATAAAAAAAAAAATTTGTGAGAAGTGCGGGAGTTTTTTTGGAAAACAGGCATCAAAATTGAACAAGAGAGGAAGAAAAAAACAGCGGTGGTACCAGTTTGGACACAAGACCACAATTTTTTTTACTCATTTCAAGTACATGTGTTAATTCCCTTTTGTCATAACCGAAGGTCTATATATTTTTTTTCGATATGCCATTATGAGCCGTACCTTTCAGCAAATAATTTGACCTGTCAATTGAAACCAGCAACCATCCAAAACATATCAATAACAGCTAAAATCACCTCAGGGTGCGGAGTTTGTTTAGACTCCTTCATCAGAGGCGGATGAAAAACTAAATGAATAGCGCCAGCACTTTAGAAAGAAGATAATTTTTCGGTATGTCTGCTTCGAAATAACTAGAAGCGGCAATTAAAACTGTTTGCAATTCCCAAGACTTGTATTGACACACAGAACACGGTAATCAACCAATTAAAAGTGGAATCGACTAACGTTCGACATGAAGTTATTGTCTAGTTGGAGCAACCGTAGAGATCTTAACTGCGGGTTTAGTCCTAGATTTTTCTTTCTTTACAGTTTTCTTGTAGTAATGTAGATAATAACTGAATGACTTCACGGTTATACCAAAACTGTATTGTTGATGAAAATTTCATGCTACCGCTGTTGCAAGGCAACTAAAAGAAATTGTGGTTAAAGTTTTACATTTGATTGGTTGAAAGAGTGACGCGAATTTATTGACTAGTCACAGAACGTGTCGACGCAAAACTACAGCATTCCCGGGATGCGTGATTCAGGAGTGATAATTTATAGAGAAATTAGATGCTTGCAACTTTTTAGGAGGTAAAGAGTTAACATAGCCTTCGCTAAACACAAGGGAGATGAAAGACTAGAGAGCGTTATGCACGCAAATCTTAAACGTCTTACCTGTGTTTATATCATGTCATCTAAACATACCTATCGGTCGATCGAAGACTACGTAGTATTTTTACTTTAGATTAAGCGATATAAATATTATTTGAAAAAAAAACGTTATGTGACATAACTTTGTGAGTGAGAGAATGACTAAAAGACCGTGATGTATGATATGATAAGCTGAATCCTACACGCATTTCGATTGATTGTACATGCCGCTATGGGCATGTACAGAAACAGATCACTGAAAAACGTGGTAGGAACACATTTGCGCGCCGGCGCCTTGAGTGCCACTCTTGTTCCGACCACATTTTGACGTCATTTGTGATCTGTCACTGAACGGACGCGCGGCAACTTGCAATCTATTTGTTAACTTGACTTAAATTCCCTAAATGATATGATATCAACCTTGTGAAATACTGGGAATATCCCAGGCTTTTCTGTTCTCCATTACGACAGCATACAACAGTCAGTTCTGACACTAGGGACCTTAAGCAGTCAAGACGGCAGCGCCATCCAAGACATCGATCGAAAAAAATGAATTCTTATTTTTAGTTAGAATTTCACAAATGGCTGGACGTGTTTACCATCTCTTAAGTTGCCTCACCTCAACACCAGCTTAACGCATGTGAGCAGCGTTAAGTTCAAAATGGAAACTTAAAAAATTTACCGTCGGGGTTTCCGTTCGTATACCATGCAAATTTTGGTGATTTCACGTTGTGGTTTAGCAGAGGACGGCTTAGAAATCGAAAAAGTTTTGAAATGCACGTGCTGCGCTATTTTTCGGTCCTTGTTTACGTCGTCGTCTTGGCCTGGGCCCTGCTATTCATTGTACGAACTTCATTAAAGTTTGCCTGTCTTGTTAACCAAAACCAGCAAATTAGTTGGAGCAGTAGATTTATAAATGTTCTTTCTTGGTTGGAGACATATAAAAGGAAGCCTTTTAAAATCAGACTGTTAAATCTTATTGGTCAATGAACCTTCTAGTACCCTTCAATGCTAAAACTCTCGTTGCAATTATCCAATTCCTTGAAAGAAAATTCAAATGACGTCTTTTAATAATCTGATATTTATTAACTAAAATGGGCTAGATTTGACACTGAACTGTTCGTAGTTTTGAGTAAGTCGTCTCAATAAGTGCAGGTGTCGAAGCTTAATGCACTTAAATTCAATGCAATGCGTAGCTTTTTTTCGATATCGATATGAGCGATCGGTAAGATAAGTCTGCCTTGAATATCCTACGAATCAAAATGAATCGCGGGGCGGAAAAACATTCATTTATTCACATCTTCCTCTTGTCATTGAAAGATAACAAATAATGCATTATTGTTCGAATTTGTCATTTGCCTCTCTATCTCTGACAGATATTGTCTAGTGGCTTTGCATGATACTAAATTTAGCTTTAAATCCTGATTTTTCTTTGTTTAAAGTAGTGACTTATAGAGTAAATTGTAGAAAGTAGGTATTGCAATCGACGGCAGACAGTCGTGATGAAAAATGGAAAGTAACATTGAGTTCAGGTTGCACAGAATAAAAGCAAATTTCGACCACTTGGCTTCTCGCTGTGAGATGCTACGACATAATGAATAAGAAGCTGTCAAATGTAAAACGCCTTCATGATATGTTCATTTTAAAGACGTGCTATTTGCCATCTGCAGACGGCCATTAACTAAAGCGTCTTTTCCATTGATCAGAAAACCTCCTCCAGACCGTTTTCCACCCAAGTTCCAGCTGTCTACGCCTTGACGAATATTTGTATTTACGTAGAGCTCTAAAACACAAAGATCAGTTTGAATAATTTGATTTTGATCACACAAAGCCGGAGGGTAACTCGACTCAATTCATGTTTGAACAAACCACTTCTGAATCTCCGTGTCAGGAAAAAAAACAACTGAAACAATTCTTTATCTCAAAGGAATGATGGTATTTTCGTAATACGCTTCAGGTAAGTTTTGCTCTGTGAAAAGTTAGGTGTTAACCTAATCCTTTTGTCACGTACATAAGCATCGTTTAGTGATATATTCTGAAAGAACAATAACTCTTTCGTTTTAACATTCGCGAGTACTGTCAAATGATTTTATTGATCTGATGCGATGACTCTGTGAACGTTGACTTTCCATAGAATGCTTCTACGAACTACTAAGAACGCCTCTTTTTTTTCTAATTAGTTCCTTTTACTTTAGGGTGGCTTGAAACATCCTCCCCTTAAAACGTTTAGATGTACGATTACGATTCTATCATATGCGCTCTTTGATCGCGGAAAAGCTATTCGGAAAAAAAATTCAGAATTCATTCCTTCTTTCAATAGCTTGCTTGTGGTAGCGTTTTATAATATTTTTTCTTATAGATGCAGTGTACACATCTCGACTTACCCGAGTAGTATTAATTTTATACACAATTTGAAAAAAAGTTTGTGTGTTATCACTCAAGTTTTCAGCATGATTCTAAGGGCCTGCTCTAAATAGACCAGTAACTTTTCGAAAGCCTGAAACGACGGGAATACAAAAGTGTAATTTTTAAAGTGTTTTTTACGATTTTTGTTTTGTTTTTAAAGCGCGAATATTACAAAATTCTCGACTAAACAGATGGCCAAACTTGTTATCTAATATCCACTTTGCCTCGTTAGAAATTACTTGTAAATGGCGACAAAATGAAGATTTTTGAACTTGGAAATGTTCTCACGCGATATTGTAGTGAGGATATACCCACTGCCGAACAGAAATAAGTTCGCCATCTTAACTCCCGCGATGAAAAATTTAAATAGAGCATCTGCCTCGTTGAGTTAAAATTCTGCAAATAACGATATTTCGTTTCTAAAATGAATCAAGAGCGAACAGCTTAGTGCAGCTACTGTTAAGAAATCAGAACTTTTTTAACGATCTCGTATCTCAAACGACTTTGCCTAAAAAAACGGCTTTAATTTTTATTGCTATTTTTGCCCAACATGTGACGTAACATTGCCTGCTGTAAAAGTACAATTTGTAAGATCTCAGTAGGCTGCCTGATACACAAAACGAATTTCTTTGTGGTTGTCTTTACTCTGCTTATAGTTACAATTTTTTATAATTATGCGACTCCCTAACTTTTGAATATTTTTGTAACATAAGCTGAGTTGAGTTGAATTTAAGATAGCCACATTTTGGGAGTCGTTGCTTGGCAACCGTTACGCAAGAGACAGTTGTTTGCAGAGGAGTGGTGAGCTTTTATGTCGAATAAATCCAAAACAACTCTTAAGTAAACGCGGTAAATAAATTAAAGGAGACCGAGATCGCTGTGTTTGTTTTGCAACAAATGTCGATAAACAGATGCAGAATAAGCGAAAACTCATCAATTCATGTAACCCGCTTCATCAACATGAACAGCGGAAGACGTCAAATATTAATTTGAGTAAACTGCCATATTTCACTACGAGTGCTTTTATTTGAAAGCAGATCGCCTTGTGAAAGATCAAACTTCACCTGAACCATGGCAGCCTTTTGAATTTCTTTTGAATAGGAAAGTTAAATCAACACTAAATAATTCAAAATTTTTTTTTCTTTAGTTTTCGCGAAAACTAAACAGTGCCCTCTCAAAGTGACAACAAATAAAAATCCGCCCAGTAGATATCATCCAAGCGCTGAGTCGTTAATCGGCGAATGTTTTACAGATGAGCCAATCAAAGGCATTGGCGTTTTATCCAGGAGAGCTTCAGTTATTCATGAATTTCGAATTAGAGATGTTCTCAAAACAGCTGGCTTTAGCATAAGAAGCCCGAGCTCAAAATACGCGAAAATTTTAAGCGTTTTGGGAAGATATTTCTAAATGAGGCAATAATGTCTTTTGCGGGATATGTTTAAAACTGACTTCCACGACTGACTACTTTGGGTAAGAGGAAATCATTTATAGATAGTGTACAGAGCATCTGATCAAGATACTTGGGCGGTCTTATTTCCAGGTAACGCTTATTTTACTGAAGGAGACTGGAAGATATAATCAAGAAACGCCGCGTATGGTAGAATATTGAATTTTTGGAATAAACTGTGGCGTGCTTTGTTTATAAATACCAAAAAATTGGATAACAATTCAAGCATACTTAAAACTTGGGATTCTATTTAAAAGATATGCTATTCGTGTTTCTAGATAATAAATGTAACGAAACCACACGACACTTTTTAAAAAATTGACTTTATATCGCCATTCAATTGTCTGGTTAATTCTGTTCCTTTTTTAGCTGAAGCTGACGAATGAAGTTAAGGAAAAAATATTTATCCAAGAATTTAAATGAGGTAACTTTCGGAATAAGAATAAATTATTCAACTTTGGCTTATCAATAATTAAACATTCCCTTAATTTGAAAAAAGCGTAAGTTTTCCATAAATATAAGCAGATTCCAATAAATAATTGCGCAAATCTTGACAGATGGACTGTAAATAATGGACGAAGATGTCTCCCTCAAGGAAGAGAAAGCTTATATTCCTGGTTGACGTATTGCTGGGATTTACTTTATCAAAAGGTAAGGAAACACCATAACAAATCGCAGTAACTATCGCCAGACTCTCACTTACTAAATGAGAGCACGGTGCAGGCTTAAGTTACAAAGAGGCTTGAAATCTGATTTAAGACGTGCCAACAATTACCACCGCGAGAAGCACAGGTTGTCCGAACTCAATAAACGAATAACTAAAATATGATGAGAACAAACGAAATATTAGGAAATGGCATAATTCAACCAAGGAAAAATGTCAAAAATTTCAGTACATAAACTTCTGCAGCTGACCCCGCCTTTGTCGTGTCTTCCTTTGCGTGGGTTTTTTTGTCAGTTTAGAATGATATGGTGGGTGTTTATTTCCTGTTTTTTTCATTAATTCTCATCATATCGTTTTAAGGAAGTCTTAAGGCAGAGAAACCCAAAATAAAACTGGAACGGTAAAATTCGATATCAAAACCATTCAAAGAACCATACGATAAAGCAAGGACAAATCTCTTTTCCAGTTTTTCAATTATTTTTCATGATACAACCGTTTCCTTGGGTCCGTATATTTCTACTGTTACTTAAAAAAGAGATAATAAGTTCAGATACCTATATTTCGCGCTTCGACCAACTGTGCTGGATACTGAAGGTTTTCTGTTAGTTACATCCTGCCATAAGAGAACATAAAGAGTATGCAAGCTGTATCATTTCGTGCACAAGTTTATAGCATGGTACCTGAAAACTCAAGGTAATACTGCAGATACTGCACCCTCTGACAAGGCATTAACAATAGAAACTTCTTTTGCGTTAAATTTCAAACTGTACCTCCAGGATATGGGATAAAATGTATATTTTTTTCAACTAGAATGTAACACTGACGATTTCCATAAATGGCGTCTTTGGTGTCCACCTCTTTTAATCATTAATTGCATAAAAAGTGGGCTCTATCTTCAAGGCGGAAATACAGAGATGCAGGGGTTGATGCGAACAGCGGCCTCTTTTTGAATCCCACACACGCAGGGCTGTTTTTCCTCAGCAATAGACCTCTTTCAAAAATTATGGATATGATAGTTGTTGTATCGTGTGTATGCAAACTAGCTACATGCCTTTAAAATTCTTTGATTCTGACTACACTATCACGAAACATTCAATGTGAAATAGTTTATTGAGGAATGGTCAGTCAGTCATCCGACAACAACAATGTGTCGTAACATATACTTATTACATATACTTATTACAACATAGAATATGCTAGCAAGTCTAACTTGAAAAGCTTGAAAAATTAAGTGTACCACGCCAGATACGAAAAACCACTAAAAAACCACTCTTTAGATGTGGCCAAAAAATATGTGGAAACGTATTCCCCATCTAATGCTGTGGCGCGGAACCTCGGGGAAGAGGTACAAACAAACCCATAACTCCATAGAAAAAATTTAACTAAATTGACAACAGCAAACAGAAAGACTGACTGAGCTAGAATGGCTAAAACATTAAATACTTGAGAATACTAAAACCTCTCAATCGTGCCATCAGAATAGTAATTTCTGACTAATTCGTTCCTAGTCACTCAACCGTCAGAAATTACATTTTTCAAGGAAGTGTTTTGGGAAGCTTGTTGTTAAGGAATCTAAGAAGCTGATTAGTAATTAAAGCTAAGAGAGCCCATTAAAAGGTTATAAACCATCTTCAATTTCATAATTTCATCGCTCCATCGTTAAAACGATCCATGTAGTAGCTTCAGTTGCTAACTCAGCGGCCAGGAGTGTGGGCATGTGACAACGTTGATAAAACTGAGTGGGGCCCCACATCTTGCTTTAATAACAACACAACCACGAAAATCGTGGTTTTTTCCAAAAATATGCAATAAATTTTACCCATAATTGGGTAAAGTCTGTATTGTCGAAAGTCTGACGAACTTAAAAGCGCCTTATGAATTATGGGTAACATTTTTGTAATAGTTTTGTTTAAAAGCTTGATAACTTGATTTTGGAAGTAATCCATCGCAGGTTGCCAAGCTTTTCCATCATAAAACTACTGGAATGTTCAGTTAAAGTTGAACAGATAAGTAGCTTCTGATGAATGTCGGCCGGCATAAGTTTCTACTACAACTTTTGGGCTTAACGTGGTCTTTAATCTATTTATCTTAGGTATTGCGGCAAGTGATGCAAAACTCAGTGCCGAAAAGAGACTTCACAAACGGCTTTTTAATGAGAGCTATTACAGCGTCGACCTTTTGCCGCGGCATAACCTCTCTACTACCATTAACGTCCAGTTTGCACTCGAGCTCATCAAAATTGTTGAAGTGGTAAGTGCATCTTTTATTTGTGTGAATAGGGTTATGATCAAGGACAACAAGAGGACCATTAATTTCGGTGAACCCTTAACATCATTATGCCTATTCTCCATACTGTTCTCTACAAACCTCCTTTGGTGCTGACAGTGAGAATTTGTTTAATAATCAAGAGCTTCTTTACTTGGTGATCGTTTCGTTCATTCTCGTGACCTTAATGCGTAACTCAGGGGTGATATGGTAAGGAGAAATTAGCTGCTAATCACTCCAGGGGTTTAAGGGGTTAATTTTACAAGGGGTTCCTTTTGACCTTTCACTCCTAGGAGCAATCAATAAGTAGTTTCTCCTTTTAATATCCATGCCTGATTTAAAGCTGAAAAGTAATTAAAAAAAGGAAAATATCAACCAGGAGATAAAGCCTACTTTGATATCAAATTCTGGGGAAACATATTGCTGTCTGTTGGGAGAAAAGGCCATTCCGAATTTCCCTTAGCCTCGTTTTCAAAGCGAGTCCTGGAGCTTATTATTTCATATGATTATGAGTTTTCATTTAAGTGCAATTTGCAATCATTTTCATACGAATGGCCGAAGACCAGGCCTCGTTTTAAAAAAGAGCGCTAGCCTTAAGATCTTTTGGAAATAACCTATTGATACTTAGATCGCGGGAATGAAAGAATTTACATGATAAAGGAACTAACTGAGGCTTTGACACAAACCATTTTTCTGGGACCTTCATAGCTTCCTACTAAGTGAGTTAAGTTAAAAATTTTGGTTTGCTAAGATAAAAAACAATCCAAAGAGGAGAAGGGACTAAGGTTGGAAAATCTTAAATTATGAAAAATGTGGTGGGAGTGCAAGTCATAAAGTCGCACGAAGTCACGTAACCTCTCGCTGAGTGACCTCGCCCCCTCTGCCTTCTACAAAAAGACGTTCCTCTCCTTTATGCTTGTGCTTAAAACTGCTGCCGCTATTGATAAAACTTTGTGACATATCTCTCTGATATTTTCTTGTTCCTCTACAGAACGCTAAAGAGCAATCAATGACAGTGTATGGTTGGGTTAGACAGGTCAGTTTTATTTAAAGCCTCGAGTAATTTTGAATCGGCTAACAGAGCTATTTTCAATTGAGTGTCAATAAGAATTCGAGATTGCGTTGGTTTCGCTTTACGTCAGTGTGTGATTGGTCTAGAAAACTTGCGCCGCCATCTAGACCAATCAGATGCATAAATGAAACCAATCGTGACTTGGTTTCCCGCGTTTTCCCGCGCTTTGGGCAGTTTGGTTGTTTTTACTTTGAAAGGTATTTCCTTTCTTCCGTTCGGCCGTTTCTATTGGTTTTACGAAACCCTATTGTAAAACGCCCTATTTGCATTCGCTGCTAGCTTTAATATTAACGGATTTAAGCACGTAAAAACTGAAATTCCTCACTAAACTGAGAGTGATTTTAAGTTTGCATCTGATTGATTTAGTAAACGAACAGAAATACTGTCTATACTGACTTGAAAATAATTCAGATAGAGACGCATAAAGATACCGACTGCATTGCTGAAAAAGTAAGATACTTTTCAAAAGGATCTAGTTTTGGTAAGGAAGTAAAAATTTCAGTAGACGGGCGGTTTTTCTTTTTATTATTAAAATTAAAATGCTGTTCGTCATTTTTGAGATGTTTGTATGAAATCACATGAGCGTGGTTCCATTTCGGAAATTAAGTTATGAGTTTCAAGGTGAATTTAATGAACTCATAAATGATGAACAAAATGTGGCTTTTTTGTGTTCTTAAGAAATGGGAGAACCCTTCCTTGCGGTGGAACAAGTCTGAATTTGACGGAATAGACAGAATTTTTGTGGAGCCAAAGAGGGTCTGGGTCCCGGATATTCTTCTTTATAACAAGTAAGTTGTTAATCATGTGGTGAGATCAGGTTTGCTCAATTTGTAAGATGCAGGACCTGGTAACAGGACAGTGGCCGCTATAATAGTCATCTCTTATTTAAGGATCGGTTACCATTTGTCGCCTGAGGAAGGTGGGGTTAAGTCACGATAAAATTTACTTGATCCCCCTATCTGTCTATTTTATATTCCCCCCTCCCTCCCCATGTATTCAGTGGATGATTTGACATAGACTGACACCCCTCCGTTTCCCCTGAAAACCATGTGACCCCCTCCAAAAAAAACTCCTCCACCCTCCTCCCCCTTCAGGCGGTAAAAAAATGACTGGTCCTTAAGTTGATGGATCTATCCATTATAAAACCTTCTAAGAATTAAAGTTTGATTGTTATTTTTTTCTGAGAATATTCGGGTTATTGGGCTCGTTTTTGAGCTTTTAGCATATTTAGCCAAAGTATAATATATTTTGTAGATGACTGGACGTGGAATTGATATCAAAATTCTGATTATTTTGTCATCAACTGAACAGAATAGTTCTTCAAGTGATTCCTCATTCGCATCCGTAATGCGCATAAAAAATCACATAATCAGGCGCACGCGTGCGCCTTTTCCAAGAGCACGGTATTGTTTTTCGATCAATAGACGAGATAAACAGGTACAATGGTATTTTGCTGTTAAACGAACGAGGTGATCTATGATTTTTATGTTTGGTGTACAAGTCATCCCCTTTCATTTGGAGAAATTAGAAAAATTTATCGGAGGGAAAAAAACATAGCTACAAGCGTGCACGAAGGCCGTCGCTCGAGGATGCGAATTGTGACCTCGAAAGGAACGACTCGGTTCTACACATCATATATTACATTGTTCCATACTCAAGAGATTCTCTATCTATCCATTATATTTCCAAGTTTTGCTTTTAAGAAAAATTGCCTTCAACTACCGCAAAATGTATTGTGAATCGATGAAATGACGCACGTGATTAGTACCAGTACAGGCGTAAATTGGATAAGATTAATATTGGCCCCACCATATTTCTTGGACAAGCACGATGATCTATTTTTTTTTTACTACAGTTTTTGGAAAAAGACATTGGAAGGGAACATGAAAGGAACCTTAAGATTAATAGAAATGATGGTAACACAAGCTGTTTTCCTACGCTGCCTTAACAATTTTTCTGTTTATTTCCTTGTAGCAAAGACGAGCAAGATCACTTTGGCGGTGGAAGGACTAGCTATCGGAGCGGTATCACTCTCTTCTTCAATGGCACCAACGTGTGGTTCAACCCAATGATATTCAACGTCCTTTGCAGAGTAAAAGTAACGTATTTTCCATTTGATAATCAAACATGTAAACTCAAGTTCGGTTCCTGGATGCACGACGCCACTACCTTTGACATAACCCCCATAAAAAATTTGACATTTCCAACCAAGCATTACCAAGAAAATGGAGAATGGGAAATTTATAAGGTAAAGATGAAGCGAAACATAGAGCACTACCAATGTTGTGAAGAGCCCTTCGTTGACATTACGGTGACGATCGAAATGGGAAGGGAGAGTATGGACTATTTCATTAATTACATTGTTCCCTGCTGTCTAATTTCCTCCATGATTTTTCTTGGTTTTATTTTGCCACCTGAATCGGGAGAACGGATCGGTTTAAGCATTACCGTGTTGTTGGCAATGACTGTGTTCCAGCAACTTACCTCAGAGATCATGCCATCTTATGACTTTCCTATCCTGGGTCAATATTACTTTGCTATTATCTTGGAGATCGGTGCCTCGGTTGTGGTGACCACGACGATTTTGAACTTTTATCACCGGACGAATCGTAGGATGCCAAGATGGATGAGAACACTTGTCATAGAGTGGATGGCAACCATAGTGTTCCTGAGAGATACTCCGGAAAAAAGAAAAATCCAGCGACGAAAATCCAGCAGAAGAAGCCGAAGACGAAAACAGCAAAGCATTATTAACGACGTTTGCAAAAGATCCTTCAAAAAGAAACAAGAGGAAATGAAAGACCAGCACAACCAGGGATTTAACGTAACATTTGGTGACACCATTTACTGTGGTCCTTCCAATACTGAGTCCTTAGGTGCAGAAATGGAAAATCTTGGAATCCAGCTCAATTATGGTGTAAACAAATATCCTTTCAAGAGCTCTAATGAAACGCTGGACGATCAGCTCAAGAAAAAAGAGGAAGCACGTCCTTACATGGATGACAATGAAGCCTTAAGCGAAGACGAGTTGGCCATACGTCACTGGGAGTGGACTCTTGTCGCAAGGATTCTGGATCGGTTCTTCCTTGTGATAGCAGTAATTTGTGGTATAGTAACAGTTGCTGCGATATTTTTGCGTGCACCGAAGTTATGGTCTGATTTTAAGATGCTATCAATCGATAACCCTGAACCGTTGGTCGACGAATAGAACTCATTCAACGGCTTCGTAAATGACATGCGCTTTAGCCAGTACGATTAAAATAAACGTTAGATCTGTTTTGACTTAGGCATAGAGTAAAAGTGGTCTCGCGGCCAGGTGGATGTGTTACCTGCCCAAATTAAGGCAAAGAATCCTAGTATCATGACTGCTAGCCCCAATAATATGGGCAATACGTTCAAATCTTATGGAAATAGAATAGCTGTATACTGATCACCCTGAAAGACTGTTCTCACGGACTGTTGGCGTCGAGTTTTTGGGAAAGGTTATCAAACAAGGCGTGGTAAATGCGGCAAGCGTCAACATTTCGACAAAGTGAGTCTTTTTGCGCACCCCCTGTAGGAGGGTATCAATACGGTTAACCGTCAGCGGTAAACCGGCCAAAAAATTCAGCCGTTAACCATAAGAATTGACAAAGTTTAACCGTTCGTCGTAAAAAAAATATAACCGTAAAAAAGTTATCTGATGACTTCTTTGGAAAGATATTAACCGTTAGCCGTAAAAGCCTCACCCCATGAGACCATCTCCCACCCCCGTACTTTACATAGTCTACCTTAATCAGTTTGTATCGAATTTGGGCTGCTGTGGCGAACTTGACCCAAATTTTGGCCAATAAGCGAACTAAATAGTGACTTTACTTTGTTAAGACTGTACTTGCACAATGAAGCCTTAAAGTATGGAAAAACTGCGCAAGCACAATGCTATAAAGATTTGACTAGGCGAGACCATCAAGAAGAATGGCAAATAGGTAAAAAAGCGTTGATGAAAATTTAAGCAACATTTTTAGTTATATGGTAGTATCCAACAAGATTTACAAACATCTATCAAAATATCATACTGAATGTAACAGTTGCATAATGCCTGTAATGCTTTCAATCTCCTGATATGATCTACTGAGAGCAAAAATAGTTGCTTTTATATAATGAGCTGAATTATAAACGAATTTTTTTTGGTTCGTACTTAGATCTAGAGGAAGACAGACGCATAGATAGCGTCACCATGGACAATAATTTGCCCGCAATAATACAAAAAACAAATAGATCCTATGTTTCCGTATGTCTTTTAAGGAATAGATTACAGCAGACGTCAAATGCTGTAAGAATATCAGTGACGTACTCTACCGTTCCTTGTGTGCCATTTTTTCGGTCTTACTACATGTTGACATCATCTGTGACCCATTAGGACACGGCAAAATGCCGGAGCGCTACTCAAGCCGTTTTAGCCTTCAGGGTTACGTGTTTTTTTTTTCTGCAAACATGAGCTGAAGCGGGTTTTCCGCCGAGACAAAAAAAACTCTTCTCCAGGGAATTTTGCCTACTGAGGAGGCGATGACAAGAAGCACTAAAGCGATAACAAGTGCTACGATATATGTTACGGCTGCTCAACTTCAGTCACTAAATTCACACCTGCTAACTCAGTCCTTTTTTTTGTTGAGTGAGATATGTGACGGAGGAGGTTTGACAAAAACTTCCCTGAAAAATGTAACCTTATCTCTTTTGATTTGGACTTATCCGCGAAATGAGAACATGCAATACGAATTTTAAAAAAATGCAGCCATTTTGCCTCGATAGTGCTTGAAAATATTGCAGTTCCCATTCCTTTGCTCGCATAAATTTCTCGCGAGTTACAAGCATGTGCACTCATTTTGCCGCTGCGGCAATCCTTTGCTGAACATGCGCGACTGTGCAGATGGGATAGTTTTTGTTAGTGCCGATCATCCCTACTTCCCCTAGAACGACATAGTTGCTCAGCTGATCCTTTTATATCACAAAAAATTCTCATATTGTGTTACATTCGTTCAGTAATATATCACAGAAGGCGTCATATGTGAAGTACATCGGTGAAACACGTAGCTCTGCTTCGTGTGCTTTTATTTTGCACATTTTGCAACTCGATGACTTCGGGCTCCTGCATAGAAAAGGGGGCTAATAATGGAGGTTTAATCGGGCTGAAAGTGCTGTCTATGACTGCTAAGTTAGTGGTTGCTTTCCTTTTCTCTTTTTTAATAGTGTTGTCGCCTTGGTATGCATTCCGTGACTTTAAAATACCCGATACATCACATCAATAATTTCGGGAAAACTTTTTTCTTTGTGTTTGTCCACCGTGAAACGTAAAAAAAAGAGCCAGTTAAAAGTTTTCTTAATGCCGACTTTATTTAATCAATTACTTGAGCCCTTTTTGCCATTAGTGATCTTGCTTCAGGCGACGTGAACGTAGCTTAGTTTTGTCAATCCACGCTCGGCTGGTCTCTTTCTTCGGTACATCTTTTCTTTTAAATTCACCATACTTTGATTGGAGCCGCATTATTCAAGATGTGAAACGTTTTGCTATCTCAGTCTCACACCATCACGTCGTGTGTCACTGTTCATGATTTATCACCTCCAAGTGTTAGTAGTTTACTTGTGCAAATGTGCTTTAAAGTAATCGTGGTGTGAGGATGACTTAAAAGTCTTGTAATGACGCACGCCCTCGTTACCTACAGCTCCGGCAAAAGTCACGAAGCGGTGAGGCTTCATTCTTGCTTTTCCAAGTTGTCCGCCGTGTTTTTCATGTGCTACTGGAGAATCTTTCCGGAATTTTGCATCACACCAAACGCTCTTAATGTTATCAAAAAGCATTGAATATGCATTGTCTTGTTGGATGAAAAACAGCCACCAGACATTCGCATGCAGACGATGTTTTATTTACTAAAGGGGAGTAGGTATACGCGCATGCACAAATAAACGTCGCTATAAAACATTGTCTGTTTATCTAATCGGACAAAAGCAAACGACTTGAGAAAAACGAAAGGATGGCAAGAAAAACATTTGATTTGTTTTAAGATTATCCGAGCTGAAGTTCCGCTTGCTTTATTATAACTCAGCGGGATATTGTCTCGATTAAACCGCACCAAATGTAAGTAATTAAACCTACAGAGGTGATAAAGTATTAATGATAAACCTTGGTTAGTTGATTGTAAAAAGCGAAAATTCAAATGACTTCAAAACCACCACACCATTGCATCGGATTAAGATTATCCATCCAAACAGATTAACGAGGAAAACCATTGCTAGATATTTTATTTTAAATTAGCTCTTTGAAATCATTCAAGTTTCTCCGTTCGAAAGTACTTTAAACTGGTCTTTACTGACGTGCGTCATGTTGCCAGAGTAAACTAAATCATTCCATAATCCCTTCTAGTAACTTCGCAACGGTGAATTATCATATGAAGGTAATAAACTTGCCATAAAGTTAGTTGAATCTTCAATTCTTCACGAAACTGTTATTAAAAACATGAAGAAAGATTCTACAGGGTACATCGTGTAATTTATGCACCGAAAAAGAGAGAAGCGACGAAGGGCTTTTAAGAAGCGTATAAGATATCTAGCATTGACAGTTATGTCATCTGATCTGCTACAAAGCTGGGCAGTGAAAGAGTTTCTTCAAAAAGTTTTTAACTACTATAAAATTTCATTCAAAAATGGCCATATGTCACGCTTTTGAGTGATTTAGTTTACTTTAGCAGTAGAACAGCTTCTTCCGCCGTTAGAGTTCGTATAAATTGAGTAATGGTGTAATTTTGTGACTAGTTCGACAGCATTGATGTATTGATAAAAGAGGAAACAAAAAAACCGCTGTTGAACACATTTTATGACAGCAGATGATTCGTGCATGTCATCCCACTGAGCCAGACTGAACCAAAAAGAAATTTGCTAGTTTAAAACATTTAAATTTCAATTTCTTTAGAAAAAAAAAACAAAAGATGACACACTCAGTCCTAAAAGATATCTAAGCACTCGCAGGTGAAGGTAAAACGCCTCTTCATAGAGGTGAAAATTAAAATCGACGTCATGTGATTAGTATTTCAAGAAGCCTTGGCAAGGGCATGAAGAGCCCATTGTAAAAGTAAGAGAAATGTTTTTTTTTGTATTCATGAAAACCAAGACTTTGGAATGATAAAAAAAATGAAGAGAGGTAGCATCTAAATGAATTTTTATTATTTCGTGTCTTGAAACAGTCCTGATAAAATTAAGCGCATTGTTATTCTTATCAAGCATAAACAAAATTCACATTTTCGCCATGTGAACAATTAATGACTATTTCGACGGAAAAAAATTGCCCTGATATCACTAAAGTTCATTATGCCTTCCATTCCGCCCAGTATGTTCTAAATGATTCTTTTGTAGGATCATATATCTCCTGTGAATATTAAGTACCTATTTTCCGGCACAAGGCTTTTAAAATTAGTAACCAGACATTGTGTTAACCCCGCGGTCAACTTTGTCACAATAGGAGTACATGGAATTCATTAAACGTCAGACAATCCCGTTCAGAAATTTGCAAACTCAGGTGGCAGTTTTCCAGTGAGTACAAAAATACAAATTCAAACAGCAGTTTAGAAAAGACACTTCCATGTGTTCCTTGGCCTTTGTGGTGTTCACGCTGTGCGTGGCGGTTCTTCCTTTCGAAGTACTATGCGAAGACCAAGGTGAGTGTACATATAACTCACTCAAATACGACTTTTTAATGTTTGCAAAGCAACTTAACGATTCCATCAATTGGACGTGAAGTTTTATCCATATGATATTAACATTGAAAGAACTTTACCTTCACAACTCATGGAAAAATAATAACGACGAACATTGCTAATTTTTGTCATGTTGACCTATTGTTAAATATATCAGATATACATTTCTTTGGGCATCATTACTGGGTTTGTTCATGTTTAAACTATATCTTGCCACGAATGAATCTTCATGATTTGGCTCGGTAAACGATAAAGTATTCAAGGAAGTAGTCTGCATACGAATTCAAATAGAAGTTTGAGGAAAATGAATATACAGTTGACATTCGATTAATGTCCACTTTTTGTAGGAGACCCTTGAGGAATATTACACTTTGTTTGAAACGGTATTCTTTTTGGTCATTGCTAAAAAAAAATTATGAAGGGAAAAATGGAACCATTATGAAATTAAAAGATGGATGTGTCATGAAAATTTGACAGGGTCAAATATTTACGATCCTTTTAAAGTACCTTTCAAGCAAACCAAAATTTACGAAAAATGCAAATATGTCCTCATTCTGAAACTAATAAAGAATCATTAGTTTCTATGGGTTCTTTGCCATAATGTCAGAAATGTTAACCAGTGGATTCCATTTCTGGAAAAGTTGTTCAGCTAGTTGCAAGTTTGAATAAAATGTTGAAAAGGTTAGATTGGAAACAAAAGCAACAAGAAAAAAACATTGTAACAGAATCTTTTTCGCGTATTTTCAAACTTCCTGTAATTTCATGTTTTGTAATTAAGTAAAGTAATGAATGCTAAAACCGCAACGTTTTTCCTTTTAATAACGACTCGGCGGTGAATTTATGGCCGGCAAAGGATTTTTCTGTACAAAATTTTTGCACTGTTCGCTTTCATTTCGTCGCACGGTCGGGAATTAACTAGTTATTCAGGTGTAACTCTAGGCCTAAAGGGTTTATCATGAGTCAGCGTCCTAGAATATAATGCAAACGTACGCTAGTTTAACTACAAATATGTACATTAGAATTGATGATTCACTTTAAAATTAACAACAAGTAATTTTAAGAGACATATAATCCGCTGACGGGCATTACCATTAAGGATTTTTATAAAAGTAAAAATAAGACTGAGCTAGATTAAACAACAGAGCCAGCTAAACGCGGAAATGATTCATTTATTTTCGAAGCTTTGAAAGAGCTCAGTTCCAAATACATGAAATGCAATTTCGCGGACCCATATCTTCGAAATTTTAGTGATCATTGTCTATTTTTTCAGTGGCAGTAAACTAAAATAATTCAAACCAGACAGTTTGTCATTTTCCCTACGGTTTCGATATTGTTGATTGAATGGAACAAATTTTAGTTATAAACTATGGCAACTACTTGTTTCCACAGTAGAATTATATTTCTAAATGTCGGTACCCTTTATGCCACTTGTAAAACAACGTGAATCTGAACAATTTTAATTTTAAGGAGAGAGGAATTGTCGTGTAAATTCAACAAAATCCACAAGTACTGATTATTGGAAATAATATATTTCTGCTAGAACAGTCGACTATAATTAGAATTACTAAGGCGCTCACAAAGGGGCAAAAAGAAAACAAAAAAAATGACAAATTCATCAAAGCCATATACACTGCCATTGGCAGTTTCCTGTACATCAAACTCCTTACGGGATGCAGGGCTTTCAATAACGTTTCCATGAGTGGCTGCCGATGGTGTCCGTCTGGGTGGCTTTGCCGTAGGGAGAAATCCAAACACGAGGGCTTGCTCGCAAGCAAAACAGACGAGGCAGGAGATGTCTCATAAGTGGCGGTACACCACTGGTAACCGGGTGAGATGAATCTTCCAACCATTTGTTCACTGATGATCAAGTGTGTTGCTATCAGAAACCCAATCTCTTGTGGAAAAATGTTATTGTTCACAAAACGATGTTTATTCAAGACAACCTCCGAGAACTAGAACTAGAACTTTCGTGAGATATGTTTTCAATGCGTTTCAAAACAAATTGACTATTGATGTTTTAATGATTCGCCCACGTCTTTTAACATATCTTCCAGTCTAAAGGCTACATTTATTTTTAAACTAGTCGTTTAATCCAAAATATGTTCAATCTAATCTCTATAGATTTAGGCAATAATTGCCTCAAGTACAGTTTTACAGAGAACTTGAAAAATTAAAACTCTGACAAATGAATGCTCTCGCCTGCACCATTTTGCAGAAAAAACATTACGACTCTTTGCACTTTGCGCTATTGCAAATCGAGGGAAGCCGGCGCTTTGGTGGCAAGAAGCCAAACAGTAACCTGCTATTCTTAGTTTTGGGTGCCACTTCTACTAATGATCTAACCATTACGAATTACGATTTTAAAACAAGGAGGAATAATTAACAACTTAGAAACCGAATGTCTAATGTATAACTCTCTCTTAGAGGAATTCCTAGAAACCAAGAAAACATGAGTTGAGCTTATAAGAAGCTTCCCCCCCTCATATTACGATCCTGAGCCGAAGAAAAGATTCTGAGTCCCTTTGAAGATCAATTTAACCATTTGATCACCCTGCCTCCTCTGACGGTCTATTGTTGAATTTTCTCTCTATCATTAATCTTTTATGCACGAGAACAGTATGTAGTGTAGACGAAGCATTTATGTTGAATACGATTACCGTTTATTTCTAGAAAATGAGGAACGCGTTTTGAGGAGGACACTTTCTGAGAAGTTGTTTAATGGGTACAAAAAGGATTTCTTACCGCGACTGAATGAATCAGTTCCGGTTAAGGTCCAATTTGATTTTGAACTCATTACAATCAAAGATGTGGTAAGTGAACTTCTAAAATAAACATTCATTTCCTAAAGATTTCTTTTTTCAAAAAATTTTTGCGCGCCTTTAAAGGAGGTCGATAGACGACGATTCAACTGATGGATCGGGAGGTCTTGAATGCATGTTGACCCCACATCCCCACCCATTCCCCCTAATCCTTGGTGTTGGACACCCGGAAAGGTCTGGCTTACCTTTGATAGATGTCGTCTAAGCAATCTGCCGAGTTGAAGTTTTGAAGCTCACTGACAATAAATATGAAAAAGATATAATTATTAAAGATAATTTAAATCTTCGTTCAAAAAAAAAACCACGAGAAAAGTATGTTCTTATTTGTCAGTTGTATTTTTTCTTTAAACCATATTTTTGTGTGTTATTTCAGAATGCAAAGGAACAAACATTCACAGTCTACGGGTGGGTGCGACAGGTAATTTTTAGCTTTGTCAACAAATGGTTCATCACGCTGAATTTTTCCAAAATTTTCTATTTCAGTCTACTGAGGAATAAAAATATGTAGTTAGAAGAATGTTTTTCCTTTCTACCACTTTTCCTGGCAAACAATAATGTTGAAGAGTCTTTTCAAACGGGGGTGTTACGTAATAAAATGTTTAATATTAAAGGGGGTAAATTTCTAAAGAAACTGTGGTGCTACGTTGGTGGGAAAGTAAGACAAGATAATTTCAGTATTATCAACCGAGTTGGTAGCGTAAATAAGCCACCGTAAAAAGTTTCAAAGCTGACGTTTTGAGCGTCAGCCCTTCGTCAGAGCGAATGGATTATCAACTAAGTCGATAAAACCAAAATTAACCTATTTAATGAGAAGCTTGGATTGATGCCAGCTAGTATTGGCGCTGATCGAGGCTGCAAAACGTTGATAAAAACCACTTGGTGATTACTACGCTCTTGCGAATGATTTGTGTGCTCTTTGCACCCTAAGATAAGCATTCATCTTCTTCTCAATGTTCACTTTACATTTCCAATGGTGCTGAAAAGGAAATTTGTTTGACAGGCAGGAGCTTCTTGAATAATTGATCATTCCCTTTATTTTCTTCTTTATATTTCATTCAAGGATGATGTTGCAGAGAGAAATTAGAATCCAGTCTCTCTTAGGGCTAAAAAAACCATAATTTAGGCGAATGTTCCCAGTCTCCCGTTTGATACTCTTTAACTGTCAACAGATCTAAAGATCTTATGTTCTCCTCACTCCAGAAATGGCACAACCCGTTTCTTGAATGGAATTCTTCTGAGTTTGGCGGTATTCAATCCATTCAGACGAACGCGGACAAGATCTGGGTACCAGATGTTCTGGTCTATAACAAGTAAGGCTTGCATCTGCGCCATGGCGAGAGCTGCAGGGGACCCTCCGAATCATTCGCAGTTTGATTATGACCTAAATTGGGGTCGGCGGTGAATCTAGGGAGGACAATGCAGAAAATGAGTTATTTGCTCTACAAGATTGAAAATCATATGATATGCATGCAACCTAAAATGTCGAAGTTAGCGAGACTAAGGAGTAGTTTTGTAATATTGTAAAATAGCCCTCTAAGTTCGCCAGCTATCTTGGCAGCGTTAACTTTTTATGTCATTGAAAAATTGATCTATTACCTAAAATGACTTAACTGCCCTTTAAGTGTGGTAAACTTGAAATCAAGACAACGTCGTCTGACTCATTTCACTTGATCTTATTATGACGATAAGATTTCTTACTAATGAAATGCCCATGCTAAATTTAGAGCCAATGGCAAATATTCTGCATGTCACACTCACCCAGGGACAAATCTTTTTCTCGGTGTAAACGAGACTATTTCAATGATTTTCTTTTTCTAGCATTGATCTCCATGACCGCATTGGTGGTGGGCGAACGACATACCAAACCAGTGTTCTCATGCAGGCAAACGGCCAAAACTCTTGGATGAGTCCTGCCATCTTCAAGACCGTCTGTGCCATTGATGTCACCTTCTTCCCTTTTGACATGCAGACATGTTTACTCAAGTTTGGTTCGTGGGCTTCTAACAGTCAGCAAATAACCTTGTGTCCACAGAACATGACTGGAAAATCGAATCAGTACGTGGACAATGGCGAATGGGATATCATAGACATCGTACCTAGAAGAAACGTTGTGCATTACAGTACGGGTGCGTTTGACGACGTCACAATTACTATAGTTATAGGTCGCGTTTTTTTCGTGTACTGCGTGAATTTGATTATTCCGTGCTTTCTAATCTCGACCATGATATTTCTGGGATTCATTCTTCCTCCAGAGTGCGGAGAGAGAATTGGATTGAGTATTACTGTACTGCTTGCTATGACGGTCTTCCAACAGTTAACAGCAAACATTTTCCCTTCATTTGATTTCCCGCTCCTTGGTCAATATTATTTTGCAACAAGTGTTGAAATTAGTATTTCACTCTTAGCGACAACTGTGGTTCTCAATTTTACAAATCGAAAAAACAAGAAAATGCCACGATGGATGCGTAAGTTGTTACTAGAGTGGATCGCGCGCGTCGTCTTTCTGAGGAAAACTGTAGAAAAAAGCTGCCCAAAACCCAAACATAAACGGTCCACGCGGCGTTTCTCGAGCATGAGGGAATTCAGGGACAACCAAGAAGCCAGGCAGAGGGGGACAGCCGGTCATGACCAAATGATTACAAGAGAAACCTTTCCCGATGATCCCGAGAGACAAGACGACCACCTTGTCGCTGAACTCAAAAGCATGTTCATGATATCAAAAAATCTGGACTATGGCGGCTTGCGATATGCACACTCTGTCAAGAGTACAAACTTGAATGGACTCAATAATGGTGACGACAGCCTCATATTAAGTGGCCCCACTTCCGAGGGAGTCTGGGACGATAGTAACATGTCATTCACTGGAGTTCTAGACGAGAATGGTGAAGAACTCGAAGAAAACGAGCTTCAGTTACGTCAGTGGGAGTGGATCATGGCCGCAAGGGTCCTGGATCGAGCCTTGCTATGGGTGTCAATAATTGCCGGCATTGTAACTTTTTTCGCCATTTTCATGAGAGCCCCTCGCTTGCAGACTTTATTGTTTGGCTCTTGAGTAATCATGGAAAGAGGTCATCTCTCGAGCACTGTCTAGACTGGAAACAGGGGAACCATTGGGATAAAACAGCAAAGCTCTCCCGGATTCTTGTGAAGTCTTGCCATTTGTTAATTCCCACTGGTCGTAATAGTAAAAAATTGACAAAGACAAGAAAACAGTAGTAATATAGGTATTCAAAGAAAATGATCGCTGAAGAACTGCTGAGATTAATACGTACTTAGTACTCAGTCAGTCAGCCATTGCCTTAGAACTCACAAAACTTTAAGTAACAAGTAGAAAGCTGGCTAATCCCGCTCATCACAACCTTCTCCGTGGTTGAGTTTAGATTTCTGTACCGTTAACTGGAAAATATTAGCGCTACATTGAGGGTACTGTCCGGCGATGCCCTAAGAACTCATTTTTGGAGACTTGTGATACTAGTCTTCACTTGTCGACGAGATAACTTTGATGAACTTCGGCTTCGTGGCGAGAGATTTAGCAGTCTTTCAAACAACACTTTAGCAAGGGAATTAGTACGAAGAACACAAAACAGAGACCAAACGTTGCAGAGAAGTAAAATATCTCATGTATCTGACAATCAACTTACAATACATCATTAAACTGGAAAATTGGTCTTAATGAAAGACTGAAGAATTTTAGTTTATGGTGATTCAGAGGTTGGGATGGACATGAAATCAATCAGTGTATCGTGTAGTATCCTGCACTCGGGCAGGATTTAAATTTCGGTCAATTTTGCTCCATGCCACATCTGACAATGACGAGTGTGTTGATCGGTTGGCAAATCTCTTGTGGTAATTATCCAAAAGGTTGTGTTTGTTGAATTGGAGGAAATAAAAAATACAAATACAAAAGTATTGTTTCAGTCAACTCCGGCGGAGACGAAACTGATGCTATTGCTAAATGTATATTGTTTGTAAAAGCTGATTTGCAAGTTCCTGGAAATTTGATGTTTTGCTCTCCAAAGGTCTCAGGCGGCTCCTATGAAATAAACTTTACAATATAGAATCTGTTTGTACGATTTTTAATTAAATACTAATATCCACATATCTTAAACAACACTCGTCCACTGTGTAAGGAGCATGACGATATAATGACATAAAAGTTCCACATGGAGGTTTTGATTCCTTGCCAAACGAATGTACTTAGCCGAGAGACAAACAGATAAAACATTCAGGTCAAAATTACCTTAAACTGAAATATGTCAGGCACTTCGCATTTTATATTTTTTATACGAAACTACGCGACAGACTTGCATTTTTCGTCTTTTGTTTTACCAAGGGAAAATAAACAGTATGCATGTTGAACGAGAAGCAATGTTTGCGACTCAAATCTCCGCAGCAGTAACAGAAGAGGCCTTCATGAAGAGAAGTAATAAGACCATCTCGATGGTAGGTTCTCCCGTTACCAAGCTTCGTCGGTGTATGCCTTTCTACAAAGAGGGTACGTTTCTGAGGAGACTGTGGTGTTGCGTCGGTGGGGTAGTATAACCTGATAATTTTGGATTTATTGTAAAACGATATACATTGGTGAAACAGGAAAACGACTTGGTGGTCGATTCCGAGAAAACTCCTTCGCGACGTAGAAGAAAATGACAATGACGCATCCAAACCAGTCGCTAGATCGACAGCATATGGCAGTTTGCGGCCTTTTCCATCTAAACAGTTCAGAAAGCCGCAAAACACTTGAACAAAAATTTGTCTCTGTAATCGGCACCCTTAGTCCTCACGGTATCAACGAACGCTTTTCATTCTTATTTTTCTAATTACTATGTTCCCACCAATAGCATAGCGCCATTTTCTGCATAGAAACCCACACACAACCCACAATTCCTCCATTCGCTCTGATGAAGGGCTAACGCTCGACATTCTTTACGGTGGCCAATTTACATCATCAACTCAGTTGAAAAAACCAAAATCATGCCTGTCAATATCCTAAAACCCCCTTAAAGGTATTATTTTAGTATCCACCAACCCTAACATGGGGCAAGAGGGGGAGAGTTAGTGGACAAGACTTAAATGATAACGTCCACGAGCTCCTTATACCTTCCGGGATGAAAAAAACAAAAACAAAAAACTGAAAAGGGTCCAAGACATAGCATTAATAATTCAGTCTGCTGTCTCATCAAATACCGCAAATATTCACTTCCTTTTGAAGAAATGAGATGGAATTCTTCTTTGTAGGGAAATGAAGTACGTTTCATTGTTAGTTCGTTGCACAGCCTTTTTAAATTTTGCTCATAATCCCAGTGGCTGTGAATCAGCCGACGGCTTACATACCATGCATTTTATTATGGAATTTGCTCACGTCGTTCTTGGTGCGCATGTGTGTTCGTGTGCGTGCGGTCTGTAGTATAGACATATTTGAAAATGGCACTTTTGAACATTTCACTCCCGCAGTGCCGGACAATTTTGAAACAATATTTGATGCGGTGTCTCTCTGTGCGTGTCTCGATCCAATATCTCGTGCGAGGCCTAAGAAAAACCTTCATGGTTTGTTACAAATTAAAGATTAATTGCGCTTACGGGGAAAACCGTACTACTCTCACGGGTTGCATTGTGACATAACACGTTACGGGTACAGGTACCAGTGCAGTGTGCTATTGTGCTCGCCTTTATGAAACAGACTTATTTTAATGAGCTCCAACCGATAGAATTGATTATATCTAATTGGAACTCAGTTCCCTGATTGCAATCAAATCGCAAGACGGCATTGCATTTAAGTACATAGGAAAGCCTGATTAGTTCACCAAACGGTGTGGTTTTTTGGAAATACTCCGATGTGTTCTTTGCCTTTTTTGACGTTGCCAGCGTTCCTGGTTATGTGCGTTGCTGTTCTTGCTGTCGAGATATTATGCGATGAACAACGTAAGTTGAAACGTAAATTATACATTAAACAACGCATCGCTGATGATAATAACTGGCCGTGAATATTCCCTATAAGCATGCCATAGTGACGCTCACCACAGCATGTCTTGTTTTTAAATCTGTAGCCTGTAGCTTTAACACAATGAATTTACTTTAGGAACCGTATTGATCGAGGCTATTTTCTGAAAATCATTTGCCTTCTCTGACTCACAATTCCATCTGAACTTTAAATACAGAAAAATTATTTTACGCAATGAAACACAAGGATTAGAAATTTGCTAGAATCTTAAATTAGTCATGATAAACTATGATGTTTATAACGGCGTCAAATGTAGGTCAAAGGAATTATTTACCAAGGGAAAATAAACTCAGCTCACATCATAGCTTAACTGAAATAAACTCATGTAAGTACAAAAACCGGAACCTTGGGATCCAGTCGAAGCATTATGTAATCATTTGCGTTGATTAAAGTTTATTTGTTAAGTTACCTTAACACTTAGACCAACTACTGGTGCGTTACTCTTATATCATTGGTGATGATCATTTATACATATATATAAGAGTTGGTCTGAAAATTACACCTAAACCAACGCACTGTGTTAATCTTCCATGTGGTAAAGTTTTTCTAATGACAGACCAGATCCAAAGAAATATTAAATCCTAGCTGACTACAGGTGTTAAGCTGTACCGACACTGAGCATTTTTGTCGGTTCGCTTTTCGTTACTACGAGTTTTAATCATGCAACATCCCGCTGTGGCGTAACTTAAACCACCTTGTCCCTTAAAGATTGACAGAGCCGCAGTCTTTATACCATGCTCAACTAATTTTTCAATTCACATTTCGTCGGCACATAACTTTTATGGAAAAACTGACTCGAAAGCAAAGAAAAATGGTTTAGAACTTTTAAATAATTTTAGGCGTCATCTCCATCGCTAATGTTATGCGAACAGGCTCATCTCACGAAATTAACCGCTTCTTGGTGATCTATATTCATTCAAATTAGATCGTGTCTTCGTACGCTTTTCTTTATAAGAAACGCTCCGAAATTCACCGCTGTTTGGCAACCTATATGCATTCAAATTAGATCGTGGTTTCGTATGCTTTTCTTCATAGGGAACCCAACAGTTCAACTGAACTTATCTAATTAAAAAACTTTGCGCTTTTTCTCAGTAACAAGACGGAAACACTGAAGTTGGAAATTTATTAATCAGTCATACCTTATCTACCGTCAACCTCAACCTGCATTGACAAATTCGAAAGACATTCTTTTTATTTTTAATAACCTCGTTTGTTATGTCGGAGAAGTAAATAATCACTTTAAACGCTTGATGGGATCTTTCTTCATTCCGTTCTTTCTTTCTTTCTTTCTTTGCTTTTTCACTGGTTCTAAAAAAGCTTATTTAAAAGAAATTATAATTGAATCTTTACCCAAAAATCTTACGGTTTCTCGATAAGTACTGTTTCCTGCAAGTAATATAATTAATAAAAGCATATTCGAAATGATAATAAGTGCTTCTCAGAGGAAAGTAATGTATTTCTAACTTTTCGGCTTGAACTAGTTGAACTAGGGCCCCTAACACGGTGTTATTAAGCCGGACAGAGAAGAACCACACCGGAAAAGTTTAAAAAATTGTGAGGTATTCATCTCTCATATTTCTTGGAATCTATTTTCTTACATAACCAAAACGGAAAATTGCTTCATTAATTTTAAAAACGACTCTTGTTACGACTTGATTACTTGTTGACGACGAAATTTGTTTTGAACTTCGCTGCTGTTAACATGTTGCTAATAGGTACTGCTCATATTCAAAGGTATGGTTTGGTTAGGTCCTTGTTTATCTAAACCGCCTTCTTAACAATCTTACATCAAGCAGAAAATATCACCTTCATCTTAACATTTGGCGAAATGCCATATTCGGCACTAAAATGAAGATCTAATTACTCTAAAAAACCTTCAGACGAGAAACTTTCGAAGTCCATTGATCATCAAAGACCGCAGCTTATATTGGTCAGCGTTTAAATAACCGACCTTAAGTTTTTTACTTCATCTGTAAAACCTTTTGGATTCTTATTCCAGATGAGTGTTCTAAAATGCAACTGAAGAGCACACAAATCATTCGATCTCCTAATGCCGACATGCACCCATGACGCAAACAACACAGTAATTTGAAGGTTCCCGCAAATAAATAATTTATGAAGATAGTATTTCAGAAAAATAATTAAAAAAATAATGAGGTATTGAAAATTAAAGTTCTCGGATAAACGAGCCTTAGCTAGAACAGTGTAAAAATAACTGGATGTTAAGCAGTTGGCTTCTGTTTGCAGAAGACGGTAAGCGCACGACAATACAAAGACTTTCCGAGAAACTGTTTGATGGCTACAGGAAGGACTTCTTACCGCGTCTCAATGAATCAGTGCCGGTTAAGGTGGAGTTCGATTTTGAAATAATCACCATCAAAGACGTGGTGAGTCTCTGAAGTTAACTCCAGTGATATCAAATGAATGTTTATTGCATAACAATTCCAGTTTCTGCATATCTATTGGAAAGTTTTTCAATCGGAGGGCGGAGAAACAGGGTGTATCAGTTACAATTCTAATCGTTGCCACCTAAAATTGTTGTACATGAAACGGATGCAGTTAGGATGCAGTTACACAACTTTTATTGAAAAGGTATGTTAACATACTTTTCAAACTTGTTACATCCTTACTAAGGAACCCTCACTGTAATTTCAGAACGCCAAGGACCAGACTATGACAGTGTATGGCTGGGTACGACAGGTAAATATTTCATCTTCATCTTTTAAAGTGAACGGTTATTAAATGACTGTACATATATATGAAAGCACATACATTACAACTGCGGACAAAGAAATTAATACAGAAGCGATTTTTATGATAATGAACACTACTTAGCACTACTTAGGCAATAGTGAAATAACGCCTGAAAAAATCTTTTTCTTGGCCTTATTTTCTCTACGATAAGGAAATATTTTTGCCGGCCCTATTTTCACTACTGCTTAAGAAGCGTTCATTGCTGCAAAGATCGCTTCCATATTCAGAACGGTTATTATTTTCCTCCTGGAGCGGCTGGGGGAGGGGTTAGGATCCCCTCTCGTTGGCAGTTAATTGCAACTGGGAGTCAATTTTCAACGGTACCCTCTTTAAACTCTGTTGACGACGACTGTTTCTCCTCCTCACCCCTTGAAAATTAAGTGACCCCCTCCCCTCCCCTTCCCTAGCACTTTCGGTCCTTTCACTGAATTGGGGTGACTTTTGTGAATATGAGATTTTGTTCCGATCCACTCAGGTTTGGCACAATCCGTTTCTTCAATGGAATTCTTCCGAGTATGGTGGCATTAAAAACCTTCAGGCAAGCGCCGAGAAGATCTGGGTACCAGACATACTCATGTACAACAAGTAAGAGGAAGCTAACACTAACGTGTCAAATTAACTGAATAAAAGGGAAACCGTATTAAACATTATTACATTTTTAACTCCGAATGTTGCTTTTCTAGTATCCTGATTGGTTCATTCAACTCCAGTAATCAGCTCATATTCCGAATCGCTGTATGTGGAAATGCACTGCAACAACTGTTGCGGGGCTGAAAAAAGCTCCAAATATCCAAACGTTCAGGATTTCATGAAATTTAATAGAGCAAGTATTCCATTCGTGCCTGTTGGATACGAGATTGGGTGTAGTCATAAAATCTTGGTTATAGCCAACGAGGCACGTATCTCTTATCCAACGCGCGCTCTTAGAATAACTAGGGACCTTGAGCAGTCAGGACGGCAACGCCGTGGAGGAAGTGAATCAAAAATAAAAAATTGAATTCTTATTTTTAGTAAGAATTTCACAAGAATGTTCCACCACCATCGAAAAGTAGTCGCACTAACCTACGCATTTAGACACAAGGATGGTCAGTTCGATCTTTGCCAAGACAGTGACTGATCTGAGAGTTACATTTTACTTTTTCTAGCGTTGACCTCCAAGACCGTATTGGTGGTGGACCTACAACATACAAAACCAAAGTTGTCGTCCAAGCGAACGGACAAAACGACTGGAAAAGTCCTGCCATTTTCCAAACTCTGTGTTCCATAGATGTAACCTACTTCCCCTTCGACATACAAAAATGTTCTCTTAAGTTCGGTTCTTGGGCCTCAAGCAGTCAACAGTTAACTATGAGCTCGGAACAGATGAGTGGGAAAACAAATCAGTATGTGGACAATGGCGAATGGGATATCCTCAAAATAGAGGCTAAAAGGAACGTTGTGCAATACAGAACGGGAGCTTTTGATGACGTGACAGTTACCATCGTGATAGGTCGCGAGTACTTCGTCTTCTGTGTGAACTTAATAGTTCCGTGCTTTCTTATTTCGTCAATGATATTTCTAGGTTTTATTCTTCCTCCAGAATGCGGAGAGAGGATTGGGTTAAGTATTACCGTTCTCCTCGCTATGACGGTCTTCCAACAGTTAACTTCGGACATTTTCCCTTCATTTTACTTCCCGCTCCTTGGTCAGTATTATTTTGCAACCAGCGTAGAAATAAGTATTTCAATTTTGGCGACAACGGTGATTCTTAATTTCACAGCGCGCAAAAACAAAAAAATGCCACGCTGGATGCGGAAGTTGATGCTGCAGTGGATGGCGCGTGTGGTCCTCCTGGGGAAAACTGTGGAAAAAAGTTGTCCAAAACCAAAATTCAAAAGATCCACCCAGCGAAGAAGGCCGGAGACGGAATACAAGGACCATAAAGAAGCCAGGGAAAATGGAGCTGTTGTTCATGAGCAAATGATGCACGGATCGTCACCCGATCAATCCGAGCGAAAGGATGACCGCCTTGTGGCTGAGCTCAAAAGCATGTTCATGATTTCCAAAAGTCTTGATCGTGGTGGCTTACGGTACGCCAACTCGGTCAAGAGCACCCACTCGAATGGATTTACAGACGAAAATCCCTACAGCCCTGAACATTACGAAGTCTGGAATGAGACTAGCTTGGCATGTACAGGAGTACTTGATGAAAATGGCGAAGAACTCGACGAATACGAACTTAATTTACGTAAATGGGAGTGGATCATGGCCGCTAGGGTCCTGGATCGAGCTTTCCTGTGGATTTGCATAATTACTGGAATTGTAACATTCCTAGCCATTTTCATGCGAGCACCTCGCTTGCAAGAAATAATATTTGGTTCCTAGAACGGACATGAAATGCCGTTTACCCTTCAAGGATGGGAACAAAAGATAGTTAGACGATAGATGAAGACTTTGGTCATCTTAGATAAGCCGTAAAATATTCGAGACATATTGAACAAGATAGTATAGTGCAATTAGAAGTTATTTATCAGTGTTCGTGTGGAAAATTCGAAGCAGCTGGCTCTACTGTGAGGATGATGAACTCTGGATCGAGACGTCCGGGTTCCGAAGCCCTTGCAAGGGAAATAGGTCATGTCCTTGTTCCACGAACGCTCGCCTGAGGCTTAGTGCCAAAAATTCAAAGTAAAAATGAATTTAAATTGCACCAGGAAAAGACCTCGTTTTTGTAAAAAGAATTTGCAATTAGCCTCGATTTGAAAAGAGGCTTGTGACATCTTGTAAATGGCCTGTTGCGTTGCCTCTCTCGATGAACAGCTAAAGTCATGGTAACGAAGACTTTATGAGAAAACGAGAGAGCCCGGGGAGAGAGAGAGACTGAGTCATTTAAAGTATTTTTGGAAGAGAATGGCGTGGAACTCGAACGGCAAGAACTGAAGATGTTACTGTGAGATTACATCACGACCGCCAGGGTCTTGGAAAGAGCCTTACTGTAGATACCAACAATAACTTACATTGTAACGTTTGTCGCTGGTTTTACGAAAGCACATCGCTAGCAATAGTTGTTTTTTTTTAAACGAAGGGAACATTTCGCAGCCCTGTACCGATTTGAGACCGTCAGAAATTGTGCATTTGTCGAGATACAACTTTTGCGAGAGCTTATTCAAGCCGAGAGCGTTAAAAGAGTCACCAAAGTTAAGTAATACTTTTCCCCCTAGGATCTGAGAAGGAGGAACCAAAAAGCAAGTTTTCATTACATTTCGTATTCATTACTTGAATCACTGATTTCAATATTAGAATTCTTTGTAATAAAAATAACTGACAAATGTACACTTTTTGGATTGAGTTGCTGTGGAAAAAAAGCGAAATATACATGAAAGAAGCGAAAAAGAGGCATCGTCCGCGCCCCTGGCTATCGCCACATCTACATATCACAAATTCCACGTTCATGTTAACCATGTCAATTGTCCAAACTTTGAAGACGTAGAATTACTTTCCACTTAATTGACAAGTTAGATTCGAGCAAGGGAGTACAAGAGCCCTTTTAATAACAGACCAGCTGCGAAAATCTGTCGCGCATGCTTTGAATTCCTATAGGCCACGACCCCCGGAGCAACACTTTGGTTTTCGACGCCTATCTTTTTCGTCATCTTCTTTTCTCCTCTTTTCCAGCACTGAAATTAAATTTGGAATAAAACATTTGCATCACCAAAGTTAATAGAGCATTTTACTTTTCCAATTCACTTGAGTCAGTCGAGGAACACCCGACGCATATACAACAGCTGATTTTAGAGTATTTTCATAGCATAAAAGTTAAAAATACTTGGAATACTTCAATTATTACTCAATGCGCTGTCCCTCTGTCTAATTTTTGTGTATGTGTTTCTCGTGGTTTTCAGATATCTAATTAAAAAAAAATTCCATGTTGCCGTGCGTCTGTTAAATAATAGATCACAGCTACTGCCCAAATGTGGTAAGAACAAAAATGTATCACTGATGTTCTTAGCCCATCTTGACGCCTTCTGTGGTCTGTTACTATAAAGACCCGCGGGGACATGGAATCTGTTTGTTTTAAAAAGCAAAAGGTTGTTAATGGCAACGTCATTTATACGTCCGTCCTCAAATAGATCCCAAGTAAGAACCAATCAAATTGCGTGCATAATTCAGCCTAGCACAAAACCCTTAACCCTGTGGACCCCGAGTGTGACTGACTTCTGATTTCTCCTCACAATATCACACTTGAATTAAATGTAAAGGTTTTGAGACTAAAGGAAATGATCACCAATTTAAGGCGCTCCTCATTGACACAAAAGTTTTCCTTATCAGCACTACAGGAATTGTAAAGAGAACAGTGTGGACAAAATAAATACTAATGCTAGGGTGCAAAGAGCTAAACGAGATGATCTTTTCGGATTTCAGATGACTATTTCAGTCAGAAGTTTAAGGACACACAATTACTGATCTGTCAAAACCTCTTCGATGACACCTACCAGTATTTTGAAAACTCAGCTCTGTTTGTAAAACATCAAACATAACTTTCTCCTACAATGGATAAGTTTATCTTCTATGGTAATTTCGTAGTAGGCTGTCACGACTTATTTAATATGTCAGAAGGGATAATACAAATTATGTTTCTGATAATTTACTTAACATAACATACTAGTGTGAGTTGGCAAGTGTAAGGCAAGGTCTTAGGAGTACTTACCCAGGCCACCCCCACTTCCTATCTGTTGCACTCCAACTCTTTTTCCCAGAGTCTCTAGCTCACGTAGAATTGCTTGCTCAAACGTTACGGCTGCTAGTCGACGGAAAAGGCCTTTGACGTTCTCTCCTGAGTACAATCGAAACACGATGGTCAACTAACTGTGCGGTTTAATTTTTGTGGTGACTTGCGATGAAGTCAAGACATCTTACCACTTACCCTGTAATGAGTGATCTGTTCGCTTAAGTCATAAGCAAGCCCAAATCAGTTCCTCATTTTGTTTGGTACTTAAACAATCTCTGGTGAAGGAGGAAAACTAAACGAACAAAAACCTCTTTCTGCCTCTTAACCCTTTAACCCCTAAGAGTGACTAGAATCCAAATTCTTCTTTCAGTATCACTCCTGGGTCACACATTTAAGATACGAGAGTAAAGAAAATGATAAAACACTTAAGAGTCTCCTGATTGTTGAATAAATTCTCCTTGTCAACACCTTAAGTAACGCATGGTGAACAGTATGGAGATTATGCATCCTGACGTTAGGAAGTAAATGGTTACAGAAAGATGTCAGGAGACGGAAATTAGCGGGAACAAGGAAAATCTAGCTGACAGGGACATACATGTATGCTTCCCCAGACAAAATTTCATCACTTCTGATATCGCTGTGCTGTTATTTTGCGACCAAGAGACTGAACTACCTTGTTACGTTTCCGCGAAATGGTTATTACTTTGCATGAAGTCTCACAACTAAATTTTCCAGTGAAGGTTTACCTGATTTAGATGATACACTCCAGTATTCTGCGTTAATTTCTTCTGCAACTTTCAAAGCATTCATCTCCATTTGTGAAAATTCATTGCTTTTCTGCACAAGAAGACAATTTATTACAACCACTTAACGATATTCCTTCGTATCGGTATTTCTTTCCTTATAGCCGAATAGCTAAAATCTAAACGTCTTTTTTTCAATCAGTGAAATATTCTAGGGAATTTTTTTCTCAATGTGAAAGTATTTACATTGACAACGTAAAACTGATTATCGACTTACTGTTGATACTGTCATTGAAACCAAATATCAGAACCAGTATTAAATTTGATTGGCTGCGGAAATTAGGGCATCTTAACATCTTCAAGATAATAATCAATAGGGTAATTTTTCTACTCCGGTTCCAAGCATAAGTGCAATGTATTATGTACGCCGTGTGGACTTATTAATCTCATCTCAAAAGTAATCAGTAATAGTATATTTTCAAACTGCCACTCATGTGTGCTTTCAGTTTTTCAAAATGCCTCAAATGTGAAAGTACACGTAATACCATTTCAAGCTGTCAACAGGCAACTAATAACGACGACAACATGATAAAAAAAACCCTATACTCACACAGAGGTCCTTTTTGGATCCTACAAGGAAAATTTCTGGACAAGTTGTTGTGTTTTGTTCTAAAGCTTCCTCCAGCCATTGCCTAATTCAACAGAAAAGAATAGAACACTTTTATCCAACACAGTCATGGGAGGCCTAAAGTTCAGGTTGTTCAATATGAATGAAAAGCCACTGAACATTGCTTAACATAAACAAGTAAATTTCAAGGTCTACAAAATTGCATAAATTGATCTACTACTATACAATTATTGTATTTAATTTAGTAAACATGAAATTCTTCTTCAAGTTGCAGTGAAAGATGCTTCACTAAGTGGAATGTTTTCAGTTACATTATTACTTCATACAGGTGGTTTTAACCCTTTACATCCAAACATCAGAATGCATATTCTCCATACTGTCCTCTATATATTTCCTTAGGTGCTGATGAGGAGAATTTGTTTAACAATCAATAGCTTCTTTAGTTAGTGATCATTTCCTTTGATCTTGCGACCGTTATCTGTTATTCAGGGGTGATATACATGAAGTATGGAGAAATAAGATGCCAGTCACTCCAAGGGTTTCAAGGGTTAATAATAATAATAGTACTAATGATAATAATAATAACAATAATAATAATTATTATTATTATTAATAAAAATGCCAGTGATAATGATAATCAACCAATAATGTAAAAAGGGCCAGCTCACTTTGTATTGTTAAGAGTCTTGATGCTTGTGAGGTCAAACACTAAGATGATCACTGCAGAAATAAGACAAAATAATATAATTGTCACCATCCATCTACAGTGTGTGCAGCAAACAAAAATACAAACAAACATGCTGATAAACTGACATACATGAAAATTGTCTATGGACTAAAGGTGTCAATGATCATCTAAGGTAGGTTTCTATTATTGATATGGAGTACAGATGTAATTTTGCTCATATCAAATCAAGTCGGGTTTTACAAAATAATTCATGCTTCAGGTAGGAGGTCATTAAAAACTTACCATGTGCTCCCCTGTAGTAGGATTGAGCCATGCATTTGAATCTCTCTTGGCCAGCTGTATCCCAACTAGACATCATTTAAGAGTAAAATATCCATTATACAAAATTAGATATAGAAAGATGTTCTTCATCTTGTCACAAGCATGGGACAAGGAAAAAATTCTGACTCCCTATGAGGAGTTGAACCTTAGAACTTCAGATTCCGCACCCCGATGCTCTACCACAGAGCCACTGAGACTCTGAGGTGAGAAAGGCCCAATATGAAGTTCATATATGACACACTGCAATTTTCTTATTCTATTTACAGAACATGATGCCATTGACATTGCTGATCCTAGTAATATGCAGGACACATATCTTCTGTGAACTTTGTAATGGCCTTGCTCACCATGAAGTCTCTGTGGCTCAGTGGTAGAGCATCGGAAAGCAGAATTCTAAGGTGCAAGGTTCAATGCCTCATGGGAACTCACAATTTTTTCTTTGTCCCACGCTTGTGATATTAAACAGAAAAACATTTTTCTCTATTTCTTTACCCAGCCTAGTACTTGCCATCTTCCTTATTCTACTTACAAAATTAAATATGTTCTGATTCTTGCTGTGCTGTTGGTACAATAATTTGACCATTACAAGTCACTTGAAACCAAACAAGGAATGAAAAGTGGACAAGGAGTGGACAATGATGCACTTAACCCTTTAACCCTTTAACTTCCAGAAGTGACTAACATGTAACTTCTCCCTATAATATCTATAATGCTTTCTAGCAAACAGTTACTGAGAATACTAAAACTTATCAGGATGAAGTTTTTATCTTGATCTTACACCAAATTCTCATAACTAATTTACAAGGAATTGTGTAGCAGCAAGAGGAGAGAATTAACAATCAGATCTTAAGGGTTAACTCACACATCAAATTTGTAATTCTCCTTACTGCCAAATGTACAATTCTTACAATGTTAGTTCAGAGAATTTAGTATTGGATCAACTAATTATCCCCAAGTTGATATTTTTCTTTATTCTCATCACTTAGCTGCTTGATATTGTATTGATATTGTAAGGAGAAATTCTGTCTTGGTCACTTGTGGGAGTGAAAGGGTTAAATGTCTTCTTTAGGTGAATCTTAACTTTCCTAGACACTACATAGCTGCAATGCTATGAAACTTTGTTATAAGTAAGGGATAACTCAAATAAAAGCTTGCCTTGATCAGCATTTGTGATTTTCTTACAAGTGATGGGATGTCATACATGTTTTTCTTACATTTGCATGTTGAACTCTTGATCAAGAATCCTAAATCGCTCCACTTCAAAGTCTACACCAATGGTTGCTTTGTAATCTCTGTCATATAGGTTACGACAGTATCTGCAATAAAATACCAAATTCAGTACTGTGGAGCCTAGATGTAGAAAGTTGCTATAGCATGTTGATGCCAGTCATGATAAAGGTCCACTCAAAATATTAAATTTTAAATTGAGGAAGATGTGGAAAACTAAACTGCAGTGTGCTGGACTCTGCATCAGGAGGTCTGGATTTGACTCCTGGCTGGATCAGCGAGTTGTGCTCGCAGGCACAACACTCAATTCTCACAGAGCCTCTCTCTACACCCAGGAGTATAAATGACTACTGGTGGATTGCCAGGGAAGCCTGATGAAATGCTCAGGGGTAACCTTGTGATGGACTAACATCCCTTCTAGGAAGGGGGGAGAGAGTAATAATACTCCAAGTCACTTCAGGGTACTTGTAAAGTGGGGCAAGTTGTTGCTGGGTGGGCCACTAAGCTCTAGTACTGACTAAACCCCTGAATAGATGAACCTTTCATGTACACATGATAAATACTTAAATGTTTTACACACCTGTTAACTAGACATGTTTTCCCAACAGCAGTGTCACCCACAACTATAGATTTGGCCACTTTTAAACTGACAACAAAAAGAAAAAATTTTTGCTTTCATTAGTCTATTTCAAGTTCAGTACTGTGGTGGTATTAAGATTTTTAATGTGGTCCTTTTCCAATTGGAAGTTATGGTAGATCTTGAGCAGAAAATTTCATTTCCAATCATGTACAGTTGTGCAAACTAATATGAAACCAAATACTTCAGGGCTAAAGAGCACAATAAACCAAAAAAAAATAATTAATGATAACCAAAAGAGGCTATGATCTATTAAAGTACGGCACTATAATTAGTTGTTTGTACATGAGTATGCTTTATTCCTACAGGTGTAATTGTTGCGCATACTTACTAGATCAAATAGAGTGGTCAGCAGACAGCAGACTCTTACCCAAAATGTAAAGTATCCATAATTACATAATAATTATTAGATTACTTTCTTCACAAGTACACTGTAGATTAAAGATCAGCTCCTATCCACAACTAATGCACATTTATTTTATTCAGAACAAGATTGTTCAATTAATGTTCATTCCTTTACAAATCAAGAGTTGCAAAGTGAAAGCTGTCAAGATATGGGATTCCTGTGACTAACCACTTTATTTACAGACTTTGTGGCTCTTATGAAAGTCTAACAATGAAAGGACATTATTAGGAACTTCTAGAATGAGGAAGAACTCATTGCATTTTGTCTTTTTTTTCTTGTTCTTCCTTTTGTGTGATCTATTTATTCACTTATTTCTTCCTTCTCTGGAGGAAAGGATGCTACATAATATACTGATAGATTTATCATAATAGCATTAAGGGGGTTAAGCAGACTTCAACTATAATTTACAAATAATACATCATTTTGTGCTTCAACCTAAGTTAGATGATTTTGCGTCAACATTGATTTCTCATCTGTGAATACTTACGATATGTTGCCAGTATTCCCTGAAGAACATGCATCCTTGGTTTTAGGGTGAAAATTAGAAGCCTGTCTTGGGGCTGCATCAGCTGTATAAAACTATGGATACAGAAATAAAAAGAAACTCAAGAAAAAAAACCAAGACATCAATCAAATCGAATTGATTGTTATCAACTTACTAACAGTTATTGGCCAAAGCAAAATAAACATTGTGTAAATAATTATTCAACAATATTCACTGAGTCTGAGGTGAATGATTTTTTAAAGCATAACTGCCAGGTGCTTCCAAATTCCGTTGTCAATTTATTTTGTTGTTGAAAATATGTTGTTAAAATTGTTTTGATAACTTATATTAATGTGAGCAGCCAGTTTCCCTAAAATTTAGCAGATTCATTTAATTCAATCAGCAAAAACTTCATATCTTTTGTTTGAAAAGTGTTATGCCAAACTTAGCAGCATATTTTGTGCTCTTCAGAATTGCATTTTTTTCTTTTACGTTTATCACTTCCTGCAAAACATTGACAAAAACTCCAGGTAGCCATTTTGAAATTTGGTGCTCCTGCTATAATCACCTTGTGTGAGATGTTAATAGATAGATATGATGCAATCTACACAATCAGAGCACACACTCTCAATAATCACCAGAGCAATTATACTAATTACTAAATAGATTTGAAGATTGCATTTCAACTATTGCTTGAATATCCTACATGGGCCAGTCTGAAAGGTTCTCCTGCCATAATCTAGAACAAATTGCTCTCATCATTTTTTCTTCAGATCTTGTCAGGATAATTTATTGCCAGTTTACTGTGCATGAAGGTTTCTGCAGCACAACCCTAGCAAAACCTTCACTATATAGATAGTTAGATCCATAGTTTGTAAAAATATTAATACAAGATGTTTCACATGCAGCTCAATCATGAAGAGTTACCATACCCTCATAACACTATAGAGTCCTCATAACACTATAAAGTCCTCATAACACAATAGAGTCCTCTTAACACTATAAAGTCCTTACAACACTATAAAGCCTGCACCTAACTATTTGACAGGTTATATGGAATGAAAAATAAAGTCAGGTGGATAAAAAAGAATTGATGCTTCCCCTCGAATGTAGGTTTTTCCAGCCCTAAGCCTGGTATTTCCCTCTTGGGACTAGCATGTCTATCAATAACAGTGAAATTTCTATTGTTGAACTGCAGCACTGGCAATTAAATTACCAAGGATGATAGAAAAGAAGCAGAAATGAGAAAGCCATACGCCAATATATTCAAAATTTCCAATGAACACATAAACCCATAACCCGGTGTAGCTCTATCAATGATACAGCCGACCACCTCCCCCCATTTTTGCACAGTCATCTCCGATAATTTGGCAATTGCACATTTTTTCCAACCTAACACGCTACACTGCAGAGCTTCCAACACTCTTAAAAGCAGCAAAAATCTTCCTGATTACCCTTAAGTTCCTACTGTAACCTGAGATATTGTCATGCCTCTGCATTGAGAAAGAATATTTCAAATACGTTGAAACTTAGTCATGTTTATAACCTGCGAATAAAAATTTACCATCCTACTTACCTTAGGAAGTTCATTTATCACACGATCCTTCTCAGCCGTACTCATACTCATGTTAACGGCCACGGAGATGTGAAAGTATTCCCTTGTTCCGTGACACAGCTTGTGATGCAACGATCAGAAACTTCCGTAGTTACATGAACGTGTTTTGGTTTCGGTCGACCTCTAATTGACAGGCGTTCGAAGTTGTACCTGGAAGCTACAAATGCTTGTAAACTCCGCGATACATTTAAGCAAGACGTGTTTATTACAACATGAGCCGGTGATTTGATTGAATCAAACCCACAAAAGTAGAGAACCTCGAATGAACACAATATCAGTTGCCAAGTGGCACCCGGCAAGATTGACCTGTGCGCGCAGATTATTAACATACGGGCCACAATTTGCTCCAATCCCTCTCCGGTCCTCCATCAAAGTCTCCAAGCAAAGAAGAGGAATTCCTCCCACTTAGGAGGAGAACAAGAAGTCCTGTTAAAGATACATTTATTGAGCTGAAAACAAAGTGGTCGAAGGAAGAGTGCAGAATTTGTGAAAGAAGGAAAAAATTTATGGTATTCGATATACACGACTTTGCTAATACCGCGTCCAAATGAATGCTGGGTTGTCCAACCCAGTACCAGGTCCCTCAAGGGGCACGTAGCTACGCGCGGCCTCAATGTTTGTTGCTGTTGTGTGAGATGCAGAGCTAAAAAAGCTTTGTAAATTCTTTTTAAGTTGCATGTTAGCAAACTTTTTTTCTATCCATGGTGGGCCGAGGAGATAATAAATCTGTGTGGATATTTGAGAAAATGACAGTAGACATTCCCAAAGTTACAACACTATATCGAAAACCTTTTATTTCCAATTCGTTCGTACAAGTTGAATCTCCGTATAAATAAGTTGTGTATGTTTGCAGACCTTCTTCCGTTCCATAATGGGCTGAGGAAAGAATGTACCAATTACCCGAGATAACCTGTAAGTTACATAAATTAAAGATATGACAGATTTACACGCCCTCTTGAGCTGGAAATAAATGTTCAGAGAGTAAAAGGCATTATGCGCGCTATGACGTATTCCCGGAAAAATAGGAAAATTATTCAAAAGGTTGCATACAAGGTCTTGGTAACGCGTCATCATCAGATTGAATTATACGTACAATCAGCGTAGCTCAGCGCATGTCCCCTCGGCAGGGTTATTTTTAAGCTCTTCTTTACCCTCCTGACACGGCAATCGCGTCATACCATATTCACAAGTGTGAATTTTCTCACATTGACCTAAAAAAGTCAATAGCTTTTTTTTAGAGAAACGTGAAAACCAGCCTCTTTACCCTGTTATGGTCGATTGTGGCAGAGTGTTGCATTCGTAAAAGCTAAAAATGCCGTTCCAAAAACCTACGCATTTAAGAGCGCTTGTCTGTAAAAATCAGACAAATTCTAAATTTCGCGGCAAGGGTGAAAAATTCGATTTCTTTCTTATTTTAATATTAGATAGGCTAGACTATAACTAAAATCACTGGATGCTTTTTTGGCAAAATATCTTTTTATTTCAGAGAAAACTACAAATAACAAAATTCCGTTAAAATCGTCATTTTTAGCAGCAAATTATTGCACAAGTTTAAGGGCTTCGCATTCAAAAACGAATCACAATCTCGTCTTTTTAACACTCAAATCTTTTTTTTCAACCTCATACGACCTCACAAAACTATTTTTGTAAACACCGCGTTCCTCTTTGCGTGTAAAATAGTTTAATTTCGAAAGTATACATTTCTCTACAGTAAAAGTACTTTGAGAGTAAAGTTAATTTTCAGTATGTGCTAAACCTACTAATGGAATAAGCTTTGGGCGGTAGAATTACCAAAAGATGTACTCAATATTACTGTAAAACTTTCTTTGGGCAAATGATTGAGAGCGATACGAAAGCTTTTCAAAGTCCGTTAAAATGCAGTTATTTGACCTTTTGGGGTCAACATTCCAGTCGCGAGTCACACACATGCTTTAATATGATTCAAGCCATATGAAGCCGGAAAATGTTCATGGGTACATATTTCCAAATTCTCTAACCTCATTTACCGTTGAAGAAAGATCCAAAGACCATTTTACTGTGGTTATCTTGTCGCTCGTCGTATTTTTAACGTCCGATGAAACTGCCTGTCGATCTGCGAACTGTCACCAACCTTCGCTATAAAACGTTTGACATCTTTCTGCACTGTGGCATCTTATCCAGCGGTTCAGTTGACTGTGAGTGTTGTTCGGTTTGTGGTGCAGTAGATCTGATCGCTGCTTTTAAAAGTGGCACCACACATATGCTGCAGTCAACGTAGATTTGTATACGGAAAGTCGTCACGCAATGCAAAGCATACAATGGAAAGTTATTTTTTAGGGGGTGGGGGAGGGGGAAAGTAAAAAGACGTCACTCTGCTGCTAAGCTTTTTTGTTGTTGTGAACATCGAAATCTCTCACATGTAAGTCGCGGAGATCGGGCCTTTGACTAATACTCGTTGAAAAGCAAAATTTAATACCTGCTAAAAATAGTAAGCCTAAGAAAACAAAACCTGGTTTATGGTAATTACACGATGCCTATTGTTTGCTTAGAGGCGGGGCTTCGGACTTTGTTTTTCACAAATACACTAACTGGCACGGTCAGTGTCACTGTCAAGTCGCTTATTGGCGGAGTTTGTGGTTACAACACTAGAGATCGAATGCGTGAAACGGAAATTGTTCCTTTACTTTCATGCACCAAGAATATTGCAGGTCACGAGTCGGCTTTCAAAGTTACCGGTCCTGAAGACGAGATCGACCTTATTTTGTGCCGAACGCACATATGTCGGCCCCTCTGTAGTTTAAGGTTTTAAACGGTAGTTTAGTACCACTCCCCACCCATTGGCCACAGCACATAGCACTCCAGCCTCACATAAGCCACACATGCCCACCACTGCGTTTTGTAGCATGGTGTTGTAAAAATGTGCAAAAGGTTCTCTTTCATGCTATTAGGGTATTTCTTGCAATTTTAGTAGAAAGAAAAACACCCCTATTAAGTACGAAAGGCATAGAGCGTAAAAAAAACAAGAATAATTCCCTGCAATAAATAAATGCATTTTACTGTTTGTCACCAGACAAAGGTGACACTATTACAAAAACGTTTACAGAATAATTGTAGGTTCCAAGAATTCAGTTCTGATAGTGCTTAATTATATGGATTTTTGCCCTTCACGTACCCCCTAAAGTTCCTTTGTCACCGGTATTGCGTGACAGCCCAAATACTCAAAGAGCGTACATGTTTGTAGTCAACTCAGTTTAGCATTGAATTAGACGGTCAGATGTAATCTTTTAGTGCATTGTAAACTGAGCAATACTCGTAGTCAACTGAACCGTTGAATAAGATGCCACAGTGAAGAAAGATAACGAACGTTTGACAACAAGATGGTGTTCGACAGGGTTGGTGGTTTCACCGGACGTTATCATTTATACAGACCTAAATACGACGAACGACAAGAGAATCACACTAAAATGGTCTCTGGATCGGTCTTCTGCGGCAAATGAGGTTAGAGCATTTGGAAATATCATTCTATGTACATTTTTCGGCCTCATATGGGTTGAAACATATAAAAATATGTGTGACTCGCGACTGGAATGTTGACTGCAAAAGGTCAAATAACTGCATTTTAGCGGACTTTGAAAAGCTTTTGTATCGCTCTCAATCATTTGCCCAAACAAATTTTTACAGTTATATTGAGAACATCTTTTCGAAATTCAACCACCAAAAGCTTAATCCATTTGAAGGTTTAGCACATGGTGAAAATTAATTTTATTCACGAAGTATTTTTACTGAAGAGAAATGTATGCTTTCGAAATTAAATTATTTTAAGCGCAAAGAAGAGCGCAATGTTTACAAAAATCATTTTTCGAGGTCCTATGAGATCGAAAAAGAAGATTTGAGTGTTTGAAAGACGAGATAATGATTCGTTTTTGCACGCGAAATCCTCAAACTCGTGCTATAATTTGCTGCTAAAAATGACGATTTTAACGGAATTTCGTTATTTGTATTTTTCTCTGAAATAAAAAGATATTTTGCCAAAAAAAGTATCCAGTGATTTTAGTTATAGCCTAGCCTATCTAACATTAACATAAGAAAGAAATAGAATTTTCCACCCTTGCCGCGATATGTCTGATTTTTACCGACAAGCGCTCTTAAAAGGCCATTGTAAGAATAGTTGCACTGCGCCGAAGCTTGTAGACGGAACGGGAAGATAGTCAGTTGAAAACAATGTGTATTCTCTGGATTATCTAATCAACACAGTTTCTGGACTTTAAAATTTCAAAGCCATGACCTGCATAAAGAAGGGTTTATCGGAGTTAGCCTTAAATAGGCCTTCGATCAAGGAGGTGAAATCAGCTTTACCGATGCCGCTTTTTGCTTTCTGGGCTATTTTTGAGTTTCTTCGTTTTACGTATTTTAAGTTGTTCCTGTTATGTTTTGCTGTGACATTTGGCCAGGACTATTTGTGGACCTTGTGTTCACGAATTACTGTTGTCTTCTTTAAGACATGCATTGTTTCCACAAAGAAAATAAGCTTAATAAGAAAATACCGCCTCTTGGGCGATCAAAACTTTTTTTCTTCTTGAAGCGTCCCATGATTAAATGTAAAGACCTGGGTCGATTTTATCTTTGTAAAGACTGCTATACTGTTCCCTCTTACAGATTGGTGTTTCCTCGTAAAGATGAGGGCAAAGAAATCGTGTAAGTTGGGTGTAACGTGACTCTGTTTGTCCGATTTCAGCATCTCACACTCATTCAATTCTTCACTGTATGTGAAACTATCGTAAAGTTTACCGAGTAACGTACTTGGTGTATTATATGCCATGATAAGTACACTCCTAGGACCAGATAACCTTTAATTCCGCCAGAACAGTGGTATTTAGTTTATACGAGGGAAAATTCCTAAAATTGGCGTGTTTCAGTTTGGGCTGGCCAGCTCGTTTGAAGCTTTTAGCGCAAGTGGATGCGTCCACGCCAAACAATATCGATAGCACAAACGTGAGACAAAATGTATCGATTCTCTTTACTTTTGACGAAGAAGACGGCACTTTTCTCTCTTAACAACCTGTTTTTTATTGTTACAGTTTCTCACAGACGTCGACGTGATATATCAACTAAATTACGAACTGCGTGAAATGTCACTACGATCTTACAATACCATATGTACCTTTTAGTATCAGTAAAATTGTCCGTACGTGCTACTGGTTTTGATTATGCCCAATCAAGCAGTATAACTAGCAACTTTTGTTTGGATATTAGCCTCGGACTTTTGGATGTTTGTTACCTAAGGTTCTCTTGGTTTTAGTGGAACTAATCAATGAAAAAGGGTACATGATTAAAGATCAGTCTACTAAATCAGGTTCCATAACAACTTGACTTGTTTTCTGTTGAAAATGACCAGTAAACACTATACAAAGGTTGAGGGTCCCAATGGGTTAGCCATTAGCCGTAAAACGGGCAAAAAACATCTAACCGAATATTAACCTTTGGGTAGT